TTGAAAATTGAGTAATTGAAAACACTTGAGTGTGTGAAGCGGATGTGGGCACCCCTCCAAAATGTATTCCTGAGATGCCTGGGCTGCAGACACATCCAGATGGGTCCGAACTAAAACCAGATGGCTGGGTGGAGGGAACACAGCCTAGGTACTACTGCATGCTGCATACACACAGACTAAGGACAGGCACTAGGATGTTGCTCATCGTGTATATGTGCGTTATTGGAGTATACATAATTGGCTTGTCTAAGAGTTGTAAAAATAAATGTCAAAATTATACTATAACACATATATCATGGATGGCTTTACAAAAAACTAAATGAAATACTATGTTCTTAATCACATCACTGGCTTCAACAGACCCTTTGGCATTTAATCAATGGAATCATCCACAGTGGAGTCATGACGTTGGATGTTAAAGGTCTGACACAACAAATAAATCATTGAAAAAGTTGCAGATCTCTAAATTTGCTTTTCACATATTTCATTGGGATCACATTCCCGAGGTTGCTCGTCAGACACTTCTGTCTCGTACTGTGATAATATAAGTATCCTCAGTATCCAAAGAAGCAAATGACAACAGTTATCTTTAGTTTATTCTCTTGAAACAAGTGCTACTGTTGAAAAAAGTTACTGCAAATACACCTGTGCACCCGGACGATATTGCCAATGGAACCCTACAGTAAGGCAGGTGTCAGCACGTGCAAAGGTGCTGCTGCATGATGAGGAGCAATGAAGCTCTGGGAATGGAATGATTTGGGGATTCACAGGGCTCTGTGATTGGCTCTGCCCTCGGGGAAATAGTGTGGGTCTGATAAAATAATGCTTTTCAAGTATCTTCAACAACGTGGCTGATGCAAGTAGACAATACTTTCCACCATCTCACTTCAAAAGCATTCCCATTGAAAATGTTTCCAACCCGAATTTAGCCACTTTACAACATCAATCTAGACCAGAACACAAACCACAAGCACACACACAACATCACAGCTGCACTTTTTGGTCCTAATAAAACGCCTTTGGACTTGACAGAGGTGAAACAGTCCTTCTCCAAAGAGTGTCTAACTGCCCGAGGTGTAAGAACCAAACGGCTTTCAACAGAGCTGGTTGTTTTCCACGTGAAACCACAACCCAACTCTCAAGGTTGTTTGTGACTAAAATTCAATCCATTGATTTGGGAAGCCGGACACCAATTTTCCAATTTTCCTCACAACATCACTATGGGATGCACATCGTTGTCATAATGAAACATCTTGCGTATTTTGATCTTGGTGAGCAACATCTTTGTAATTTAAAGTGAATAAATTATTAATTTGAGTTTAGCTCTGTGTTAGCGTGTTGGTTGGTAAGTTCGGACAGCAGTACCAGCTACAGGTGGACAGGATTCAGCATCACCCCGAAGGACACTTCACAGTAGCACACATGCTTATGTTTGACTAGGAGACACTACACTGAGAAAACTCAATCCAGAACTACACCTACAAATATTACTATCTGATACCTGATGCATTAACATCTCGAAACCAATAGATCATTCGAATAATTACTTGACACATCTTTCCAAATCACTCCAGGTGAGCATTAATCTGCAATACAAGCAAAGGTCAAATGACGGAGGGCTGAGATAATCACAGAATCCATCCATATGGGTCACATAGTGTAGATGGAATTTTTGGGGGCGGTTTTCTGTCACCGTGCACATCTTTTAAAAGAAATTAAATTTAGTTATAACTATGAATTAAAACAACTTTGTTACATCTAGGGAAAACGTCAGAAACACTGGATGTAAAAACACTCTAGTGAACTTGTGCACAACAAATGTAGCCTCACTGTTTGAAACCACGTCACACCCTCGGCCCGCTGCTGGAAACAAGGTGTCACGTGTTTCCACGTGTTGTATGTCGTGTCCACCGTTTACTTTCACTGTACAAACAGTTGTTTGTGTCCCACGTATGTTTTAGTTTCATTTTCCAATTTTAGTCACATTTCAAGAACAAGTAGTAGTAACAAGAAACGTAGTAATTTGAACCCAAAACATAATGTGTTTTTCATTAATCCAACTGATGCAAAGGGTACTTTATTTTTAAACTCCTGATTGACAATGAAGTGTCTATGCTTAACATGAGTATAATACTTTTGTATTTATTACATCAAACGTTTGTATTAATTATACATCACTAAGGATGACACTTGTTGTTGTAAGGTTGTTTCTGCACAACTATAATAAATGCAACACAATGACATTTTTAAAGTACTCGTCCACAGTCCTTTATCCACGTTGTGGAAACAGGATCATTACACGTTCCACGTGTCCTTCGGTATTATTCTCTTCTTTTCTCTTCGCAGAGCAACAAATCTCAAACTAATGCTGGGAAAAGGGAAAAACAAAAAGCTTTTCTAGTGTAATGTTTGGTCCTAATGTTTCAAGAGGCAGGACAGCAGTGTGTTTTCATTCCTGCCTCCAGATGTATATCCTATGTTACTTGTGTTGGATACACATTCAGGAATGTAAATCCCCTGAGCTATGGCGTTATGTTCATGTCATGCAGACATCTGTTTGAGGAAGAAAAACCCATTCAGAGACAGAGGAACTAATGAATGTAACTCTTTAGAGAGTAAGTACGAGTATTTTGTTGATTTACATCCAGCTATTTTCCGAGGAGTTGTGGATTCCACGGGCCACAACAAAACGAGAGTGGCATTTGTTAATTCTAGCCTTTCAGTTTAACTGTTCAGTCTCTCCACAGAGACCAAATGTCCGTTTGGTCGCTCCTCTTCTGGTTGTTGATTGACTTTCCTCGAACAAAATGAACTGGATAAAAAGCTTTATTGCAGACTTTAGCTATATTTATCTTCCATTTGTTCTTGCTTGATGAAAGATCAGCTTCCCATGCATTACATTCATTTAAAAATGGCAACCGCAACAAGCAGTTGCATAAGATTCATCTTCAATGCAAATTGATCTTTAATCAGAGCATCCGTTTAGCCACCTCAATGTAAATAAATGCAAAACTCTCACGCTACATTTGTCCTTTCAGTGAACTCTGCCCTCTATCTCCATGCCAGTGTTGTCTGTTTTTTTGTGGAAAAAAAGCGAGACACCTCTTCTCTAACAAAATAAAGTAATTCTCTTTCCCTTCCCGAGAGAGCGAAGAAATGTCTCCCCCAAATGGCTTGTGGGGAGGGCGGCCCTCCAAAAAGAAGGGGTCCCGGGTTGTTTAGAAAGGCGGGCACTGATTTCAAAAATTCTAAAAAAAAACCCCCCTCCTCTTTTGTGTTTAAAGGGGGCCCCCCCCCCCCCCCCCCCCCCCCTCACCCCACCACCTCTCCAACCAGCTCGAGGGAGAAAGCACAGAGAAGCAATAAATGCAAGAGTAGCTAAATATTCATGGCAAGCATGAATATGAGCCCAACATCTGACTCAAATCTTATATTGTTCACATCGCTGTATTTCTTCCCGTGTCTATTTTTTCCTCTTTTTGGAGTGCTGACACAAGCAATAAGTGAGCATCCTGGTCTTTGACATGCTGCTCTCTACAGGGAGGGGAACCTGTCATAACTTTGCAAAGTAATTTACTGTAACAGAAAGAGAAGCTTGAGGTAAGAAGTAGACAGTCTTAATGTGTAGCTTCTGCACTACGGGGACTTGGATGTTGATGGATTGTGATAACAGCTCATTCATTAAGCTGTTACGTACGTTCACATAATCTTTCCATTACAAAGAATATGGTTGCAGCTAGCAAGGGCCCATATTTGGATTCGAGATAAGGTGCCAACAGCTTGACATCATGTCCACCTGAAAACGCTCAGGGAAAAATGAGGGTTGTATCACAAAGATTTCCAAAGACAAGCAGATGACAGAAACACCATAACGTAAGTGATTTCAAATTAAACGAAAGGACGTAACACAAATTTTCACACACACGCATGACTTGAATCACTTTGAAGTTTGTCTGTTCACCATTTATTTTTCACTTTTACTCCACACTCTTGTGATCAGGACAAATCCTTTTCCTTGTGTCTGAATCTGTATGTTGTAGTTGAGCGCTGCACTGGGTGAGGAGGCGTGTGGACTCCGTGATCAATGATAGCCGAGTCCCACACACCATCCTCTGTATGCCGGCACGTGCAACTGAAAGTTAGCGGACTCTGAGCCAACATTTCACAGTCCTGGGAAGAGGAGAGTGGAGAATTGGGTCAACAACACAGGTAGATTATCTCCATATTAAGTAAATTCCCTTAGGTTAAAAAAAAAGATGGTGTCATCACTCAGCACGGTTCAAGGAAATGACAATGTGATCAAATATTTTTACAAAGGCATTTAAGTGTGACAGGTTATGCCACACTTGAATAAAACAAAGCTTGGTCAGTTAGTTTGGGGGTGGGATTTGCATTTCTTGATGATGTTGATGTTGAAGAGTGAGCATGACAATAATTATGTGATTATATAACTAATATTCCGACCTGTCATAGCGTCATGTCAATTTCCAAATTTGTCGTTTTCAAATATTAGTAAACCGTTCCATGCTGAATTTTATATCAGAAATTAGATTGAAGACTGACTATACTTTTTATTAATCTTATTCTATAAAGATGCAGGAAGGCTCTCTTACTTTGGAAAGATATTCTGTCAGTGTTGTGGTCTGTTGTAAATATACAGTTCCACAACGGAGTACTATTTATAATTTATGGAAGCATTAACTTAACTTTTAACACAGAATGATTACATCACGTTTACAATGTGGAAAAGAAAATAATGACCATTACATTGCATACATTCTATTCTCATCCATAAATCAGTGTACTGCATAAATACCAATGTTGTCATTGAGGCACTTGAATTATTCCCAAACTATGCAGGTCGATCTCACTGCTGCACTGCTGGTCAACGATCTTATCAATTAGAACGTGAGGACCACGGTGCTGAATGCAGCGCTCTGATTGGTCCAAAAGCAGACTCGTAACGTTCAGCGCTCCCATATAAACCCATGCAGACTTGACATCGGTGCGATCTGTCATGCAAGTCCAAGCCATAGTGAGGAGTCCAGTGTGAAGACATCATCTACTGCAGCCTACTTGTAATAACCTACATTGTGTTCTCGGGCGCTGCAGGAGGAGCTTTTTTTGGAGCGTTATGCTTATGAATTACACGCACAGCAGGAGGCGCCTCTTTACATTTAGTTACATTATCTGTGATAAGAGGACGATGCCTTTGTGGACGGGACTTTTTCTCCTGGTGGTGCTGAACGCGTCTGCATATGAACTGGATCAAAACGAGTCTTATTCGCCCAGGAGAACACGCTTTTCCGCCAACAGCCCTTGTAAGTAGCACGCTGCATTTCCCAGAGCGCACTGCTTGCCTTTCTCTCCTCTCCTCTTTTTCCTTTTTTTAACACACCATTTCCACAATAGACAACGGGCTTACCTTTGCTCGTTTACTACACTGACATCGGGATTTGTCTCATTTGTTTGGCCTCTGCAGTCTTTTCTGTCTGAAGAAGCGCGTTGAGTCATGATAAGGGCTGCGGGATTGAGGCTGGTGCTTTTCGCCGGTGTCCTGCCGGCAACAGATGAGCATTGAGCTCGCTGCTGACACCTGAGAAGCGCAGGCTGTGTCATGCCGGCGGATCTCTTTCTCGTGGCTTTGGCTGCTGCACACGTCCCACTATACATCATTTATAGTGGACTTGAGGTTGCTCTAGGTGCATGCAACAGAAGGCGTCACGCAGCCTTAAAGTCAGAACAAGGCTGTGTGTTGCAACCTCACTAGTTCGCATGCCTTGTTCGTCAGGTGAAATAAATGCCTGATTTATAATCCCCTACTATAGGCAGAAATTAATCAACAGGGTGTGTGTGCATGGCTTCGTTCAGATGTTGACTTTTCCTTTTTTTTAACACTATGGTACAGCCCAGTGATAATTGGCGGTGGGTGAGGGATGCTGCTGAACTGCTTTATCATTGTAAGATTTGCTGCTCACTCTGTATTTTAAGAGCAAGCTCTGGTCCCGATGTCAGGCAGACTTCATCTGACCATGCGGGTCATTTTCAGGCCCCAGGTTTAAAGTCTGCCAAGAAGGTTTAGTCTCCGCGGGGATATTTCTTAATGGTTATAAGCCAATTATTTGGATACACTGATTTAATGATTATGTTTTGTAGCTTATTGTTAGTGTAAAATCGCATGTCCATTGTATACACTTGGGGCCGTGTTCCTTATGGCTAGGGTTAGATTTGGGGAATTGGCTTGAATGATGTTGCAGGGTGGCTGTTTTATATGTTGTACATAGATGGGGATCAAGGTTACTTGTGGGTTAATCAGTCTAATAACTAATCCAGTCATGTGACCCTCCTGAATGAGTATAGCAACATTTTCCGAACATGTATTTAATTAATTAGATGTTTACAGGAACATTTCTGGGATGTGAGTGGACTGTTACATGTTAATAGTTGATATTACAGTGGTTTTCTCAGTGATTCCTAAGAATCAGCTTGACAATTATGTCCATGTGTTTGTATGTATGTATGTATGTTAGTGGGGCACGCTAACCGTTTTTTGTAAACCCTTTTGAATGTCTGGTGCTGTTCATCCATGGCCTTCTGAAAATAACCAAATAGTGGAATGTGGTTTTTGCCAAGAGCCAAGTGCATTTGTGCTAAATAGTGTCTGAGACTGTCTGAGTCATAAGGTGTCCAAGTCCCAATTTGCCCCAAGGGACTATATGTCTTTTGTAAATCACCAAAACATGAAAATTTGCCTTTGTTTGCCACATTGTTTAGCTAGAACCCTGTGATTGTGTAGTGATTCCCAGTGAGCCCACTGCTGGCTACCCTGCTGATGGTTCATTCTCTGTACCCACAGCAGATGTGGCGCGCTGTCTCAACAGTGCCCTCCAAGTTGGCTGCGGGGCCTTCGCCTGCCTGGAAAACTCAACTTGTGACACAGATGGCATGCATGACATCTGCAAGTCCTTCCTTTACAGTGCTGCCAAATTTGACACTCAGGTATACACTTCAATTCATTTCACAAAAACTTCAAACAGTACGCCATCCTCAATTTCCTACCGTGCATGTGAGCTTGTGTGGGATTATACGGGTGTAACTCTCAGGGCAAGAATGTGTGAAGCACTGCTGTGTTTTTACAGGGTAAAGCATTTGTGAAGGAGAGCCTTAAGTGCATTGCCAATGGCATCACCTCCAAGGCATTCTCCACCATCCGCCGCTGCTCCGCCTTCCAAAGAATGATATCGGAAGTCCAAGAGGAGTGTTACAGCAAGCTGGATATCTGCACTGTAGCGAGATCAAATGCAGATGCTATTGGCGAAGTGGCACAGCTGCCCAGTCACTTCCCCAATAGGTGAGCTCTTCTCCCACTAAACAACAAGTAGATTTAAGTTGCAATCTGGAGAAATAAGATACGTTGCTCCGCACTTGTTACGGACATGTCAGAGTTTGAAGCTTATTATGTGCAACAGGCTGCTAGTTATTAATAGTGAATATGACATATGTTCAACAACCACAAATATGCTGCCATGTTGCCAATTCCACTTTTCAGTTATGCAGCAAAGCAGATGGAAACATTTTAATTGATTTCAAAGCTTTAGTTGTTATCTGATTCATTCATTTTTTTCTAGGATGAAAAAATAATTAAATGGGAACATTTTGGTGATGCTGTTATACCTGTGGGATTGTAGTTTGGGACTGAATTCAAAGGGCTATACAGTATGGTGAAGCTCAAGGCTTAGTTGCGAACCATATGAATGACATCATACTATAGAGCAATGGTGCAAATTCACAGAAATACTTATAACAGATATGACAAAATGGCAAGTTGTTTTTTGGCTTGCGACTCTGAAACGGACTCTCTGTGATGCTTTGTTTTGTTGTCCTAGGTTTTATGGTAAGCTGCTACAGAGCCTGATGGACTGTGATGAGGACACAGTGGACCGCATTAGGACCAGCATGGTGTCGCGGCTGGGCCCAGAGATGACCATGCTTATTCAGCTGCTGCAGAACAAGCCCTGCCCATCCACTGCTGTGGCTGCAGCTGCCGCTATCCCAACTGAAGTGGAGGGCCGTGGGAGCTGGCGCTGGTCCATGGGTCCCCATATGTACAAGATCCAGCCTAATCTGCGAAACAGAGACTCTGCCAGTCATTTTGGCAAAAAGCGCTCTGGCAGCGACAGCTCCTAACTTCCACTCCGATTCAGAAGCTCCACACACTCCTCAACACATGATGAAAGCTCCTCTATTCCCTAGAGGTGATAAAATCCCTTCCACCGCTAGACTGGAAGTTATACAAACATACATCCCTAGGGAACGCGATTAGGGTCGGTTGTTGTTATATTGTATATCCTACACTTTAGGCTTGAGAGAACCCCCATTCCATCGAGTCCGCTCACAGTTCGGGTTGAAGATGAGGCCGTTGCATCTCTGCGACGTGGTCCTGTCCGCTCCTCTTCACCTCCTCCAATGAGTCTTTTGATGCCAAGCGAAAAAAGAAAAAGAAAAGAAAAAAACAGCCATATAGGTTTACGCCTCTAGAGAACAAGTCCTAACTTTCAATGATAGTTCAATTTCATAATCACGGCATTTAATCATGAGTAGAGTTCAGTAGGGTTATTATTAGTTCACTGATAGGAATGGGACATTATTGGTAGATGTATGTAATAAATCTCCAGTCCAAATTGTGAGCATGAGATGTGGAAATTAGTTTCAAATCCTTTTTCTGAATAACATCACAGTTAGATGTACTGTGTACTGAGTTATCTGAGACAGCCATAGCTCGCTCACACGGAGTGAGGTCTGTAGAGGTTTCATGATAACCTTTGAATTACCTTAAACTGACCAAAAAACTCCCCTCAATGCTATTCATGAAATACCAAAATAGTCTATAGCTATTAGCACTTGTAGTTGTTGTTTTTGTCCGATGGCGGATGTATCCACTGTCTTGTTTTTCTAACCCTCATCCTGCTCATAAGGATTGTCCCGGTCGCGGCAAAGGCTAAATATTACAAAAGGTCCATTTTGCATATCTTGTATACAGACAATTGTAATGCATATGACTGTTGAGCACTAGAGAGAGAGAGGCCGTGTCTAGTGGAATCTGTATGCACGCTCTTAACTGAGCTTGAGGCAGTAGTGTATGTGCAGTGGCTGATTAGCACGTTCACCGATGAGACAGCGCAGCCGTCTCCTCGGACTGATAACCATCATTCTCTGAGGTGAATAACGCGACATACACACTGGCTTCGAGTGTCAAGATTGAGAACGATTATTTAAAACAAAAAGCCTTGTTGGAATGATATTTATTTTCCTACCATATTATTTAATTGCATTATTGTAGTTTTTAATTAGTTTACAGATTTTAAAAAGCAGTTCAATCTTGGCTCCTATTTGAACATGAGCTGTATGCCAAAAAAAAAGTGAGCTGACTCTGGTGACTGAATGGGACGCGTGTCATGACTCTGTGCTGGCCATAGGGGAACAAGGTTGGTCATTCAACATTATGGGTGTTACAAGGGACCACAACAAAACAATAGCTTCATTTTGACACACGTTCTGGTCGGAGAAAAAAAAAAAAAGGACGTCATTGCAGCTGCTAGATGTGCTTCTTCAGGGTTAGTGCACATTGCCAAAAGACTTACCGTATAATCCAAGCAAAACAAACACCAGCATCAAAGTTTTTGATTGTTCTGCACCAGTAGACAATGCTTATCTTCGCACGGGCTGAAATTATTTTCCATTAAGGTGACTACGAATCTTATTCATAATAAGTGTTATTGATTATTGTCATTTATTTATTTATTTTGTATGTAATTGTGTTAATGTGTCAGCTCTGATATTACATAGTGGAGAAAGACAGATGCAAGAGAAAGGCATCATGGGGGTGTAACGCAGTCTCTTTTAGGGCCCCTGGAAACCTGCTTTTCAATTAAGACTTTTCATCATAACAGCTAAAAAAACAACAATCAACGTTAACATTCCAGAATAAATATCCCGGGTTGTTATTTTAGATAAACTCTTAAATCAGGTGTATGTGTGTGTGTGGACTGGGAACATTTAAATGACACATTTCAATTTAAAAGTTGCTAAATCCAGACTAAGTACGTGATGTCATCCACCTGAGCCCCACGATATTAAACCAGTGACATGAGTACAGATCCGTCTTTTGAAATAACAAAACTGTTAAAACCAAGAGAATCATGTTTCCGAGGAGAACCACATTGGTAAATCTGTTACAAAATAACATTAATGCTTAACAAACGTTGCTTAAAGTAGGTTTAATTTGAGATCTTTAATGCAGCATTTTTACTTTCAGATAAAGCATGTTTTACTACGACTGCACAGGGATTTACCTGCAGACAGTGTGAGGAAATAACCAATGCGTGTGAAGATATTTACAGGCCGCTGCTACTAACTCAGGTCCCACAGTCTTTCTGTGACATGCTGGTGGTACATTGTTAGAGCTCAGTTAAAATGACACACAGGCGTCGTCTCAGGTGGTAAGAAGCACATGGTTTTTGTGTATGTTTAGGGATCTTGTATATGTCATCAAAGGAAGAAAAAGCCCAATAGAATTCATCAACAAAGCAAAATCCACATTTGAGAACTGAACATTTTTTCATGGAGACAATCAATCAGAAACAGTCGATTAGCGCAGAGTCACTGTCACTTCATGCTGGTGTTTGTTTTATCGATGCCTAATTGATAGATGGTTGTGATAATCAATGGCTTGAGTTAGTTTCTGCACTGACAGTAAACTGCAAACCTTTGTGCACATTGAAAATGCAATATAGAGAGTAACTTGGAACCAGGGCTGGGTTCGGTTCACTATTGAGCAGTTTGATCTAGAAAACATCAATTATCAAATAGTCAAACCTGGCAGAAGTGCTCGCGTTACAAATGGTTTTATGAAACAATTATAAAATATAGTTCTGGTTTCATGAATGCAATTGAACCCAGCCCCGTTTGAATTGAAGAGAATTTATATATTTTCCTGGATTGATAAGAGTAAAGCACAGACCAGAAAGAAAAAAGAGATGTCAGGTTGTCAATTTAATAGCTATGTTAAGAATTCCAAACTATGCAATAAACTCACATTAAAGGATTCACAGCAACACAGAAATTGACCTTTATTTCATTCAGTGCCAGCTGATGCTGTGTGAATAAAACAGCAGCTTGTTTAGTCTCACACTGCGCTCACAGCGGAAAAGTCATCACTCCTCTTTATTGCTTTCTGTTTCTGTGTTTTTTTGTAAATTGTTGTTTCATTTCGTTCTTTAAATGTGTGCGTTTATTTTAGATCATTTAATGCGATGGGACCGTTCTGAAGGAATCACTTGGGAAATTAAGAGCTATAGTCACTGTCGTGTATCCTAGCTCACTATGTTACGTTCAATATGCACTTTGCATCTTAACCACTATAAATGGCATTGCAACCTTCAGCACATGTGAAATTGAGACCTGATTTACTCACCCAGTGAGTAATCGGTTAGAATATTTCGCGCCCTGGAGGGGCCAGGGCTTCTTCATGTACTATTGATACATGTGTCTGTATCTTTGTTGTCCGTGGGTAAATTCAAAACCCAACAGCCGCTGCTAAACTGTTACTTCCCTGTGTGAGGCTGTCCAGATGGCCGCTCTGCTCCGTCAACACACAGTGAGCTCAGCATCAGTTCACATTCAGATATTTGACTGTCCATCCACGTCTTCACATTTATTTTCTATCAACATTTCTTGTGTCAAATGTACTTGGCAAGGGCAAAGTGACTGTTTTCTCACCAAGTCACCTGTAATGTTAATTTCAGAGAATGTACCTGTATACTGAATGTCTGTTTCGACGAGAACGCGCTCAAGTTAGGTGGCCTAAAAAAAAACTAAAGTAAAAACAAAGTATATAAGGCTTTCAATTACTTTCTGTTCTAGATTGTAATAAAAGTATTGGGTGCTTAAGGTGGTACTGGAGCATTATTAAGAGTTTTGTGAAAAATTTTCTCCTGTCAACAGAGACCAAGGACTTCTCACTTCTGGCACTTCATGGTACTCTTTCCTCTCAAGACTTGAAATAGATAGATGTTGTGCTTGAACTAAATCAAAAAGCTTCGGTGACCAGTAAAAAATATTTAGTTTTCATTTCTAAGTGACAGTTATTTTACTATCAGATTCAGAAGGTTATTGAGGATTTAAGGGGGTTACTGAAGTTCCTGATACAGATGCTATGTAACGCATGATTGACCCTTGTGAATCACTTGCACTTTAAAATATACCCATATACATATATACCCATACTGTGTATATGTTTGGGTTTTTCCTCTGTACTAAAAAGTCATGAAAGATACAAATGCATCAATTGTGTGTCTTTTGCTGATCAGAAATAAAATATTTATCATATCTGGCATATGGTATGAAATATGTTGCATTGCTCTTGTTTCCCTCATTTGGACCCATCATCCCTTTTAAAAGTACATTTAAAATGATTTTATGCCTCTACTTTCTTCGAGACAGAAAAGTGCCTGTTGGTTTATCTATCTTTAAACCTCCAGATGTGTTGTTAAATGGAAAAACATCATGAAAACTGAGTAAAGACTCCCCCCGCTTTACTGGCTAGGTTTAGGAGATGCTTTTATGTTCTAACTGGTTCCAACATACAACAACGGTCATTTGGGAACACTTAAAAAAAAGAAACATAAAGAAAAGTATACTAAAAACCTCTTAATTATTTGTGATTTATTAAGCTCAACTGTTTTGTGACAACGGCATGGAGTTAGTATGAGAAAACACTTTTCTTTCTTCTGGATTTCTTCACTTCCTATTCCACCAGACCACAAAATGTACGATAAATGTGTCACCCATGATAACATCCAGTTAACATTAGATCATCAACCTGTGACGGCAGGGATTTTGGAGTGACAATAGTAACTTCCCCCCTGGAGAATGTAGTACTTGGCTTAAGAAATGCTGTATGAACAATAGCAGCAGCGTCAGTGTCAGTAGGTTGACAGCGTGGCTTCAGGCGAGCGAGGAAGTCGTTGGATGACCGACATTTTAAACCTACAAACGTAGATTCTTTTGACAAATTGGGAGAAGCAGACGGAAGCTGATTATAAACCGATAAGGCAACATCTTTTACTTTGGTTGGATAAATGTGCCTATTATGTGTTCAACAAATATAGAGACACATTAGCTTTCATTTGGAAATATACATTGAATACATTTAGTCATATGTCATAGGAAAAGCACCGGTTTCTTCAACAAAACTATATAAATATAATAATGATCGCTTCACTCTATTCAGGGGAGGCCCTAGTTTTGCATTAGATTATTAAGAGAACGCTGCATTGTATAGCTACGCATTACAAGAATGGTTACGCTAATTGGAGACACTACACAACTCTTAACTATTAACTATTTGTTAATAAGTTATGTACAATGCTATGTCCAGCCTGCGACTAACAGGGAATACCAGTATTTCCTGTTCAGGATTCAACATATAATATTTCTATGGTTAACCACAGCTCTTTAGTTCATATGACGAATCTAATCCTGCATGATCCAGCAAGTGAGAAGAAGGACATAGAGAGCTGATGGAAATGAACTTTCCTAAACTTGAACACTAACGAGCTGAAGCTGCAGAGCGCTCTGTTTGGTTGGATAGCCCGGGGAAGATGGAAGAGGGGGGGCAGAATGCAAGAGGCTCGGTGGACGCTAATCTCAGTCAGAGGGAGATATAATTTCATGCCTATTTAGAGAAGAGTCCTGAAGGGCTTTCTCATCCGCCGCTCCACAGTCTCATGGATAGGTGATGCAGCAACTCTGCCCACAGATTCTATCATCTCCCTTCTTTAAAGAGACACTCACTCTCAGCTAATTAATGACTTTAGCGAATGTGATGAACAGAAGAAAAAGCTTTTTCCATCAGTTCAGTTTGCAACATCTGCCTTTCACAGAGTCACACGGAGGCTTTTTGCTTGGATACAGAGCAGCAGTTTCTGTAGATGGCAACTTTCAAAAGCTTTGACAAACAGCAAGTTCTTGTTGCCAGGGAACATTTGAACAGATTGTTTGACCCCGTCTATTCACTGTTGCCTGTCGTTTGGACCGCTGCCGAGTGTATCACCGTCCTGACAATCACAAACAGAGTAGTAATGCATAATGATAAAATTTGAATATAATTATGCAGATGCAACTCATACCATCTGCTTGTGTGTTTTAATTTGATGGTGATGCTTTTTAAAGCTTGCAACAGTGATTTGTCTGCGACATCACACACAACGATGTTGTATGAACCTTGTGCATGTGCCTTCTCGTGAAGTACAATGCACAGCATGTTGGTAAAATATGAGCAATAAATGCATGTATTTGTTACAAGCATTTTCCCAGCAGGGTGCACAGCATTGAGGGGTGATGTATGCTCCCCTTGGACAAACACAGTGACCCTGAAGACAATGATCATAAATGGCCATGAAGCCTCGGTCTGCCAGCTGCAGAAAAGCAACAAAGCCAGATTAGTTTATCATTGTTTTAATCTCTCAATCAAATTCTGAGAGAGGAAAGCAATGTGTCCACAGCTGATGCATATTGTCAGCAATTTAACGGTACAAATGAACAATGCACTGTGGTTATTGCGGCACGGCAATTGCCTCTTCCAGTGTTTTATAATCATTACGTCCTTCTCTTCCCCGTGAAACTTGTGGGATATTCATCAGCAGTGTGACAAATTAGATGTGCAGTGAAATGGAGTATGACTGAGAGCAGTGGAAGATTAGATCCACTCCAATCTTACCCAGCAATCACCAGCCCTTCATTTCTGTGGGGAAATACCCAAGGAGGGGAGAGAAAATGAGATCATATTTGACTGTAGAAAGCGCTGGAGTGGCAGGGGAAAGAGATGAAACAGAGTTTTCCATTTCTGTATCAGAATCAAATGCAGTTCTGGGTTCTAGACATACAGAATAGAGAATACATTATACTAAACTAATTTACGATGTCTGTTACGATTCGCACAATGCTGTGCTATTTGTGCACCAAACGTCTGCCTTTGCCAATGAAAATCCTAAAGGCTATTGAGGATCATATTGAGTCAGTTGAAATGCTCTTGAACGCTCTCATAGGCTGCACGCTCTGGCAGAACCTGGCTTTTTAACCTTGGAAATATTCACCAATGAGGACAAAGTCATGTGCCGCACAACCTTTCTTTTATGCATTGGGGGGGGGGGGGGCATAGAGAACACTGGACAAAGAAGACAAATCACATGTGGGATGCAGAGGAAGATTTTGAGTTCCGTTTCATTTTGCTTGTTTCTAGTGGTAAAAAGACCGTACATCTGCAACTTTGCATTGTAACATTAAGTGTAAATTCAAGAGCATCTCACCTACATCTCACGTATTGATCAGCATATGTGGATGGATTCTTGAGGTCCTTGGAATTCGCAGTGTGGCAGAGACATCTAGAGGCTGAAAGCAGGTTACACTATTTTCTGTCACCACACAGGACTCACAGCTTTGTAAATACAAAAACAAATGACAAATCTATAAGCAGTGCTTACCATCCTAAGCGCTCATAATGATGCTGGAGGTCATATCACATTAAAATCATCTATTTTAATCATATTGATTTTAGTCATTGTGATCCTTGATATTGTTCTCCCAGAATGCATCGGTTACAATTTATTATATTTAAACAACGACCACTTAAATGGGCTTCTATAGCGATTAGAAGGATATACATCCAGAAAGTGTAATGAAACCAAAAACGGATCGTAGGGAATGTAAATGTTAAACATGATGAAACACAATGTTGGAGTTATCTTAACAGTTCCATTACCCTTTACTGCAACTACGATACAGGATGTGAGATTATGTCCTTAAACCTCTTGAGCAATTATACGGTCTGTTTCATCTTAAGGACAGAAGGGCCAGTAATCTTAATACAACCATTTCAATCAATCCCGTTCATTACAGCAATGACCATGTTTTCAAGAAAATTTCCTTGGTTTCCTCTTTACGATAAAGACCGGTTGAAAGTAAACACATGTTTGTTATGGCAGAAAATCAGTACTCTACAATACAAGCATATAAAAATCAGTGTAAACACAGAAGTGAGAGTTAAATCTTCACCTGGTTAGATTCCAGCCTCAGAGTGTCTGCAAATCAAAAAGGACACACAGTCATATCTAATAACCACGGCGAGTCATCCCTTGAACTGAAAAGTCTGCCTCTCGCCTGAATGGAAACGTCAATGTCACATGACATCAGCCACGACGAGTATCGTCATTGCATTTTGGTCGCATGAAGACAGAGATCAGTTTCACTCAGATTAAGTCTCTTCTTTCAGCTGCTATCAGCCTCCTTTTTTGCTGTGTGATGAATTAGGGGTAATTTACGGTGAACTGTACTTAGCTTCCTTCTTATGTTACATTCACAGGACGAATGGTGGAATCTGGAGAAAAGGCTTTGATTTAAACGAACGAGAGTCCCAGAACCTCAGATGGAGCTTTGCTCCGAGCCTTCGGAGAACACTGCTGCGGTGATTAAGTCATTTACCCATCAAATTGGACACCCTGCAATCCCTGAGGTGTCAAACAATCCAAAGTGTTTTTCCCCCTCTGCTTTTGAAGTTCAGGTTTCTTGGTTCTTTAGTAAAAGGTGCGCTATTTTCACATAATGTCATGCTGGAAAACCCAGGCATAACGTTTTCAGGTTCTGTTTTAGCATTTATTAAAGACAATTCTCTAATGGAAAGAGCAGGAGCTGGGAGGCCAAAGCAGCATATAAGGTGTGAAAGGCCATAACAACACACCAAATAAATAAATATATATTATACATATTTAGAAACCAAGAGTATAAAGATGTTAATGTGTGCCTTATCAGCGTTACGATGATGACGATGTCCTTGTAAGCTTACTCCATTGTTACGGGTCCCTGGTGCCAAATTGATGTCCCTGTCATCTCAAGTAATTTTGGAATCAAACGCTTTGAATTATCTCTGCAGTGTTATAGTCAGTAGCCATTGTTGTCCTTGCCGTTTGGACACAATTGTTGCCACTATTGTGCTCGGCTTACACAAGGGATGAATGGTTTTACAGTAACACCAGTGAGTGGGAGGATGACATTTTTTTTGTATTTTTGGTGTTGGTGGCACTACTATGAGAAACTACAAAAGTAAAAAGTAAGTAATTACTGTCACTGCCATAAAGTAGACAAGGGTTTCCCACCGGGAAGTACAAATGTGAGGTTGTTCAACAATGCTACAACTGAAGCAGGATTTTCCAATGAAAAGAACTACAAAAACAGAGTATGACAATTTGCATTGATCCCAAACAACGCAATTCAGGTATCTGGATTCAGCCACTATAATAAAGACTGCTACAAATGTTCCTCCTTGCTGTTTTAAGAAATATAAAGTACCTGTATTAGCTGTGTGTCTGTTGAGAGTCTCTAAAAGATCATAGGTCTCTTGGACAGCAGCTACTAACCTCTGGCCTCTCGTTGATAAAAGGACACCTGGGGGGGAAAAGAAAGGCACTTTTCTGATGGATCCAATAAATGAGAACCATGTGGCAGTCAATCTAAGGGTTTCTCATAGCTTCATGATGGAACCAGAGACAACATAGGTCTTCTGTATCAGAAGAAATACATGAATTCATATTTAATGTTTTATTTCAGAAGATTCACACTCACCCACCTCCTCCCAGGTCAGATAATCTCCTCCTTTCCTTCACTCCTACTCTCTCCTCTCATCGTCTCCTTCACTCCTACTCTCTCCTCTCATCCTCTCCTTCACTCCTACTCTCTCCTCTCATCGTCTCCTTAACTACTCTCTCCTGAGCCTGAACGATCCATGGAACACAAGTCATGAATTACTGTTCAAAAATCAGATGAACAGATTATTTATTCATCAAATAGATTTTGATCAATTACATCTTCTTCTTTTTTTAAATAAAATGATTTTCTCATTCTCCATAGGAGTTACACTTGTCCTCCACCTCCTCTCCTCTCCTCTCCTGTGTACAGGGGGAAATGGAGGTCATAGCTGTAATATTCTCCACCGATGAATTAAACATTTGTACCAGAGACAAATTGTGGAACATTTTTTATTTGGTTTAGTTCTTCAGCGATAATTCCACTTCCTCATTTCCCCCTCTCTCTTCTTCTCCCATCTTTGGAAAAAAAAACAATACAAACACTCCACATCCAATTGAAAGTATATGAATCCATCTGTATCGGAAAGTACTGTCAGGATACTTGAAATGGTTGAAATTAAAATATAATTTTCAAAGGAGAGGGTTCACACTTGCACTGCCTTCCTCCTCCTCTTCTCCAGACAGCAGTAAATAGAGATACACTCTTGAACATCATGAACACATGATTTAGATCCCCCCCAATGGGGGCACGGACCACCTGTTTCAAATGACAGTTCTTCTGAACGTTGCGACTCAATGGCTCCCTCCTGTGGACCGACTGTATCAGACATTCGTCACTCTTCGGTGTGAATGTAGCATCAGTGAGAACCTAAATCCAAATCGACTGATAAAACCTTGATGTCTCGGACTACTAAGACTTTCATCCTAAGTTATTTCATTACATGTTTTCATTTTTTGTGACCGGTTGAATATTGGTGAGCTGAAGGAACACACATGAGCATCACAATCATTTTAGCAGTTATCATCAGCACCGAGCTCGGATCAATTTCAGCAGCTTGATCCCTTCATCCCAGATATGCCGGCCACTGCTCATGGGGTTTCTTGGAAAGTAATCTACATTTTCCAAGATCAAAGCAATATTATCGTTTAGCAGTGCAGGAAAATGTGTTGTGCTTTTCTTTCCTCTTGTTGACAACTCCTTGTTTGTCTGAATGGCTCAGTGCCCCGGAGCTCAACTTCAGACAGCAAAATCCTGCAAGTACAAACTGCCAAAAAAGACCAGACACTTTTTTGACATCGGCACAGTTTTACATTCTATGCACTGTTTATGAACTTTATTTTAGAATTCATCTTAAAGTTTTCCGTTTTTGTGGCCATGCCACATGAGTAAGCTTTTAACTCATGCATAGGCCTCTCAGATCTGATGGCGTACAGGTTTGTATCAGGTTAGTAAGTATTTAATGTTCAAACATGCCAACTTTGGTAAAGTTTCTATTAATGCACAAACATTGTTTCTGCTTTTGAATCTCAACATTTTACAGACTTTCCATCCCACCTTACAGTTCTCATTTGTTTAAATAATACAGCTCATTTTTAATAGTTGCATTTGTTGTAATTTTTTGAGGATGTATTTACACATTTATTTTTGCAGTATCTTATTGCATGCTTATATTATGTTTTATTGTTATATATGATTGTTTTAATGCTGGAAAAATTAGAAAAATTATGTACACAAAAATTCGTATTATTGTTATTATCATTAAGTCATTTTTATCATCAATATTATCATTATTATTTAATAGCAGCCGATTTAGTGGAATACCTCTTTTAACATAAACATCATTTATTATCCATTAAAGTTTCAACTTATCACGTAATTAAATAAGTAAAGGATTAAATAAGCATGTATTACACAACTTGATCAGTCACAATGGCATCTGTTATTTGTCCTCGGATAACTCATCAACATGTCATGCCTCACAAAGCTCCTGGTCGGGCCTGTAAGTGCCCTCCATATGTCCCCCGGTGGGACAGGCCGTGTCTGCCCTTGTTCCTGTTTGTGAGGACGCGCGTCTCGTCCTCAGTGAAGCATTGCAGGGTGGCGCCGCCGCCTCTCCACTTCCACAACATCAGGTATAGTGTTACTGTTTGTTGTGGCCTGAGACCACTAATAACGAGGCAGGAAAACAATGTTGATGGTAAAGCTGCCCGACATCACCTAAGATCACTCAGATTAAGTGACTTTACTTGGCTGACCAGAAGCGTGGTTTGGGTGCATAAATCCGCCCCCCCCCCCCACCCCCCACACACACACACACACACACACTCAAGCTAATCAATGTGGAACAGTTTCACTTATTCGTCTCCAATGGTGAAAACGCCTTTTTTAAACACATTTCTATCCACAAATTAAAAGAGTTTTATTAGAATCTCTGACTCCTGATCAATGTCTACAAATGAATAAAAAGGGAACATTTCTTTCAAATATATTTTATAAATGAAGCTTCTTGTTTTCAGTAACACTTTTCACCACTCTCCAAGCCTACAACTTAAAATAATGTTTTTTTTTTAAGTGTATACCTTCAATTGCGAGCCAATATTGTAATGCAATGCACGAGGATGGATGGAATGAGGAGGTGGATCAATGATGTGAGGAGTTCCTGTAAGGTGAGAAGAGAAGGAGTGCGCGCGGGGCTGGGTGTTGGCCAATGTTTTGGAGAGGGGTGACAGATGTATCGCTCTTTAGCCGGACCCTTGAATGATAAAAATCTCCCCATGCCCCTCACTCATCAGTCAGTCGAGAGAAACGTCCGGCAGCAGCAGCAGCAGCAGCAGCAGCAGTGTTCCTTAGAGGATCTCAAAGAGCTCCACAGCCCGCCGAGAAGGTCGGGATGCATCCCTGCACTTCGACGACAACGACGCCTTTTTCCGTCGAGGATATTTTGAAGCTGGAGCACCACCATGACTTTGAAAATCAATTCCTGATGACGGATCAAGTGGTTCCGATGAATTGCGAGCACGTGCGCGGTGCCTCCAGGACCAGGGACGTTTGGGAGTGTCCGCCTGAGCCGTGCGTGTCCGGCGGGCGGGAGAAGCTCGGTACTCACGACGCCTCGGCAGCAGAAGAGGAGATCGATGAGCAGGGTGAGAGGACGCATGATCATCAGTCGGTTCTGTGCTCGTGGTCGCTCAGGTTCAGGCCCGAAAGACACGACGGGGCCTTGTGCGCGTGATGGCAGAGATAGCGCAGGGATCCCGGGGTCACCTTTTCCTTTATGCTTGAAATCTCTCCATTGGATGGGAAAAAAACGTGTGTGAAGATTCTATCTTCAGTTAACAAAAATACACGAGGAGGTACATATATTTAATAAGATTTTGCCACTGATCCCAATTTGATGAAATGGTTCATTAGGAGGCTGTGAGCTGATGTTATTGTTGAACTTATTACAATCTCAGTAAGAATTGATCCAGTTGAAATGGAAACAGGCGTTCTCAATTAAATTGTCCTTTAACTAAAATTAAATAATGCTAAAGTGAAAGGAGGACAAACAACTACTGCGAATTTACCTTTGTTTTAATACAGTTCGAAACTTTCTTTAAAATGTCAAAATAACCAAACTTAACTTGCTTCTTCCAATTATATTATATTTAAAATGTATAACGTTTTTCCTTTTACTGTTTCTGTCAAAATATATCAATATAGAAACGGTTGTTAAAATAACTGAGTTTTGCAGAATGAATTTAAAGAAAATAGCCCATCAACATATTCTACATTACGTATTTTGTATCGAGGCCTATATTGATTTTAGAAGCCAAATATTTTACAGATAACATTTCGTTTCATTGAACAACTTCCATGCTTCACGTGACCCTTTTTCTCATTTCCACCGTGCAGAGATACGCGGCGTTGACAGTTCACCTGACTGTGACGAACCCCCCCGAACCGGAGCCCGGCTGCGCAGGAAGCCCCGAGTCCTCTTCTCCCATTCCCAAGTGTCCGAGCTGGAGAGGCGCTTCACGCGGCAGCGCTACCTGTCCGCCCCGGAGAGAGAGCACCTGGCCCGCGCGCTCGAACTCTCCCCCACGCAGGTCAAAATATGGTTCCAGAACAGGAGGTACAAATGCAAGCGCCAACGGCAGGACAAGTCCCTGGAGCTGGCGGGGTACCCGCCCGCGGCGAGGAGGGTGCCGGTGCCGGTGCTGGTGCGGGACGGGAAGCTCTGCGGCGCGGGTTCCCATTCGGCGGCGCCTTACAGTGTGACGCTGGGACATTATAACCCCGTGTTTGGGTTCGGAACCGGCGCCGCGTACGGCTGCGGTTACCACAGCGCGTCACCGATGACCAATAAGCAGCTGGTCGAGTTGACGGGGAACAGCGAGGGGCCCTTCAGCCACGGACACTTCCAGGCCTCGTTACAGGGTCTGAGAGGCTGGTGATTAGAGCAGGAACTCGGTGCTGTTTCATCAAATGTTTGCATCTGTATTTTATATTTTGTATGGACTGTATCTATAGTTTTCTCCTTATAAAGACAAATTAAAAATCCGCCGAATGGTTAACGCACAGTGTCTTAACGAGTAGCGTCTTTATTAGAAACAGTCTTTTATGTCTGGCTTCGATTACATACATTTGACAGTTTATATATATATATATTATAAATAACGATAATAATAATAATAATGGTTGTTAAGTTCGTGTTATGCCAAATAATTCCCAAAACAAATCTGTATATTGTTTTTATTTTAAAGAACTTTTTTTTCTTGCTCATATAAGCCAAGTTACATGTCCCGGTTGGAGCTTTTTACAAACACCGACGTGAAAATGCGCCTTTAACGTTTTAACTCTAAATAGACGCCGTCGGATGCGCCAGTTGTAAAATGTGTCGCATCCCGTCAAAAGCCGCGTTCATCATTACAGACGCGTGTCGGTCGCTTATGGAGCCGCCGTCTAACGGAGCTTTATCAAACTGAGCCATCAAAAAAAAGCTAATGGACGAAGTGACATCTGACCTGACAGGCTGCTCTGCTCTATCAAACTGAGCTCATTATTGTCCCATTCACAAATCCGCTGATAAGGCCGGAGAGCTTGTCCTGTCCCGGAGCTCTGCTTGGTAAACAAACCCGCAGACAGAGTGGCTCTTTAACTTTTTCGAACTTTCAATCAAACGGGAAACGGTTCCAGTCCGACCTGTCACTCACTCGCCGATGCGCCGCGGCAGATACTTGCATCGCAACAAGTAGTTCTGAGTATCAGCTGATTGGCTGGAAAACTCCCTGCAGCCTCTGGTGATACGGACTAAAAGAGAATAAAAGCAACGCAAGAAATCCACGATTGAGTTATGTGGTATTTTTACATCAAACGTTTTATAATGCAAGGTTTATTATTTTTTTCACGGATGTTTACAATGTATACATCCATCAATTTGGCTTATTTGGCGTTTGTAATGCCTGCTTCAATGTCTTCACTGCCGTAAATATAACCTGGTAAGTAGTGAATGGCTGAATTGAGTGTGTCACTTTGAATGGACTCTGAGCCAAAGGGCCTGAGATGAGAAACACTCCTGGGAGGAGAGAGGAGCTGAAAGAGCATCTCCGCAGAGATAAGGAGGAAGCTGTAGACAGAGAGGAGACCAGAGACACTTTAAGAGATCAGATAATCAGTCTCTCTCTCTCTCTCTCTCTCTCTCTCTCTCTCTCTCTCTCTCTCTCTCTCTCTCTCTCTCTCTCTCTCTCTCTCTCGCACACACACACACACACTCGCTCTGTGTGTCATAGGCAAGAAAGGGTTGGCAGCAGTTACGCGAATGTCGGGTATTCTCTGCAAAATCCATGTTTTTAACATGTGATTAAGTTTATCCAATATTTATTTACCCAAAAATAACCTAAAAATACCTTAAATAAATTTAACTGCTTTAGGACTAGGAACCGGTTGTCACATCAAGCTGCCACATCTATGTTTTTCAGTGGGAAAAAGTCATTATGTGATATCTATAGTTTGGGTCAGTGTGTGTGTGCATTTGTGCGCTCTGGGGGGGATGAATGAAAGCAGAATACCCAAATAAACACTGTGAGGATGAGGGTCAGTTTAAATAGAGGGTGACGTGATTCCGCCACCGGTGAAAGACGTGCTATGGCTTAATCAAAAAGGCCTTAACGTGTGCTGTGGGTACGTCAGCTGGAGGAAAGCAGATATGTCTCTGCTGTGCAATAGCCTCCAAAATCCCAGTGTGATAATCTGGTGTTTATGATCGGCGCTGAGATGACTCATCAGAGCTCCTCTGTCCAAACATCCATCCTGCAACCACCACATAGGTACGAGCTACACAAGGATGAAAGATAACTATTGACGGTAAGAAAGGGGACTGTCTTCCAACTAATCCCTCTGGTCAAACAGCTCATTGTATGGTTGTCCCTGCAGTCTGAGGCGGCTGCTCTGAGGACTTGATGTCTGGCTTTAAAGCGCCCTCTACTGGTGGTCTCCTACACCACTTCCATATCACGTCAAACGAGTTTATCCAAACATCAGTTCACACAAATAGGCTATGAATATGCAGGTATAGATTCATCTATAGTACCAGTCAAATTTTTGGACACACCTTGAGAAGGTACAACGCAAAGGTAAAAGTTTTTACAGATTAAAAAGGCTGTCAGACAGGAAATGGACCATATGTGGTGGTGGACGGTCGGACTGTGATTGTTGTTATATGCTGTTGATCTGTGATACCTTTAAAATCTAAAATGGGTCTGTCGCAACAGACGATGTATGTTTTACACCATACAAAAGACGCAGTGAAGAACTTGTGCAATGCCACAGGTGTGTGGGTTACAGTAAAATACGCCACTGTGACTAAACAAAATGTAACAGCTACAACAAAGTCTCCCTACTCGTCATCTCAGACAAAGAAGCAGCAGGGACACAAGAGAAGATTGATGGTACAACGACTTCCGGTAGCTCAAAGAAAAACATCGTCACCACATAGTTCGTACTGTGGAAGACAAATGCCTCCCCGGGCTCAAAGGTCAGAGGTTCTACTGTGTCACATATGATGCGCAACTATGCAGACAAATATCTGCGCAATGAACGCTCACCAGACAATAAAAAGGAAGGACGTGTCTGTTTTCAACAGCAACCGTGTGAATTGTCTCATTGTCCCAGAATGAGGACAGAGGATGACGGACACTCTGGCTTTGTGTACGCTCATGACAAAATTTGGAAGCCTGTTTTGTTTCCTTTTTTGTTTTACAATCCATAAAACAACAGACAAACGTTTTTTTTTTAATTGCCGAAGAATATCTGTGCCTACAGGCAGAAGGAAGAAAGGTTTCTGAGCTCAAAGCTCAGCGTAGATTTGCAGACAGACGGTCGGAGACAAAGAATTCAAGGTGAAACGTATCATACTCATGATCTTAATGCTGTGTTGACAAGACAGAGATGCTCAAGATGAACCTCGGCAGATTTAAAACTGATGATCCCCAAGACAGTACAGGTTGCACTTTACTCCACATTATTCAATGTGGCTTCATATTTCTGCTGCGCGTAAAGAAGTTTACACAACACTTAAAAACGATGGGAATATGAAAGAATGTTTAATTGTTTCACTTTTGTTCATTTAAAGTAGTGACAATGAAAGCACTCATCAAGGTGACATTGTGACCGCTTGGTGTGTGGTGTGTGGGGGCCGGCCAGGGGCCACGGAGGGGATCATGTTTATCAAACCTACACTCGTGCATTTCCAAATTAAGCATGAACTCCCGGAGGAGCGCGGACACCGCCAGTAAACGTCTCCTTCTCTCAGGAGAAAGTCAGGCTGAACCACGGAGAACAACAAATAAACAGCCAGAAAGCGACGGCCGAGTCTGTTTGAGGAGCCGGCCGAAATGTGTCGAAGTCATTAGTGCTCCAGTAGGTACGACCACCCACTCTGAGCAGCTCGGCCTCCTGCGGCGCCGTCCCTGCAGCTGCAGGACTACAACACATTCATCTTGAGAGAGATTGTCCATTTGATCTGCCAATAACATTATTGCGTGGATGAACTATTTGTCTCTATGAACATACTGTTATGCGGCTATTTGTTAGCGTTTTAACCTTCAGTTAGTCCGGATAATGTTTCAGTAGATGTAGTAGTGTGCACAAGATTTAATATAAAATTGCCGTGATGCATAATTGTGGTGAAGAGGTGTGACAAAATGTGTGTGTTGTATAGAATAAAGTGCATTTTTTGTGTAAGTGAAATAGTGCAATACTTTAATTTTTGAAATGCCTCATCGAGTTGAGTGTAACAGGCAACAAATGAAAGTCACCGAAACAGTTGTCTGCAGTAGTTGGCCCGCCTCCTCAAACCCGCCCCTTCTCTTGTATAAATTCAGACCGTGTGAGCGTGTGAGGAAACAAACTGCTTCAACCACGGCCCCCGCTGCAGCCCTCTGCCGCTGAGAGGCCCCTGATTTGTGGATTACCGGATGGAAATGTCTGACACGGTCAAACCTCTGACCTCCTTCCTCATAGAGGACATCCTCTCCGTTAAGGACGGCACGATATCTAATGGCAAGCGCTGCTCACAGAAGATGGAAAGATGTCCACAGTGGAGAGAAGGATCTGAGGACTTGTCAGAGCCCCTCTGCCCTCAGGGGACAGCATTTGAAGTGCAGACAGGTGAGATCCTGCAGGCTTTCAATAGCAGGAATGTTGTGAATAGACCACCCAATGGATTGTGCGGATGTGACTTTTATTTTCAAAATAATGTTTTTAGGAGATAAATAATAGATATACATCTAAAAGGTTTAAATGGAATAAATAGTTTGTTCCGAGGGTTTGCTTTCTTCACAGTGGTGGATGTTTTCCTTTATAATCACGGACCTCTCCACAGAGTGTAGACTACACCAAGCTGCCTGTTTCTAACCCTTGATGACTTGATTTATGTGTGCTTCATAGGGTCCCTCGACACCTCCTGTCCCGGCACCTCAGAGTCCAGAAGTTCTTCATCCCCGGGGAAACAGAAGCGCTCCAGAGCTGCGTTCACGCACCTCCAGGTGCTGGAACTGGAGAAGAAATTTAACCACCAGAAATACTTGTCGGCCCCAGAGAGGGCTCACCTGGCCAGCAACTTGAGACTAACCGAGACGCAGGTGAAAATCTGGTTTCAGAACCGCAGGTACAAGACCAAACGGAAGCAGCAGAGCTCGGAGTTCTGTAAGGACGTGTACAAAGCCGAGGGACTGTCTCTCAGAGACGAGCTCGTCCAGTCCTCCCTGATCTCTTCCTTCTGTGGAGCTTACCGATGCAGGCCCTACATGTGGGACCCCTGGGGGCCCTGGGGGTCCACGTTATGGTAAAAGGGAAATTATGTATGAAACTGTGATTTATAATCATAGACCTACTTTTCATTTCCCCGATACAAGGTTCACAATTCTTTGTCAATTTTAATTATTTGTTGTTTTGGCATTTATTTTGAGCCTGTGAGTTATGAGTACTAGTGCGCCATCTTCAATGATTATTATTATTATTTTTTTTACACATTCCATAATTTTGTATGCTTTAAGAAGAATGACAGAATGACAAATGTCTTGATAATGTAAATAATATGAGCAACCATTTGATCACTGATGTCAGTTGCATTGTCGCATCATATCTTTGTACTCACCTTTCTTTAAAACTCTGTGTTAAACAGTACAGTACATTTGTTTTAGACAATCGCAAAGTTCCCCTCATGTGTCTCAAGACGAGTTGGACATCATTTTGTCTTATAATACTGGCGTATCAAATGTTTTATTTTTCACCAATTAGGTAAAGGTCAGGTAGGTAAAGGTCTGTAGGTGAAAGGTCTGTAGGTAACTGTGAAGCAGCTGAGAATTGACAGTCGTACTGTAACACTGACAATGTGAGTGACTCATGTGGTAAAACTGTGACAACACAGTACATTTATGTAAGAAGATAAGACCGCATAGAGATGCTGGTGATATTGTGAATGAAGTAAATTGATGGAACACTGGAACTTACCATTTGTGGTCTGAAACCATTGATTTAAAGTTAGTGTGGGAAATCTGAAAAGGGAAAATGATCAGTGGCCAGTGTTGGTTATGAGGGTTTATCGGGCCAAATGTTTAAATGTACACGTTGTTCTTGTGGCTTTCAAAAGGTTAATAATATTAATAAGGTTGTCAGAGTTGCAGTGAATGAACTCATATAAAAGTCTATAATCTATCAGACAATTGCTGATGAAGTTTTACATGCATTGCGACATTTAATGTTCCCGTGGACTTTCTACTTTTAGTTCTATCGACCACCTGCAGGTAGGAGCCACATCACGAAGGCACCGTGCAGCGCAGCCTCTGTGTTTGTGTTGATGGGTCTCGTTCCCAGCTCTCCATCACTGATAAAGTTGCTAAATGTTTATACTTACATCTGTTCTATTTTTTGTTCTTGTCCTTGTTGTCTTTTTTATATTTTCTTGTAATTTACGTTGAGACCAAGAAACCAAGAGTCAAATGTCCAATAAAGCTGATTCTGAATGACACCCGTCATGTATGTGAGCCGTCCTGCACGAGCAAATACTCATGCTACGCGAAATGCATTTTATCTTTATTTATGGGGAGAATTGCTGAAATACTTATTTTCTAATTGTAAAGTGCACACAAGGATGTTAAATATTTTATAGAGATTATATTAAGAGATTTCTATCATTTCCTCTAAAAAGGCTTTTTGTACGCCGGTGTATGAGTTGTCTGGAGCTGTCGTTATAAAAAGATGAATAGCAACAAGGTGTCATAAAGAAGTGAATACAGCTTCATGCGGGTCGGCATGCTAGGCTGGTTAAGTATAGTGCTGATAAAGTGGTATGCAGGGTTTGAGGCTTTAATAATATTTAAGGGGATTACGTTTGTGGTCACACAACCAAAGTGTGAGCAGAGGACAGATGGGATTGATGGAGGAGACGTTGGGAGATCTCACGCCAGAACCCTGTCTGCCTTTGTGAGGTTTCTGCCCCCATGGGGATTATTCTCATACCTATACGGCAACACGCCTCATAATCCTTGTTTTTCGTATCCCTTTCTGTGGAAGCGTTTACTCCTCTGTGCCGCTGAAATCTCTCTGAGGAAATGTTTTCGTCCACTAAAGCTTTCAATCTAGAAATGAATATGATCGCAAATTGTTCCATACTATTCAAATATGCGATTGCAGATTATGTTGCAAAAGCCAATCTAAATGATTTCCCTTAGTGAGTTCTTATCATTCTCGGCCCTTGGAGTAAACAGGTAATTAGACATGAAGAGGGAAGATAGCATCTGTTTTGACGGCATTGAAAATCTGACAGTATCTCTCAACGTCTCTCAGTGTCTCAGGCCGTTCACGAACCCACTCATCAGATAATGGAGGTTGTTGAAGGGTGAAGCTGAAGGTTACGGGACCTGCTGTTTCTCGCACTTGCCATTGTAAAACCGGCACTTCCACAGGCTCAAGGGGACACGGTACGTTGATTCACAAACGCAGAAGACTTAAAAACAACATCCTCTCGACGGTTTCCCTCTCGGGTTCAGGGAGTGTCTCTAAATCTGTCTGTGTATCACCTGGATTAACTGGATTAGGCAGGTAAATAATGAGAAGCAGTGAGGAGTGGATGCCAATAGGTTTCCACAGCATGTCATCTTTTTTTGTGGTCGTGGAACCCGCGTCGTGCTCTTCAAGGTGGCCAATGATGCTTTGAAAAACAAGCAGATCTCCACGACAGATGCGGAGAAAAACCGAACCCCGACCACAAAGACGGCCTTTGTCACTGCTCCAATATGCCGTGACTGTCTGACAAAATTGTTGGAGTTGATAAGGACGTTTAAAACAGCCCTGATCTTTTCACATGGGAACACTCGTAAACTTCCTCGGATATTGTAACTAAATCCCTCATGTTACGGTACCAGTAGAGCAGCTGCCTTTCTTCTCCCACAAGCAGATACACTGCTGCCTATCCGATGGTTAACATTGATTTAGTGGCTGTGAACTGTGTGTGTGTGTTTTTCTGTTTGTGAGAGAAACAGGAGAAAAGAACGGCAGACAGAGAGAGAAGAGGAATTTCCCAGGGTTCCTGTCTGAGGGATAACGATACAAAGTAGTGGGACAGTTTACTTCAGATTAAAATGATTACAGCATTATGACAAAGAGAGAGGAGATGGGCTCAGAGGGACATTTATTGTGCACTTCAGATAAACAACCTGCCCACGGACAAGGGAGAAAACTAAACACACATCAGGGACAACAACCTCGCAGCAAGCGTACGTGTGCTGAGGCATGCTGGTTTGGAATAAAGCTGCACTGTCTCCATCTCAATAAAGAATCAGATCTGCCACATGTTTATGTCCCTGCATGAGGGGCACACATGGGAAATAGCACATTCGCCTCCATGCACACAGCAGAATAAATGAAACTCGGGGGGAAAAGGTTTAGAATTGCTACTGTGGGCAGTGTAAAGTCAATGGGCACAGAATGAAATGTAATGTATGAATCTAATCCTGTATTGTTCTCATGGGTGAAGGATGACTACCAGTAACTGTAAGACTGCATTGGACTGATTATGACATTGGCGTGTGTATCTGAACATCACAAGCCAACATCATCTCTACCTTGGATAGAGGATCGGTCACCTGTATCAGCAGTAACAACCAGTAAATGATATTACAGTGCCCTCTGCTGGAGATGTACGATTCCTGCAGGACACTTGCTACTGTATTAGAAAACAACCACATTTTCTCACTTGCTTATTTATTAACCTTTGTTGATAGTTTTAGCTTTGAGACGTCGTTCTTTGTGATGTTTTCACCCTCCCAAGCACAATGGAGGCGAGTGGATTGTTGCTTTTGCTGCTAATAGCACTGAGAAGGACAGTGGAATAATTCAGCTACGACTTCTTTCCGACAGGGTTTATAGGTCATGTGTACCGACGACTCGGAATTAACAATCAACCCGAAATCATCCAAGTTTACCATTTTCCCCACCAGAGAAATTAGGTTGATGCACATTCCTAAATATTTGACCTTAAAATGTGTCTCCATTATGATAATGAGTACTAATTCAAACTGTATAGTAGTGTTTATAAGGACTAATTTATTTCAACAGCAGTTAGACCAAGTGTTGTTTCATGTTTAGGTAGAAAAATGGAAAGGTTTTCATTTCTGTTTAACTTTGGAGACATTATATTAAAACAAATGCTGATTCGGTTCAGAGGCAGAAAGCACAAAAACGCTGCATTCCTCACTTGCATGTTTATTTCAGCTCCAGTGTTACATAATGCAGCAGCATTATCACAATCATTTCATATTTGCATGATCATCTTCTCAATCTTTCAAAACAAAAAACATCCCAGCTTCCTTGAAAATGATTTGTGCGTATTAAAACTATTTACACGATGGAAACCCTCATAGAATATCAGCTCTCCTGTCAGCTTTAAAACGTGAAAAAACAATCTATTAGAAACAATTTGACACTTTATAAGAACAGGACAAAAGTATTGTAAAACAGTTTGGAAATCTGAATTCACTACCATGAATCAACTTTAAAAAAAAAATAAAAGAGGAAGGAAAAGCAATGATTATAATGCAAAACAAATATAACTTGCTTGAGTTTTGTCAGTAGACTCAACTGAACCAAAACAAAAACAATGCAGGCAGCAAACTGAGAAAACTTAAAATAACACGGTGAATCTCTGCTAATTGAGACACTTTTATATTCAAGCTGAGAAAACAGCCCGTCCATTCATGTAAGGCCCAAAGCAACTCGTGCAACTGACGTTGAAACAGTTTCTTGCTTCCAAATAGTTGGAAGCAAAACATTTTTAAAAACTAAATACAGATCATCATGTAATCTTTCCAAATACCTTTCCAAACATCATACCAGTTTTCCTTTTCCTGTAGTACTGAAGACGTCCATAAAATATTTCAAAGGGGGGAAATGGAAACGCTGAGGCATAAAATACTTTTCCGACTTCAAGCGTCTAGAGGATTTAGAATTTAAGCGAAGATTATTTTGGTTGGAAACAACGCGGCAATGGATGGCATGACACTTCAGTTAAAAGGAAGATGCATAGAATACAGCGCATGTCTTTGGTATAGTGACACTCTACAAGCAACAAGAATCTGAGGGTTTGTGAGACCACGGGAATCTGACCAACTCTCTGAACTTTACCAAAGGGAGGGAAAAAAACTCCATGATTAAAAACAAATAAATCTAACTGCTCGCTGGATAACATCAGTTTCTGGAGGAATTTCTTGACTACTGAATGGAAAATATTCAAGAGGTTGGAGAGAGCAAAGAGCACACAGGAAATGTGAAACTACAACAGGATGAGTGACAATAAAAGGAATAACTGGTCTCATGGTAACAAAGTGGCCCCCCAGTTTCAAAATAAAAGAAAAGTTGCAATGGACACATTTTGGATCACAGAGTTTGCATTCAAATGTTCACTCCTACTGCAAACATATTTAATATATAATCAACAACCTTTAGGTTCAAGGTCATTATGACACAGAAACCAGTACAAATGCATGGTTGGGACACAGAAAACGTCCCAAGTAACAGCCTTGTTCGACTTTAACAATGCAAATAGCTGGACTATCACCACCTATAGACCTTGATACGGTGAGAGAAGGAGGGTCTCTAAGTAGGAAAAGTGTACTTTGCATTTAAAGAAAACTGATATAAAACAAAAATAGGAGTGCAGATTACTGGCATTTGACAGTGTGGTGCATAGACAATACCAAACTCAGTTAAGAAAGTTATGGCATAAAGACCCCCTATAACATGTCATCTTATTTCAGAATAAAGCACTTCTGCTACACCTCTTTGCTAGAAAAAGTAAACATGGAAATTGGATTTCCTACTCCAAAAAGCAGCAGGCAAACATGGTGAAGTGGTGTTTAATGTTTATGAGGCACTTGGAAAGCGCAGCTGTTGTGGAGTAAAAATGAGGAATTTGTTGAATGTGTGTGTTCTCTTCTGTAAATACAAAAAGAAACAAACAAACGGCATTGTGTTTCCACCAAGTCCATAAAAAATAAAAAATAAATTGAAGCCCCTGACGCATAACAAAATAAATAAAAAGCTCCAACACACAAGATATATACACGTCCTTCGTGACAACTTCATTCCACGGCCTCAACGTTTAAAAATAAAGTGTTTGTAGGGTGAAGGAGGAAGATGACCGGCTCTTCCTTGTGTGACTGTCCTTTGACGCATTGCAACCTCTGTTGCGTAATCCTGGTTGCGCAACATCTTAACGTGAACACACACAGATTTAGGTGAGTGAACAATAGGGACAGCCCCTCCTTCACCGCCACGACTTCCCTGCGAGACGACGACGACGGACGCGTTTCCTCAAACGTCACAGAGCGAGATCCCGACGCTCCGGTTTGGAATCACCTCCGCGGTTTTGCTCCAAAAGCCACTCTCCACTACCTCGGCCCGGGTGCCGCCTGCTGTTCATGCCGCTGCTTAGTCAGGAAGTACTTGAAGAACTCGTACACGGACCAGGCGATGGCGGTGGAGGGCATCTGGTATATGACCCGAGCCTGGGCCCCTTTGAAAAAGGCCGCCAGGCCGCCGAGCCGGTACACCGTCCTGAAGGCGTTGGCCATTCCCGACAAGTGGCCGCTGACGTTCACGGAGCTGAGCACCACGTTCTCCTGCGTGTTGAGCAGAGTTTTGCAGACGTCGAGGGGAGTCGTTACGGCGGCGGAGAGGGCGCCCGCCGCCGCTCCCGACACAATGTGGCTGCCGGGGTGGTAAAGTCTGTGAGGATTCAGCTGTTCCTGCATCAGCTCGTAGGTGATGAAGTGAACGGCCTGGAAGGGGATATTCATGGTCAGCTGCGTGCTGTAGCTGCGGTAGAAGGCGCCAAAACCCTCGTTGCGGGTTACTGTTTGGAGACAGTCCCAAAGCCCTCGGTACGGGGAGTTGTACATTTGCATCCTCTGCTTTACCACTGAGCCAAGGAAACAAGGAACACTGTTAGCGTGATTTATCATTTCATATGCCTTCCATTACAATTTATACTTCCAATTTCAAAGTAATGATCTTGAAGAGTCCCGTTTGCTAAATGAGGTAATTGATTGCAGTGTCCACTGATATTTTAGGGGACAGCTGTGGTTGTTTTAGATTTTTTAATTCCTTGAAATTCCTAATGTGTCCCATGCAAACAAACCCAACAATGCATCCACTTGTTTATGGGACCCTCCCCGACTGTGGCACCAAACTGTTCTACTACAGAAGAATAGTAGGGCCTTTGCTGGATACTATTATCTGCTGAGGATTAATCCACATTATGTGGCTTTAGCGAATATTTACGGTTGACGTTGGATGTGAGATTCACTCAAAACAAACGTGTGTGTTCGTAGATTGTAATGAAGGAAGGGGTCGTCCGGTGCAAAGGTGGGAATCTTTGATATGGGGTAATGGAAGCACAGATAACACTTCTTTCAGTCGGTGAAGAAAGTATTGATATCAAAATCATTCAAAGTTCAAGAAAGAACCATCTTTTCTTACCTTCAGCTGGGTTCATGATTGCATCGTGGAGAACGGTGGCCACACTACCCGCCACACCTGTAAGCACATTAACATACTTTGTAAGGTCCCAACTACAATACACTGAACTGTGTTTGCCATTTTTTAATATGGCTTTACGACTCCTTATGTATAGAATACATGGAATTAAAAACGACACTTAGCCTTGTGTGGACGCTGGGACAAGTAAGTGATCTGAACACGTACCATTGGCTAAATGGCTGTTGCCGCCACTCTGAATGACGTCGCTCAGCGAATGTTTGACCCGTTCGTAGCAGGCAAAGTAGAGCGCGTGTGCGGGTCCCGCTCCAATCATGGTGATGTTGAGGCCCCTGAGCGGTCTGAGCATCCCCTCCGTCTGGATGATCCTTTTCAGCGCCTGGTACACACTCCTGTACTGTGCATTGGGCTCTGGCTGCAGGCTCTGCATCCTCGTCTGAAAGAATAAAGAGATTTTTAAACCACTATTCATCATTTGGTAAAGAACTAAAGCCAGGGCTCTGCGTGAATGTGACTGGAAGTGGCTTTAAAGTGCGCACCGGTTTGTTCCCCCTCGTGCCGACACGTTGTTCTGACGTGAAGTGCACTTGGCAGCACTGAGGTCCTGACTGAGTGATGTGTGTCTTCCCCCTGAGGTTGGTGTGGGAGGTTTTGGCAGCTCTTTGTTTGACTCAACCGTGCAAAGATATCTGGACACCACAAAACATGTTTTTATCTGCAAAGAGATGGAGCTGCCTCAAGAGATCGGCTACGTCTATCTTCTTCAGCAGGTTTCCGTCCTTTGGCCAAACAATAAAATATCTATTTCATTTCCGTTTGATAAAGATTTTGGTAGATGGGGCACAATGAACTTGGTAGTACGGTTTATATGACTGAATAAATTCACCACAAGTCCCATTGTTTAACTGCTTACATTATCAGTTTGCTCTCAAGATAGTCTGAAGGGGAAATGATTGTGGGCGAGTAGAAAGCCACAGGCAGTTCAAACTGATTCACAGGACCAGGCTGTGGTAACTATATGAATACATCTCATCCCAGTAAGACCAAAGGCACAGGTACGTCTACACGAAGCAAAAGCCGAATACTCATATGTGTATGAACATGTACGTAAATTGCAGTAAGGTGTAAACTTGTGGGAAATCTGTTGGTCTGGGAAAGGATGTAAAACAGTGGCATGTTTGTTCTTGCATTGACACTGAACACCAGAAAATGGCGGGCCTCATTTACCAATATCTTCACAGGTTATTTCTTACATTACATTTGTTCTTCAGAAAGTTTACGTGTGATTCGTGACGTGTTCCTAAACAGCGGAATTGTTCGCAGGTGCAGTCTTAGAATGATGAATCCCGATATGTCGTAAATTGAAAGCTCGTCCCACATTGCTCCTATTTAGCAAAGGTTAACGCCCCGTTTATTCCCATAAAAGGGCACTAGACGGCATGGCCGCGTGCACACTCAGAGAAATGTCCAAAAAGACGTGGGAGAGACGGTGGAGGCCTCGACTCCAAAAGAAAAAGAAAAACTTAATTGTGAATGGCAAGGTTCCTCGCTAACATAATGGATGTGAATGGAAGGCAAGGCTAGTTACTGAATACAGGCCTAACACACAGCATACAACATGGCCATTCAAAGCGCAGGAAACAAATGAGCAGAAGTGCAAGTGTAGCGTGTATTTATTAAAACAAACATATTTCATTATGTGTAAAGTAATAAAAACATGTCAGGTCTCAATTGTGTGTACGAGTGCTCTTGGGTGGGCGTAAATTAGCTCTAACCGAAGAACAAATCCCAAATAAGAAAACATGGGAATGCCAGAATCTTTGTGGCACTTAAGCACACGTTTGTTCTTAAGAACATCTGGTGAATGAGGCCCAATGATGTCCACTTCACAGCCACAAAATGACTATTGGCCTGACCTGTATGTATCATTACCAGACTTTTAACGCTCTAATACTGATAAAAGTATTGAACTTTTGGGGCTGTAAAAACAATTTGTGACAAAGTGGATACATTGAAGGAAAGTCTGTAATATCCAAGTATCTGTTTGTCCAAATCAAACTTTTTCCAAACAATTTACAAATCATTCAAAGTCAATAAACAAGAGCGCGGTAATGGAAAGTGAACCAAAAACAGGGAGATTAAAGAATCAAGTGTGTTCACATTTGGATGCAACTTAAACAGATTAGATCATTGTCAGGTTTGCAACAGAATATGTTGCCTTTGTTCATAATTTACTTGCAAATTAACATTTACCACCGGGTTTCTACGGTACTCGTGTTAAACACGAGCACGGTCTGTGTATAAATGAGTCACATAGGTTAGGATCCGCTAAACAAAATATAATGAAAAGGACACACCTACGTGGATTTACATTACACGTTGGGCCGTCCAGGGTCTGTGTCGGTTGGCTAATCGTCGCAACAGAAGAGCGGCAGCGTGCATACGCCCTTCAGTGCGCCAGGCGGGTTCTGAACGTGCACGGCAGCGATAAGACGCCTCCCTGCATTAGCAGAAGATACTCAGAGCCCCGGCTGGGACTTTTCTTTCTGCATTACTTTACTGAACTCATATTAGTCATGATCCAGACACAGACTGACAGTAAATGTGCAACCAGCTGAAAGGTGCTTGTGTAAACCTGAAGAGGAAACAGCAACACTGGTTTGTGAAATAGGGGCACTTTTTTGGAAAGACCGACTGAAAAAAAAAAGAGGATATTATGATGTTTTTTTTCCTTCTAGTGTGTTAATGAATTTCTATGTGCCACATCAAGATGGTCGTTTAGCGCAGGATGCCAAACGGGCAGAACAACACTACATTGTTAGAAAATAATAGCCGAGCAGAAGAGGAGGATTGTAGGTGCAAAGTTCGCTTTATAAAAGATTTGGTTTTCAGACCCGAGCCAAATTTGTAACAATCTTCAAACTAGCAATTCATTTAATTCAGTTTCTGCACATGAACTTTAACCTCAGGGAGGCACTTATTGATTAACAGAATTGTCTTTTAACAGAATTTGCAGCACATAAATGGTGCTGAAGTTAAAAGGGCTTTCTGTCATTGCGAACCACTGCATTTCTACCAAGTCTGGTCCAACAATTATAAATCTACAGAGTATCACCTCACTAATTTCAGCCTAATGGATGACATTAAAAGAAAGTTTGTCTTAACAAGAAAAGTAAATATGCTGAAATTACACACATGCATTTGCGTGTGTAAGCAGTGGACATTTCAACAGGGACACTGTGAAATGTCTTTTCTTGGTCCACGCATCAATGAGTAGTTACAAAAGAATAATCTCACGCAGTTTGACATATTATTTACAGACAAACCAGGTACTTGACCTTCACGTCCACTATAGACCCAGGAAGGTACAGATGACCCATTCTGACATGAACTACAAATATATATATATATATATATATATATATATATATATATATATATATATATATATATATTGTATATGACGTCATAAGTAGGTTGGCATCGAAAAGATTTTTCAAACACAGCCGGACGAGCTCACGATTCACTTAAGGAGAACTTTTGTGTGACCGAGCTGAATGTGACATGTGTACATTAGGGTGACTCTTGACCTCCAGTCAATTTGCCATGTTGGCAGAGTTAACAGAAAAGAAACTAAAATAAAAGCGAAAGCTACTTGTTCGGTTTGTCTGTCCCGATGCGATTCAGAGGCAATGACGGGTAGTGACTGGCCGGAGCAGCCTGCTTCAATGAGCTAACAGCGAGGCTAACAGGGGGCAGGTTGGACGTGTATTAGCTAATGTTCGTTAGCAACCAGCGGAGTGAACAACGCTCTGCGGGCGGTCAGTGAAGGAGAGCCGCGGGGGTGGGGGAGGTTGGGGGGGTGGTGGTGACGGAATGAGCGAGAGCCGCCTCCGTGTTACGTTACCTTGACAGAATCCACGGGGTACATCACCGTGTGCTCCAGCACGCCGGCCACGGCTCCCGCTGTCATGTGGGTCGCCACCGAGACATGAGGTGGCAAACTCTCGTAGTCGCTGTCCGAAGGCTCGTCGTTGCTTTTGACCTGCGACATCTCCAGGGAAGCCCCCACCGGGTCCGAGCTCAGCTCCATGCGTGGGGGAGCGCTCTCTCCGTCTCGCTCGGTCCTCCGCACCGGGTAGAACGCGCTCAGGGAGGTGTCGGCGGCATGGATAACCACAACATCATCTCTACTTACGGGACTTCCAGCGCCCGTTGTGACGTACGCTTGCCAGAGGCGGGGCTAACACGAATGTAGACCAATCGTTTTCCATTTACTCGACAATGAGGCGGGCTCTTGGTTTGAGTCGGCCAATGAAAAGTTTCCGTGGTAGATTCCTCTGACACTTCCCTGTGCTTCCGTGCGTCCCTGCTTCTCTCTGTTTTTGAATGGGTTAGACAGAAGTGCAATATCGCGGTGGTCCTTCTTGAATAGATTAGTAGGTTTGGTCTTCTTATCATGTGACATCTGTTTGTATTTATGTAGTGTAGAAATTGTGCAGCTTCCCTATTTAATGAGAACGTGTCGTTAATCTTTCCTCGCACTGAATGGTCGTATTAGGGGTGAGTATAACTAATATTAATGTCCCCAGGCTGCTCATCATAGTTTTACACAAGTACATTAAATTAATATTGAGAGTAGATATTTGTTATGTGCTCATTGTGCAGAAAGGCCCTGTTCCCTAGAGTCAGATTAATAATATGTTTGCATGTAATTAAAGCCCTCGTTGATCCCATTTCTACTACTTTATATATTGTCTAATTATTTAATCAGGTGCAGTAGCTACAATCTCATCAACTCATATTTCAAAAACTTGCTCAGTAACTTCCAAAATACACATGGGGGAGCTAAAAGTCCTTCTGAAACTCACTACAATAATAATATTATTCATTGTATTTTTAAGGCAAAATAGAACATAGACAGGAAATACGTCTATCTATTGATTGTTTTGTACTGTTTCTATTCTAGACAGTAAGTACAAAGAATTAAAAGTATTTATTTGAAAAAGTTAAAATGAGGAATAAGAGCTAGTGAAACCTCTCAACAATAACCCTCTTAAACTCACTTCAAACTCACATCCTCCCTCCTCCCATCAAACGGGGGAGGAACCCATCCACACTTTAGTTTAAGCGCCTGAGATAGTGAGATACAGTTATCACGTTCAAACTGGTAGCTTAGCTGACACCCAGATAATCGGCTCATTTAACGGACTTGGGGTGAATTGTTTTTCTTTTAATCCACCTTTTTACACACCAGACCTGACTTTTCGTTTTGTGAATTTTGTGAACGATTGAGTAGCCATAATATTTGATTAGTAAATTAAGTATAAAACCATGCCACGTGACCATTGGCTGAAACAAACAGCCGACTCCAGTGTCATCGTGGGCGTGTTGGCAGAGCGGTGTGACATATCAATGACTCAGCGTTATAGGAGCCGTGCATCTTAAAGAGCCACTTGTTTGAGTAGAGGTGTTACAGGTTGTATGCTATAGGGCAACTGCATTTAGAGCAAGGTACATAGCTATATGGTACAAAAGGTAGTAGTCTAGTGACCATCACCTCATCTTCATACACTATTTGACAAACTTACGAGTTAATTTGCACAATACAACTTGATATCAACAATATGTCTAAATTCGGATGCGTAACAGAACAAGTAAATAATTAACTAAACATTTTTGTACAAACAAGTTTACACTAAGGTTGAATCTGTAAGTACATTAGTAGAGGAGTACGATACGATTTTCCTTTTGGAACAACCGATTTCAGCCTCACTGCAAGAAAGACGCTCTTTTATTTGTCTGATCTCTTCCTTATGAAAAAAAAACAGCCACACAAATATACCATAAAACTTTATCACTGGTTTGTAATGTGACAACATTCATCTGTGCAAACATTTCCAGATAGATCGTTTTCATATAAATAATGGTTCATGTGCGCTCATTCCACAATCCCCTCACAGCAATGATAAGACGGCTTCTGAGAATGAAGTCCAACATAAGTAAATGCAGAAAGGTACCCAACTTCAAAGCCAGATAACCCGACAAAAGACTTCCAGCAGGGCTTCAAGAGAGACCGTGACTCTTAACAAAAGAAAACGTTTGGGGGAGTCCCCCCGCCAGTGACCAGACACGTATTGCACTAGCACGGCTCTTAAAGGCTGGTCGTCTTGTTGAGGCATAACCATGAGGGGGAGACAGAAAACCAACATTCCAGCCGGGCAGAGCATCGCATGTGCACCTTCTGCCAAATATAATAATTCGTATTGCAGTTGCGGTTCCTAGAGAAAGAGCGAGTGCTTGTACCATCTAACAGCTATAAAACATTAACAAGAAAGATGTGATCATAAACATAAAAAGGCATAAAGAAAGAAATGTTCAAGATGTCACACTTCCTGAAATTCAAAGTAGAGACTATATTTTAATATGAGTGTGGAAGACCTGATTCCAAACAAAGTTTGAAAGTTGTGTTGGTCTTATATAAAAAAAAACATACAGCTGGAGGAAGAATGTGGATTCTAAAAAGAAGGCAGACATTATCATTAAACAAAATAACTTAAATTTTCATGGCTCAGACCGAAGACTCAAATGTTTCTCATATGTCCAATTCTGAAAGACATCTCTGCTCCAACTGGTCGAAAGAACAAGTTGAACAAGCCGACAGCCTAGTAGAGACCATTTGATCGGCTCTGGAAAGTCAGATTCGTTTTCACGACTTCACGCTGCAGACGACTCAGAGGGCGAGAGGGAGCGGGGGGGAGCCGAGGCCCTCCTCCAACCACTGCACAGAGGAAGGGGCGCTGCGCCGGTGGATGCGACGGAGCCGCAGCAGGTACAGCATAATAGACAACAACACGATGAAGAAACAAGCCAGGAATAAGTAGTGGTTGTTGACAAAGGAGAAGCTGTGCCGCCAGTGAGAATGCGCTCCTTTCAGGCTTTCCAGAGGGATGTCCCTGGGAGAGGCAAAAAACTAAATCAAACAAAAAAAAACTAAAATACATATTCGATCCACTCTGAACAAAGAAATACTGCATGAAACAAACAGTTGTTGAGGGTGCAGTTCATGTTGCATAGTGACAAGAATCAAAACAATCTGCTAGTCACCAGGATCAGGAGAATGAGGAAATACCGGTTTTGGCTTTGGCAGAGTTTTAAATCACAATTAAAATGTGCTAGAGACCAGTAATATTCCTCAGCTTTAGCTCACTGTACTTCCTGCTGTTAAATGCAGTAGAAAGCCACTGACTCTGTAAGCGTTAGTGCTTTAACCAGCCAATCCTGGGTACCCATCAATATTTAAATTCTCCACTCATGATTCAAATTTAAAATGGATTGTGCGGTTATCAAAGATAGCTCAGAATATTTGCCAATTATTCTTACACAGACATTAAAGACAAGCTTAATAATGATCATTAGAGTGACTCAGTAGAGAAGAACAGGTTAAATCTGAGGGAAAACCCATCTTACCTCAAAGGCAGAAACCGTGTTCTGTAGAGAATAGCTCCAAGAGTCCACTGGACCTCCTTATCATAGACCAATAGGGCCGTCTTCAGGTTTTTATAATTAGCTGGGAAAGAGAAGCCTGAGTGCAACACTTCATACATCCATGCGGATTTAAAACACTGGTACCTGCAGGCATGAAAACAAAATCATTGATAAACCAATATTTTCCTTTCTGCGACTAACTGTTTGTCACTTTCTATAATCCTGTGTGACTTACTTCAGTCGGTGAAGGTCGGCGTGTGAGGCATACAAGCCAGAGTCAAAGCGTTCCTTCAGAGTCTTCCACTGGGTGGCGCAGTAACTCTGTGAATGTTAAACAACAACATCAGGAGAGTTTATCAATAAATAAGGCTAACCTAACCTCGGTTGCTCCCTAATGATCGGTATGAAGGGTGTACCGTGGCAGCCTGGGCGTATTTGGAAGCGTTATAATCCCCTCCAATGCGCAGCACGTCCTCCGTGCAGTAGTAGAACTCAGAGAAGCCGTAGAACTGGCTGTTGGCATAATCGATGGCAGGCTGGTAGATTCCGCTGAGGGAAGTGAGGGTCTCGTTGGTGCGGTTGAGGAACGGCTGCAGGATCTGTCTGCACTGGGCAAAGGCTCCGGTGCCTCGCAGATGCAGCCTCTGCGTCGATGGACCAATTTCATCCAGCAGGTCCGCAGGTAGACACGGGTCCAAGAGGGGGGACTCTGCCGTCTCACCTGTGTGCAGTCCTAACAGCCTGGAGAAATCAGTAACACAGTCAAAAAAAACACAATAGGCTGTACTGCACTACATTAAAAAGAAGCGCGATGGCTGTGGATCTCACTTGTTTCGAGTGGCAGTATTTCTGATGACATTCTCCTCATATCTCTTCCGTGCTGCATTCCCTCCAAAACCCAGGAAGGTGGAGACATAAACGCGATAAACATGCTCGGTGCGATGCGCATCGCAACCCAAGTTGAACTCGGCCAGCAAGTTCTTCGCAACTTCCTCCTGGGGGGAAAAGAATCAGTTTGGGAAAGATGACACCCTCATAACATTATTAGTTAATAAAAATAAATATAGTTTATTGTACCTCAAAACATAGAACATAATCTGAAACTATGTGACAGGATGATTTGAAAATTCAAATCAAGCATCATGTGATGAGGGGAATATAGAATGAGTCATTATGCAGTTACATTCACCAAGGTTCTTATTTAAGAATCAATGCACACTTACATTTGACTGCTAACGTATTTGTACAAAATAAGATTTCAAGCCTACAGGCTAGAAATTACTACAAAATGTTTGATTATTTACAATATCTTAAAATAATTAAGGCCATAGGCTACTTATATTTTGAAACTAGTCAGCTATATATGAAATAGTGTACCATATTATATTGTAGTACAGTATATAGCAGTCTGAAAATAATTTGAAACAATAAAAGCAATTGAGTAAATAGCTGACCGTTTCAAAAATTAATATTCTTTAAATAAATATACACACGCCAATTAGGTTCCCACTGTATTTTCACAAAGCATTATGGCCTTTAAATAAACTCCACTAGTAATTCAACCCTGACCAAAAAATAATATCCATTTGTTTGGTGTCATTTTGTATTTACAACTGATGCATCCAAACGTGACATTTGGTTTGGCACTTGGAGACCTGACTCACTGAAGACCTTCATTAGTGTGTCTGAATTTGTGTATGTGAGCGAGGCCCTTTCCTGGGGATCGGCAAGGTGTTCACCTTGGCGGATTAGGCTGAATAAATGGACTCCTTAAACTAACAAAGACATTATAACGAACAGGTAAAAACATTTATGTGGTCATAGACATATTATATATTGTTGAATGAGATGAAATGAGAACAAAAAGGCGCTATTGGCGTTGGCCAAACCTGCTTACGTATGTAAATCACTAATAACACAAGCAACCTCCATTATATTTTGATTCTCTCGTATATGACTCAATGTTTTCAGTAGAAAAATCCTTCCATGGACTCATGCAGCAGTCTTACAGTACGCTTCAATAGTGATGAATGGAGAGCAGACCTTCTCCGTGGGCCAAAAATGGTGCACACAGGGGGGGGGGGGGTTACCAGGGAATGACAGAGGTTGAAAGGAGGGAGAAGAACATTGGGTGATTGACAAAAACCTAAGACAGCACAAAAACAGAATTGGTTGGGAATAATAACCTGTTGTGGAGAAGCAAAGCTTACAGTTTGGGGCACTTCGTATGCGATCTGTGTGGAGACCCCGCCCATGTCCCAGGACGCCGGCGGTCCTTTTCCTCATCCGAGCCTCCTGCTGATCGCCGCCTGGGACATGGACCGCCACTACGGCTTCACCATCTGGAAAGGTTGGCAGGAGAAAGGTGGTGGAGTCAGGTTACTGCATTTTGTTGTTTGCAGACAGAACCATTTTCTTTTTCAAAAGCTGTTGAAACACTACTGGCTTGGGACCTTACCATTGTGCACATGGTTAAACCTTCCGAGAACAAAGTTTATTCCAATCCATGCATAGACACCTAAAGCAAAAAGATTACAAAGTTTATTTATAAAGTTTTACCAGCATTTTTAATCTCGCGAAGGGTAAATATTTGTTTCCAATTTGGCTGAAAAGTGTTGAGATAATATATCAACATCAGTGCAGATGGAAATCAAAACAATGTTTTATATTATTAGTATTAAATATGCTTTAATGCATGACGTTTGATAAAGGCTTGCATTTAAATAAATCAGTTGCAATGCAATACATTTTAGCTCAGCATAGTGATTTTCATTTCTCTATATACTCCTATAATTTACCTTCCTGTTTTCCAGATATCACTTCCACGTGAGAGTCAGAGAAGAGGAAGTTGAAGTGCACTGGGATGTCAGTTCGCAGATCCTCAAGAAGTGCTTCTTGTTGACTGAGATAAAACTGCCTCATTAGATATACGGCATTTAGAACATTAACACCTTCTTCTTTGCAGTGACAGCGTTGTTTAAAGCCGCTGTGTGAACATTTCTCGCTGCTAAATACATGAGCGGCTCCTGGGAGTTGTGCAGGTTTATATCATAAAAGATACTGTACCTTTCGGGGAGGATTCTCATTCCGGCTGTGCACAGGATGTACAAGGGTGTTTCTTGGTGTTTGTTTTTGGGAATGTGTTGGGCAGCAAAGCTGAGCAGTGGATGGATATAATCACTGGCTTTCTCGGGTGTTTTAGCCAAATCAGAGATTCCTGCGGGAAAAAAACAGACCAGAATATTGTTTTATAGTGGCTAAATAACAAGCTAACATGTAAGGATTTGTTATATTTCATCATTTGAAGATTATTAAAAAAAAAAAAAAGTTTATTGTTGAATAATGAACATGTCATCTCCTCTAAATACCGTATTGATTGATTGATTGATTGGATTGCGCGTATCGTACCCGGTTTGATCTTCATGACTACAGGCTTGCGGTGTTGATCTCTCATTTGCCGAATGTCCAAAAGTTCGTGGGGATTGCCATTGTGCCGGGGCCAACAGTACACGAATACCCGTGAGCCGCTGCTGCCACAGTCCACCACCAGGCCATAGTTCAGGTTGGGGTTGCTCGTATCTGTCGCATCCACGTCGTTCACCTTGGCCAAGTGCCTTTTTTGGACGACAAGAGAAACAAAGAATATTGAAATATTGAAGAAAGAATATCGCTCGTTGTTCATGAAGCACCGGGCAGACGCTTTAAGCGGTATAACCTGTGGAAGTGATTTTCCTCTCTGATCCAGCTGACGTGCCCCTTTCCAGAGGCCAGCAGCAGGTAGAGCAGCCCGACGAGGCAGAGCAGCAGGCCGAGGAAGAGCAGCTGTCTGAAGGAAGGGATCAGGAGCCGAGGAAGCCCCTGCGACGAGAGGCTGAAGTGCCACGGGGCCGGGAAGAGGCAGGAAAAGCTGATCCTGCCAAGCAGACGTATGAGCAAAGCAGTTACGCCTAAAATTGTCACAGGTGTGCGACGACCTCGCGAGAAAACAATCCCCATACAAATGAAAGCAAAACAAACCTCCCCATGATGTGGATTGTCTTCTACTTGCTATTGATCGCGTCAGTCTCCTGCAGTTCGGCGCTTCGGCTGGTTCCACGGCTCCGTCCCATCCTTCCCAGTGGTCATCGCCAGCTTTCAGGGCAACAGATCAAAACACGTGACGTTACATTTGGAGGGGAACTCCTGAGGCCATGTGAGGGACGGCCTGCCGTATTACCGCTACGTACCGGGAGCGGATAGCGCGATTTAAAACGAATTAAAACTGGGAACAATTGAAAAGACGACAGGGGAGCGCCACTAGTTCAAAGAAGGACGTCGCGCTGACGTCTGACACGGAGGTTTGTGGATGTCTAACGTGACCTAAAGTGACCCGTTTGTCAGCGTCAAACACAACAACTTGTACGTCCGGGGCCTTGAAAGGATTTCATACTTACCAGAATAAATAGTCCCCCCTTTTCAGGATAAAAATGACACGTCCCGGGACAGCCGCATGCTAACCGCTGCCTAATGCTTTAGCCGATATGTGGCAGGTCCCCGGCGAGTGACGTGTTCGTCCCAGAAGCCGGTGCGCTGGATTTTGACTCCACGTTGCCCGGATAAAGAGTTCAGCGACAGAGAGCGAGAACCCACAGCAGCCGAAACGACTTCATCTGCTCATTTGTTTAATAGCGCGTTGCAACCGAGACTCGGGCGCTTTACTGCCATCTACCGGCTGGAATGTGAACCACAACATTATTTTTGGACAAGTCACTAGTCGGCACATACATCTGTCTTTGCTCATTGACGTGAACCATTGTGCCTCCCAGTGTTTCTGTTTTCAAGATATATGCTCAGTTATGTAACGATGAATGCTAGATTTATATATTGATCGCGTACAGATATTTAGCCTGGGAACTTCTTACATTTAACCCGTTTAAATATATTGAAAAATCATCTTTTTTTTGTTTAATAGTTTAAAATGTTTATTTTTCTTACATTATGGTTGGATAAACTATATTGTACATAGTGATGCAGCTTTTTTTCTGAATAACTATACTTCAAGCTTTTTTCACAATGTTTTTCCAATATCGAACGATGGTAACCATGCCAATAAAAAACCTTTGAATTTGGATGCTTGCCAATCCAAATTCACCTCAGTTGTTTTGAATGTATTCCATTATGCTCTCTATGAGTCACTTCTGAACTGAGAAACGATTAAAGCCTTTCTTTAGTGCAAATTACTAAAAGACCAGTCTAGGTATCCTTTGTTCAGTCCATGTATAATAATCAACAAAAAATAACTCTAACTAAAATAACTTTTTTATTAAGCACACTCCATACTCATAAGATATATGTTGTCTGTTCAATTCACCCAATACTTGGAGGAATCCAGTTAATACATTAAAACACAATAGAAAAGCTACAATTTATTCAAGGATGATGATTAACATGTTTTGATTTGAGACCAGTATTAAGAACATATCACGTTTATCCATAACACATTTTTTTCTGTACAATCCATGTGTAGCGTCTAATATTTATAGCCATACAAGCTGAGATACAAATGTAATTTGACATTGTAAAAGCTGTGCATTGAATTTTTACTTGAATAATTATTCATCCACTTTCAACAGTGCTGCTCCTGTAGTGAACGCTGCTCATTTCTCCACTACAACCAGACAACTTGGACTTCAGTGGACCTCTCGCAGTGCATCCACTCCACCTGACTGATTCGCCAGCAGTAACTCACATCGACGTACTTGAGTCTCTTGCTCCGTTGCATTAAACTTCTCACTGTCATCATCGTCACATCGGTGCGCAGCAGGTTAACACGTTGTACCCGTCCAAGGGGCATGAGAGGAGAGTTTGTGGAATCTGCAAAAAAATATTGGTGCAAGTGCAATAGGTCCAGTACTTCCTGTAAAATGCCGTTCAGAGGGCAGGGCAGGGAGACCAGTGAGAGCTTCTCCAGCAAAGGAGAACCAGCCAGGAGACACTTCAGCACCTTCTCCAGGGACATGCAGGACATGACTGGCTTCATTTGGCTGTGCTCATAGGAGAAGCTAGACATAAGAACAAAGAATACAGATTACTTTAAAAAGTAATTAGTAGTAAATATGGTGGTCTTTGTCAAATTAGGATTTCAATTAATTCAACCTGCTAGGAAGTAATGAGGCATCGGTAAATGACAGAAAGACCACCTGGATGAAAGCTAACCAATAGGAAGCATTGAGTCTTAGTGGAGATAACTTACTATACTAGTAGTACCTACTAGACTCTGTCTTTAAATATGCTGGAATAAAATGGTGCAGAAAAAACTGCACTTATTTTTGAAGAAAAAAGAAAAAGTGTACATGGCTCATCTACCTTATTTACAACCAAATCGTTTGAATCTTGCAAAGGGTATTGGTTCTTTTCATTAAAACCATTTTAACAATAAACATTTCAAACTTACGCACGAGTTCAGATGTCAGTGTTATCTAAACAACAGCGTCCGTGTGGCTTGTTCAGTGAAGTACATGCACGGATCTACACCGTATCAACAGTGGCCTTACTTGAGTGTGAGAGAGCAGAGGTTAGCGAGCCGTGGAAGATTCTGTTCGGCCCTCTGATCCTCTTCATCTTCTGCTTCCCATGGCGTGGTAGGAGGTTCTGCAGAGATGAGCAGGTCTCTGAGCCCGGGACAGGCCTTGATGACCTCCAGTAGAGGGGTGTGAGGGCCGATTTTCACCCCCTCCAGGGTGAGGGAGACCAAGGAGGAGCATGCAACTTGCAAGGCAGGGAGGAGATTCACCAGCGGGCCAGGATGGTACATCGAAAGGCTGCGCAGCTGGGCCGACCACGCCTGGAGGCCTGTGGCTAACAGAGAACCTTGGCTTTCTCCTCTAGTGTTTTCAAAATCATCAACATGCACGGATATGGAGGAAATGTTTGGACATGCAAGACTTAAACTGTCCAAAAAGTCACATGATATACCCTTGACATCCTTCAGTTGAAGGACCAGGCATCCATCGTCTGACAAATCTCCTCCTCTCTTTCTGTCCTCTGTTTGGTTCTGAGAGCAATTTGGCCCTCCATCTCTTCTCGCCTCTTCCTCACTGTCACTACCAAACCCATCCGACAATGTCCTTTCCTCCTCTTCTTCTTCACGTGCTGCTGCTTCTCTCATTGTCCTACAAGTGTCCGTGCCTTGCCTGTGCCTCCAGTCCCTCCACAGCTCGACCAGCCTGGGAACACCTTCTCTGTCAGTGAACCCATCGCTCCGGTTGAACTGTCTTTGCTGGATGAGACAGCAGGCCTGCCCAAGGCCCTCCATCGCCACCCTCTCTAGGCCGGGCAAGGAGAGAAGGAGGTAGGCAGCCGCCGCCGCGGGGTCTCCCTCTTGCTCCCCGAATCCAATATCCAAGGCCAGCAGACTGATGAGGGGGAGGGGAGGCAGGGGTGCTGAGCAAGAAGAGGAAATAGAAGACTGGGAGGTGCAATGAGGTGACCGAGAAGGAGAGTCAGAGGATGAGAAGGAAGCCCCACCTCCAAGAGGGAGCAGCGCAGCAGGGGAAAGTAAATGGCAGCGGGATATGTCCAGATGGCGTAGCAAAGGACAGCGTTGGGCGATCGCCTTGATGACTCCTCTGTCACAAGGTGTACCAGCCAGGGAGAGCGAGCGCAGAGCTGGAAGACAGCACAGGGTTTCACACAGGACCTTTGAGGGCAGCTGCTGGCCTCCAGATAGATCCAGGCTCCGCAGACCCTGAGACAGAAAGGAGGAAATATTAATACATGAATTAATTAATTAAGAAAATGTATTTAAAAAAAATAAGAAGTATGTAATTATTATTATGGACACAGTTTTTCATATAATTCCATGAGGAATTTTGTATGCGGCAGATGTTATCTGACCCGGCAGCGTGCAGCGATGTGGGCACAGAGGGTGGCGGTGACCAGACTAGGACAACTTTCCAGAGACAGGCCACGGAGTTGGGGGACCAGCATGAGGTGGAGGGCCGCACGGGACATCTGCTTCCTGGTGCACAGAAGCCACGTCAGCTCCTCGACCAGCTCACCCGCTACATGGAGAGTAAAAGATTGTAGGAGAGGGAGAAACGTGGATTATAGGTGATCGATCGTGAGTTGTCGAAGGCATGGCAAATATCTCCAACCTATTATTCAACCTCCTACTTAGTACAAGTACCATATTTAATTCCATTTCAGAAATATATGTCAGAGAAATTTTGCTACAGTGAATCGTAAAATCCATTTGGTTAAAAGAGACTTTTACAACAAGGACCTTGTGGAAGTCACACTCACGCAGTAAGGTGAAAGGACCCATGATGTATCTGAATGAATAGTGATCCAGGTAATTATCGGCATAGTCCTTCGCCCACATGTCCTTCATGTTGTTTGCCAGGCTTAGAAGACAAAGACGTGTCAACGAAAGGACGTGTCCGTTTTCATCCGTCTTCCCGCAGCTCCCCACCCACTCCATATTCCTCGTCCTCCTCCGCCTGGGCCGAGCCTTTGCCCCACCATGTTCAGCCCGGAACAAAGGCATTACCAGACAGGAAGGGGACTGCGTGACGGGCAGGTGATAGGGAGAAGGAAAAAAATCATTTCTCATACCAAAAATTGTGTTTACTTATTTTGATTTGCTTCAACAATTTTTGTTTTTTCCTTGCATATCACCGAAGGTCTCTTAATCCTCTTAAGATAGTGTGAGACAAAAATGTTTTATATGAATCATTTTTTACTCAGTTAAATCTGCTAGTAAATCAATTTCTGCACCAGAAAACAACATAAGAACATACATATCCCGACTAAGCAGATTAACGTTTGACATTACAGTCATTATTTGTGAACCAAAACAAAAATATTATTTTTGGATCTGCTGCTCTTAAAATGTGTTTAAATTAATAATATTAAAAATTAATACTTTTAAACAGCCACTAAATATGATTAAGCTGTGTGTAAATATGAAGGTACGTCAAGTTAAAATAGGAAGAAATGTAAATGTTGCTTTCTTTCAGAGCTTGGTGTACGCGCTCACTCACAATGCAAAATCAAACAAAATTAGATAAAGATTGATAGTAATACGTATTAAGAAGTATGCCTAAATCATATTCTAGTTCACAACAACCGTGCAGCTTGGCCGCCGCAAGTTTGAGAGGAAAGGAACAGAAAAGGAGTTAAATCAATTCCTCTGCCTCAAGAGATAAATGCCAATATCACAATTCGTAATACCAGTTTTACATTTACCGTTTTTTAATCTTGTTCGATATGAGACATTGAGACACTCGACTGGGCAATCGAACTGAATATAGATACAATTAAGAAGAGATAAGAGACGGAGAACCGGGAGCTTTCACGTCATTTATAGACGGACTGGGAGTTAGCCATTAAGTACAATATAATATCCAATAAATAAGGAGTATCGCAATCTGACTTACCTGACAAAGCGCCTTACGTTTATGTGTTTCACTTGAAATAAACCAATAAACAACACTTTACAAGTCATGTAACGTTTGTTAAAGCAAAGGAGTTAAGTGAGGCTGCGCGACACTTCCTGACTCCTAACGAGTTATTGCTGCCTGAGTTTGGTCTCTAAGGCAAGAAGGGCTCAGGGGGTTGGTATGTACATGTATATATATCCTTTATCTAATCTTGGTTTTATTCCAGAACTGAACTGTAAATCAATAACGTCTTGGGGGGCGGTGCACAGTGCGTTGGGTAATGTCTTCCTGCAAGATGAAACTGAGGGCAAACATCGAGACTGAAAAAGAGCTACGCTCAAGGCCAATATGTTCTATAATCATTAAAAGATTGTTTTTTTAATAGGCACCTTGAAAATGTTCTTTCTGAAACTTGGCGCGAGAACACAACTGAGAACAATCGTCTACGATTCCCTCAAACCAAAAATGGTGCTTGAGAAAAGCCCAATACGCTGGTGATCCTGTTGTTTTCTGTCTGCCCGCTGGGGGGCGCTCCAACTAAACCGATGAGCTCAGGTGTAGAAGTCGCGGATTCATGGTTGTTGGTGTCAGGTGTTTGACCCCGGAAGGGTAAAGACCCCTAACAAGGTAGAAGGATGTTCTATCGGTGAATGAGTCCAACGATGAGTTGGCATGAAAGGTTTAACCACCTGCACGTGACCCACGTTTATTATTCTGAGAGAGACACACCTCAGTGGCTCTAAAGGGATTATACTGAGCTCCACTGTAAATAACAGTAAATAACAAATAACCACTTACCTCTGTGGGGATAGTCAGGTTGATATTGTTTGTTTTGATTAAAACATAAAACCAAAACTAACGGAACTGGTCACCAGGGGCAAAATACTTTAATATAATCAATATTGAGACTCATGTGTCCACGTTCAAACGTAATAAAAATAAATCTTGTTCTACATTACATTACATTACATGTCATTTAGCAGACGCTTTTATCCAAAGCGACTTACAATAAGTGCATTCAACCATAGGGTACAAACTCAGGAGAACAAGAAACAAGAAAGTGCAATTTCCTCAAATAAGCCAATTTACAATTTGCTATAGATGAGTGGTGTTACAAGTACAATTTAAGTGCTACAATTTGTTAGTCTTTAGTCGAGGTAGAGTCTGAAGAGGTGTGTCTTTAGTTTGCGGCGGAAGATGTGAAGGCTCTCTGCGGTCCTGGTGTCTTCAGAGAGCTTGTTCCACCATTTCGGAGCAAGGACAGCAAAGAGTCGAGATCTAGTCGAGTGTTTTGCTCTCAGTGAGGGAGGGACGAGCAGTTTAGCAGATGCAGAGCGGAGAGTGCGGGTTGGGATGTAGGGTTTGTTCTACCTACAGACACCTGTAAATGAGGACACTGAGTACATGGGATTGGACGTGGCCCTCCCACAGTGGCTATAACTGGTAGCATGACCTATCAACAGGGCACACATTGGTGTATTTGCAGAGACCTCGGCGTCAGCGGGGCGTGACGTGAGCTATCTTCATGAGTCTCTTCTGCTATCCGGCCCTCTCAGCTGTCTGGCACAGATGGCAAAGATAATCTATTAATGAAGCTATGGACTGGTTTGTAATTGGGTTCCAAGGGCCAGCGTGAAACTTGTTAATCTAAATGTTCTTGATTAATAGCAGCACATACATGTCCAAACAGACTTAGTGGTATTATTTATTTCAATCATCATTGTGACATATCAAAGAGTTCCTCTAACATATACATTTTGGTGTAGTGTTATGACTCCATGTCTTGAATACATTTTGAAGACAAAACACATATTAAGCAAGCTGTTAGTTTCCCTTCATTTCCCAACATTTAGGTAATGCATAACTAAACAATCAGTATTAAAACATTAAATGTATTTATTCCAATCAAATTTTATGAGGATAAAACTGATGCTGATAAAATTGCACCAGAATAAGTGTAAAATCACATTGGAATGGGTCAGATCTACATGAGTTTATGAACTGAATGAGTTCCGCAACTAAAAGAATGCTACAAAATACTCTTGTCCCTTTGTCGCTCTAAACACCCGAGTGGAGTGTGCCGTGTAAACTCTGAAGGAGCCATGATTCTTGCATATTTTGGCAACAGCATTGAAATTAGATCATGAAGCCACTGAGGAAAACCAGGTCAAGCACTGCAGCTCCACGATGCTGCTCCACAACACCGTGTTATTAAGACACTCAAAGGGCTCACCCCAAAATCAAAAACATAAATATTTCCTCTTACCTTTAGTTGTGTTTCTCAATCTAGATTGTGTAAGTGTAAGTGGGCTAGTTTTGGAGATATCAGCCGTACTAAATTACCGCCTAACTGCATTACTCTCATTACAATGCAACAAGTCGGCCCGTGGTGCTCAAAGCACCGCAATAATACATTTAAAAAACAGCAGTGTGTGAAATCATGACTCAGTTGTTCCCGACAATCCTTTGTGTTAGAGACTTTGCTTTGAGCTGCATGTGGGGGGGGCAGGCATGAGGCACAATGTGATGTGGAAAATTTGTTGTGTTGAAGTTAGCACACGATAATCACAGTACTTATTATATATTCTATTAGTTCATTTGAGTAAAGAATTCATGTAAATATATGAAATCTAAAACAATCTGAGCGTGCACATTGAGCGTAACTTAAATAAGCAACGGCTATTGCGTGGATATGTTTTAGTGCGCATGAATGACAAACAGCAAGTGCAATGTTAAAAAGTCCCTTTTTTCGTTTGAAAGCCCTTAAACGATCCTTAAAGAGTCAAATACATACCGATGACTCTCACAGAAACATGTTATTAATATAATGTTTCCTCTTTCATTCCCTGTATCTGAGATAAAAATGGTGTGTTAATTCATGCCCTATGTATTTGTCATACAATGGAGCTGTGCCCACTCATCATAAACTGAACATCTTGTTTTATCTTTCGGATTGACGCGTATCTTGTTAGTTACCGCCCTCTTCAAGCTGACTTTTGCAGCGAGTGAGCAAAGCGTTTAATCTGTGAATGGTACCACCTTCCTCCCGGCCACATACACCTCCGCTATGTTCCGATCGTCACCTGAAAGCAAAGAGACGACATGGAGTAAATGGTGCACGGCACATCGGAGTCTTTTAGGGTCGGACAAATTGAACAGAAATTGACACTCACCCAAATTCAAGAACTTTTCCAAAATAATCTGAAATGGAAATGATAATAATTTAACAACATTTCAGCTTTATTCATTTGTTTGTAAATATATTGAGCCTCCATTACCAACCTTTGGTTCCTCAGAATTCACAGACAGGTCCATGGGTCCACCAGGAGCGGCGACATTCACCCTCAGGGCGTCAAAGTCTTTGCCCACCTCAAAGTTGCCCGTCTGGCCATCCAGGGACAAGGCTACGGACAGAATAAATCATAAAAGAAACGCTTGTGTTCCCAGCCGCCCCATAAAATTTCAATCGGTTATTCCCATAAATACATGTGTGTGTTAAATCAGGCATTTCTTCTGCAAAGTGACTAAGACATGATGCCACCGCTGCCTCTTTGTTTTTACCTTGGCTGCCTCCCAGCGTGGCCAGTCTGAACACCTCCTCAAAGGTCAGCGTGTTGTAATTCGGGTTCTGGATTGTCAAGACTTTGGACGTGTCCCGAGCTCTCCTCACGGCGTCCAGCATAGAGGCCGAGTAGCCCCCCGCCACGTCTGAAAGTACAAACACAGACAATGGATGCTACTTTCAGGCATGAAGTTAAAACACTCACTACATCAGAACAAACCAAACACATTGGCCTTCTAATGGCGCTAAGGGTTAGGGTTCACACACACACCTGTTCCCAGCCCCAACTTCACTTGGTGTTTCAGGACATTGCGAACATCCAAAAGTCCACTGCACAACCTGAGAAAATATGTAGACAGTATGTAGACAGAGAGATAGAGAAAGAGACAAAGATAGTCATGTTTTATCTGCTGCATATCTATTGTACAATCTGTGTCACGAGAGTTCAGGTCTGAGACTTACGAGATGTTGGAATTGGGACAGTGAGACAAAGAGGCTCCTGTCTCTTTGAAAATAACCAACTCCTCGTCACTGAGGTGGCAGCCGTGAGCCATCACTGTCTGTGAAGCACCATTGTCATCATCAACATTTTCATTTTTAGACAAGCCGGCGTGGAACACCTGGGTGTGCGCCAGCGTCACACCCTGTGTGACTCACCTTGTCAGTGAGCAGGTTGTTTTTGAGATAGACGTCCGTGTAGGACGCGTATTTAGGAAACAGCTGCTTGACAAGCTTCACTTCCTCAAGGTTTTCACTGATATGACTCTGGAAGTGAACATGCGTATGTCAGACATTTACCACTGTGTCATGTTTGCTTTAAATTAACCTCTCTGTAACTCCACTTCATGTGTCTGATCACTTCTTCATCTCTTACTCCCTTCCACTCTCTATAACTAACAAACCTCCCTCATTGACTAACTCTATACCGGCTCGTCGCAATATTCGCTCCCTCTCTCCCTCCTCGCTGGCATCCTCTGTTCTATCAGCTCTCCCTTCAACTGACTCCTTCTCACTCTTGCATCCAAACGCTGCTGCAGAGACTCTCCTCTCAACTCTTTCCTCCTCTCTAGACTCTCTCTGCCCTCTTACGACACGACGGACTGGCAAATCCCCTCCGGCTCCGTGGCTGTCTCAACCGGTCAGTGCCATGAGAGCCACCATGAGAGCCACCATGCGAGCGTCGGAAAGGAAATGGCGTAAATATAAACGACCTGAGGACCTGCTCGAATTTCAATCTCTCCTCTCCTCGTTTTCTGCTTCTATCTCTGCTGTCAAAAGCTCTTTCTACCAATCCAAAATCGAATCCTCATTCTCTAACCCCAAAAAACTCTTCTCGATCTTCTCCAATCTCCTCGAACCCCCTACCCCTCCTCCCCCCTCCCCCCTTCTTCCGGGAGACTTTGTCAACTACTTCACCAAGAAAATAGCTGACATACGCTCCTCCTTCTCAAACCCACCTCCTACTTCTCGCGTCCCACCGACCTCACCTCTTTCGCCCTCACTTTCCTCTTTCACCGCCCTCTCTCCTAACCAAATTCTTACCCTAGTAACCTCTGCCCGTCCGACCACCTGCCCTCTTGACCCCATTCCATCACATCTTCTACAATCTATCGCACCTGACCTTCTTCCGTTCCTCACCTGTCTCATCAACAACGCTCTGTTATCTGGCTGTTTTCCCAATTCTCTGAAGGAGGCAAGAGTCAACCCTCTCCTGAAGAAACCCACCCTCAACCCATCTGAAGAAAACAACTACAGACCGGTCTCTCTTCTTCCCTTTTTGTCCAAAACCCTTGAACGTGCTATCTTTAATCAACTCTCCTCTTATCTCCACTGTAACAACCTCCTTGACCCCCACCAGTCAGGTTTCAAGGCAGGCCACTCCACAGAGACTGCTCTCCTTGCTGTCTCTGAGCAACTCCACACTGCTAGAGCCGCCTCTCTCTCCTCTGTCCTCATCCTTCTGGACCTCTCTGCTGCATTTGACACGGTCAACCACCAGATCCTTATTTCCTCCCTTCAGGAACTTGGTGTCACAGGCTCTGCTCTCTCCCTTCTCTCGTCCTACCTCGATGGTCGCACCTACCGGGTAACCTGGCGAGGATCTGTGTCGGAACCCTGTCCTCTTACTACTGGAGTTTCTCAGGGTTCCGTGCTGGGTCCCCTCCTGTTTTCGCTTTACACAAACTCTCTTGGCGCTGTCATTCGCTCGCATGGCTTCTCTTACCACAGCTATGCCGATGACACCCAACTAATTCTCTCCTTCCCTCACTCGGACACCCAGGCGGCGGCTCGGATCTCTGCCTGTCTAACTGACATCTCTCAGTGGATGTCCGCCCACCATCTGAAAATCAACCCCGACAAGACTGAACTACTTCTCTTTCCCGGAAAAGATTCGCTTACCCAGGACCTGACAGTCAACTTTGGGAACATCGTACTAACGCCCACTTCGACCGCTAAGAACCTCGGCGTCACACTCGACAGCCAACTCTCCCTGACTCCCAACATTGCCGCGACAACGCGATCCTGTAGATACACGCTCTACAACATCAGGAGAATACGCCCCCTTCTCACTCAGAAGGCAGAGCAGGTACTGATTCAGGCTCTTGTCATCTCCCGCCTGGACTACTGCAACTCCCTCCTGGCAGGTCTCCCCGCCACCGCCATTCGACCTCTGCAGCTCATCCAGAATGCAGCAGCTCGACTGGTCTTCAACCTTCCGAAATTCTCCCACACTACTCCACTCCTCCGCTCTCTTCACTGGCTACCGGTGGCCGCCCGCATCCAGTTCAAAACATTGGTGCTCACGTACCATGCTGTGAATGGATCGGGTCCAGCTTACATCCAGGACATGGTCAAACCCTACATCCCAACCCGCACTCTCCGCTCTGCATCTGCAAAACTACTCGTCCCTCCCTCACTGAGAACAAAACACTCGACTAGGTCTCGACTCTTTGCTGTCCTTGCGTCAAATGTAAATGTTGTGCAGCTTGTGTTAGATCATTTGTTCTTGGATGGTGAGGAGATTACCTGAGCTCTCTGTGTGAAATAACTGCAGGTTTGTTCTGAATTCTAAATATGGATAATTGCAAGTATGTGACCTTTTGTTGAAGACAGTCAATGACATTGCATACAATTCAGCACAAAATGTAATGTTGTTTACAAACACTGATGTTGTAAATCTGGGATCATCACTAATTTTGTAAAAATAAAAATGTTATTTGTTTATATTTTTATATTGTTTGATTACCAAAATATGACTACATCAATTAAATGTATTATATCTCTCACATAATTGTGTTTTTAATTCTTATTGCCAAACTTGTTATGGTATTTATCTTAAAATGTGGATGGTGCAACGTCCTAAATGTTATCTCCTATCAGTTTATTGGAGACATATAACTGGAAACTGTTGTTTAGTGAGATGATTAAGAGACGAAAGAATATAAAAACCCTTAAGTACGGCATGTTTTGTGGATAACAAACTAGCAAGCTCAAAATAAGAGCACGTTGTAAGATTATTCAGTCTTTGCGCAATATTTGTTTTAAAAACGGGACCGTTAACAGATACTAAAATACTCAATCAAGATGTTAAGTTTCATTATTACTTGGTATAGCAATAAAATAGTCAGGTAGTTCATAACAATTCATGCTCAGCGTCTTTGTGTACATTTCCAAACGCTGATTCCTCCCTCACTCCCCCTTCTTTCACTTTCAATATGATGCTGGGGGAAGTTTTTGTTTTGGAGGCTTTACTTCACCGCAGCGTTTAAAAGAAGGTTTTTCACTTCATCGCAATCAACTGGAGCCTCAACAAATACTGAAATACTCAGTCAAGAAATCGGCTTACTCCACACTAACAACTACACTGTTTATTAAGAATTATCATTATTTGGATGAAGGATGTGGGTGCATCAGGTACAACAAGATCATCATATGAAAGTGTATCAAGAGGTTTCGTTATTACTTGATATAGCAATAAAATAATAACTTAACTTAACGTAGCACTTAAATTGTACTTGTAACGTCACTCATCTATAGCAAATTGTAAATTGGCTTATTTGAGGAAATTGCACTTTCTTGTTTCTTGTTCTCCTGAGTTTGTACCCTATGGTTGAATGCACTTATTGTACGTCGCTTTGGATAAAAGCGTCCGCTAAATGACATGTAATGTAATGTAAATTGTAGCATTCAGATAAAGCTTTGATCAGCTCACCTGAATGGGCAGGTTGTGTTTCTTGGCGATTGCTCCCAGCTCTCCCAGCAGGGTTTCCTTGCAGGATAGAGCGAAGCGGGGAGTCACCACTGGTCTCACCAGAGGGTACTACCCAAAAAGCACAGGAGGAGAGGAGGGCGGGAAAATAATTTTTTTCAAAATGCAGTTCAAACTTAATCTTTGGCTTAGATCCTAATGTTTATTTGTTTATGTCATAGATTGTTACCTTTTTGTCCAAGAGCTCTTTAATGAACCTTGCGGGAAGAAAACAATGATGGTAACTGATTTGTAGCAGCAACATTTGCCAAAAACTTTGAATCTGAACAAATATAAACAAAAAATAACCAAATCTGTGATAGTAAGAATTAAATAATAAGTTTGCATCTGTGCAAACCACCTGTGCACTGACTGTCCTCTTTCTGTATTCATACTCTCGGCCCGAACTATTTAATATTTATGTATATAATATATAATTTCATCTCAGTTGCTGTAATTTATTTTATTACTGCTATTTCTGTTTTTATTAATCTTGCTTTTTACTTTAACCTTTGCTTGTCACGATGTGGGTTTGTTTATTTTGTAGTTTCCTTTGAACGTTGAATGTTATGCCGGCTCGTCATTCCCTGAATGTCTTGTGCGTTCCTGGTCCCCGCCTACGTTTTTGCCCCTTTGGCATTTTTTGATTTTGATTAAACGATTAGTCTTGTTTGTTTTCAACTCAGCATTTCTGTCGCGCCTCTGCCTAAATGCCCTTTACCGTGACATTGCTGCTGTAACCCTGTAAATGTTCCCTCTTCGGGACCAATACAAATATCTTCAAGGTAACAATCATGAGAACATTTAAAAGAAAATGTCAAAGAGACTTTGTCCTCCTTCAGAAAGACATTTCTTTCCTAATCTGTTATAAGGATCATGATATATCTCAGTTATGTGCAGCTTTTTGTTAATGTGTTCTATCACATACTCTATCAGGTGTACTGTGGTAGCTTGAAATGCTTGAACTGACAATTGTCTCTTATCCGACAATGTGTGACTAAAGTTGTTACTCCGGTGCTTGTTTCTGATTGAAAAGGCCTGCCAGATTTCCAGCACTTACAACGTTTATTGAACAATTATCAAGTCAACATTATATTTTGAATGAGCATTTAAACTAAAGTCGCATCCTGTTTGGCACAATTTAAAGTTTGTTTTACTATATATACTATACTAGGACGTACCCATCTAAAACGTGTTAATGAACTGTTAATACCCACCGGCAGGTTTCATCTTGAGATTCCTGGGTGGTCTCTTTGTAATGCTCCACAAAATCGTTAATGTCCATACACACCTTGCCCACCAAGGCACGCTGTCCAAAGTCATCTGCAGGAAAAACATGGATGAAAGAACATGAAAAATCATTATCTGTTAATCAAGTATGTGTGCTTTTTACAAAAGGTGGCTGCAGTTTGTCAGAAAAGCTTCTGTAAACTCTAAGTTCAGTTCAGTCACACCATTTGTTTGGGCATCATTTAACAACTATTTTGATATTGCAGATGCACTTCAATTCAATATTACAATTGTAATATTTATATATTATTTTTTTATTTGGTTATTCCAAATAACAACATATTTCCCACAAAATGAAACAGCAGCTTAGAACAGGACGAAGGTAAGGGATCAAAGCTTGTGTGTTTGTGTGTGCGTGTGTGTGTGTGCGTGTGTCTGTGTGTTGCACCGTTGCGTAACATCACACCATGATAAGGACACGGTGTAAAGGTGGAAAAAGAGATTGTCTCTTATTGCTGTTCTTTCTGTCTGACTCTAATAAAGAATACAAAACATAATGACTGGACTTTAGCTGATGCGTTGTTCACCACTGTCTGATGAAGCCTGCGGATCCATTATCACCTTCTGAGCTGCTGCTCTGACTATTTCAGTGACTATTTTGGAAGGAAAATATAGTACATTTTATTCATCTACTCTAATGTCTATCAATCCTTAGATATTCTTCTGTAATCATCTCCATATTATAATGACAGAATTTCACTTCATGAGGCAAAGGAATATGTGACTGCCTGACAACCTCAGTCCTGCAGTCTGATGGGCGCCCAGTTAGGATGAGAGATGGAAAAAAACCTATGAAAAATATACACTATAAAATATGATCGAGATTGCCTCCAGTATTTGTCATTTGGGCAGCGCCATGGCGACCGCCCAACCACCCAGAGTTCACCGGCTGTCACGTGATTACTAAACTATGGTGAAATATGTTTTCTTTGTGCTATTCACAGCATTCCCGCCTTGACCCTTTACATGCAACTGTGTGTTTTTTTGCGTGTTGGACATCTTACTTGCAAGTTTGCCCAACAGCAGAGAGGCATCTGTATGTATGCTTGTAAAGTAACATGCAGTGGTTGTTCCGTTTCTCAGGGTCCTTTTCTGTAAAGCACCAGAATCAAATTACAGGATTAAGAACATTTAAACACTCTTTTCTATACCCACCTTTTCACAACCCTTAGGCTGTGAGACAACAGAGGAAACTTTATTTTTCACTCGCCAGCAGCGAATTGCAACGCTTTTGACGAACCAAGATCACACCATATTACATATTACAAGTGTACAAAGCTCAGTTTTGGCTCCCTGTGACTGATGCACAGAAATCTGGCTATTCAAAATATTTTATTTAATAGTCACTTCTTCCACAGTGCCCGGAAACTCACCACTACTTGAGAGTAGACCCTTTGGGCAAAGTTCAAGTCCGTGAACTGGGACTCCACAGGAAAGGTGTAGGTATTGAGCCACTGCAGCAACGGCATGTCCAGAGCTGTGCCCGCATAGCTGTACTGGCATGCATGGATGTGTGTGTCCACGAGTCCGGGTATGAAGAACTCACTGGAGTGCAACAAGTCAGGGAAAATGGCAAAACATGTAGGCCTATGTTGTTGTTTTTTATGGTATATCCAAAAAAAACGTTTTTTTATATCATGAACAATTATTCAGTCATTTACGTGTATGTTCTACTTACTCTTTTGCCAGTTGAGTTACTTCACTGGGATTGAATCCAAAGGTCTGAGACAGCGTCTGCAGCTCCGCGCCTCTCCCCATGAAAGCGATCTGATTGCAGAACGGAAATGAGTAAAAAGTTGATGTTGGTCAAAAATAGTTTGCATGTGAAAGATGCATGCAGGAAAGGCTGAGGGACAGCAGGACAAGTGTATGGCCACATATTTTCCTTTTTAGATGATTATTTCCACTACAGGCACGCTGTCAGACAGCATGCTGTGCGTTATGGATGGTGATGCATTCCAGTTCTTACCATTAGTAATCCTCACTAACCAGCGTATGATTTTCACAACGTCCACAGATCGTATTTCCGTTTTGACATTTGAAGTGTATTTCAAACTGTTATTGAGTTTTTGGTCTCTGAGAACTTTCGTGGGCCAACTTGTTAAAGCAAAGTGAAAGTGATGTCTTTGCTTTATGTTTATTTCAACCATGTAAAGTGTCTTTGAATAAATAAAAAAGGCATTTAGGTTATTATGTAACAGACTGTGAAACCGAAAATAAGAAAGACGCCGCACTGTGCCAAATGGTGCCTCCTTGATATTGGGTAGCTACAGATATTTATTCCCAATATCATGTTTCGAAGTAGAATATATCGTTTCTTATACATATATAAGAAACTTGAAAATTGTATATACATAGAGAGAGAGAGAGAGAGAGAGAGAGAGAGAGAGAGAGAGAGAGAGAAGAGAGATGCACTAACTTTTCCGTCTGTATCCACTCCGAGCAGCTCATCTTCTAGGACCTCCAGCGCAGTTTTCTGGGTCGAGTGCATGAACGTCCCTCGGTACACGTTTGCGATGGTCGCGGCGGGTCGGTCGGATTGCGCCATCATCCCAACCGCTGCGTCGGCGTCGAGCAGAGAGAAACCAGCAGATCACCACGACGCACCGATGAGCAGCCGCACCACTCGGCTTGACGTGCGAGGGAAGTGTGTGTGTGTGTGTGTGTGTGTCTGCGCCCTTTGGCGTCGTATTTATACGACGCGTGGGGTGGGCTTGTTGGATCGTCAAGCTGTCACAGTAAAAAAAACAAAAAAAAACACAGTAACCAGGTAGTTGTTTCCTGTATCGTTTTGTGTCGCAGCCGATATCACACAGCGCGGACCGTGGATCCGGTGGCGCACTGGACACGTTTGAACTTGAAGCCTGGTTGATCTTCGATCCCAAATGTCCAACTCACGCCTCGCCTGTTCGGCCTCTCTTCTACATCAAAGAGAAGGTTGACTAGATGGGTCCGTGGTCCGGTCCGGTCCGGGTAGCCCCTAATAGTCCCCTTTACCGTAAGAACCATTAAACGAAAATAGGGAAATACCACAGTTTCCTCGTTTATTCGTTGTATGGGTTTTACGGTAAAAGGGACTATCAAGGGGTACACGGACCCAACTGGGGTCAGTGGTCTGTTTATTGTGTTTATTTATCAGTGAAATTATGCAATGGAACTTGCAGATACACTCCAGGTTAATAGAGAATCCCTCATCACTGCAAAGTCATTGCTTTTCATACACATTGGGACCATAACGCATTATGCACCATGTCTGATATAGTAATGGTAAAACAAAGCTTAGAGGCTCAACATACAGTCAAAGCGTGAGTTTATAGATTGGCATTAAGTTATTATATTTACAAGTTTCAACTGGAAATCAAACTGCAATTTTAGCTTTGAAGTATAAAAAGACAGAGGAAAGAGGACATTCTGTACAATCTGTCTCCCGAAAATCATCAGCAGATTTATGTCAAAACATGAACATGGGTACAGAACATGGGTACACTAACAAGGATTTGCACTTCCTCCGAAACTGAACTTTGCTTGTGGAATGAGTCAGTAGGTTTATGTGAGCTCAGTATCTACGCTGGTTAGCTGCACACGTAATGGTAGCTATGACTACGAGCCTCACGTACCTTCACACAGTAAAGAAATCAAACTGCATTTTGAGGTTGTACACTGCAGAGAGAGAAGTATAAAAAGTCTCCCAAGCAGATGTTTGTCAAAACATGAACCAGGGTACATGAATGAGGAATTGTACTTCCCACAAAACTGAACTTCTGAAATGAGTTAATGATGCAAACTCTGCAATATTCTTTTGAATTCCTTTAAGTCATCGTTTACACTTGTTTCTCTGTGTACATTACCAGTGTTTGGCATAGGTTCTCAAAAATAATAAATATCATACAGTGACAATGTTTTGCAAATATTAGAGATACATTTTTGAAAGTAATAAAAAAGTGGAAACATCTTACGGTAACAATGGGGGACAACGTATGTCATAGACATGTAAGTACAGGCCGATTGGTGATTAAAAGGTCATTTTTACATATACCATCACAACTACAAGTAAAACGTATTTTTTTAACAGCCGATACATCCATTAGTAGCTTTCAGGTTCAGATACTGTTGGTTGTATGAAATAACACCAACAACAACATAAGGTTTGAAATACTGCCCGATAGGTTTGAATTTATAAACCTCCTTAAGATGAATGAAAACACATTACCTTTAGTGAAACATGTAACTACGTGTTATTCTGTGACAGGAAGCGGAACTAAGGAACATTTTAACTTGAGCATGATCATTTTCTTCCCGTCTATGATGCACCTCGTCATAGCAGCTAACAGAAACATCTCTCCGCTGTACAGTAGTGAACTAACATGCAAGTTAAAAGGTAAGATATATCAAATTGAAATTCACAAATCTAAATTGGTCAAGCCTAAACGTTTTTTGGGAATGTCAAAGTTTTAGTTGCGAAGTGAATTGCTCCGGAGAGGAGGGCCAAATAAAAATGCAACTCAGTGGAAATACTAAATCGGATTGTGCATAACAGGGTGAATATTTTAGAATCAGTTCCTGATGTTGAGGGGAAACCTCTACTTCTGCTTTTATAGGTGCTGATACATCACAGCCACTATTATTCTAGGTATTGTGAGAAGAATCTGTAGCTTAGAGACATGAATTTAAAATGAATATCCACACTGTACAGGTTTTTATTACAGGAAAGCGAAGAATATATATCCAGGCGGCGTTTGAGAATTGTTTTTCGAATGTACAGTATACAATAGTCATTCTGTTCCCAATGTTACATTCACTCGTACTTCATGTGCTGCATCAAGCCGCATTTGCAGTACTTCGTTGGAATATGGAAAAGTCACAAACATCATACTGTACTGTAGAACATTAGTTTTGCATTAATGTAAAACAAAAAAAACATGGTAACAAGAACCCTCTCACCCTCTTTAGTCTTTAAAACTGACTGTGGATACATCTGGAAGCACATCAGACCCGTTCTGTTGCTTCTTTGGTTCTGAGTCACTTTCCAAATCAGCTCCTTTATCCCCATCATCTCCTCTTAGGTCACTTAAGTCGTCATCATCATCATCATCATCATTATAATCATCATCACTGTCCAAATCATCCAAGTCCTTCTTCCCTCTTCCCCTTCTTTTCTTTTTTTGCTCATCGTCTTCCTCTTTGTCTTCGTGTGAGTTTAATCTACACAGTGAGAGAAAAACAAAATGAAAGTCTCCATAGTAATATTTCTATATTTGTGGTATGACATTTAAAAAAAAGTTATTTTTCTTTCAGTACACATAGAGATTGCAATAATTGAACCAAAATAAAAGATGAAACAGTACATAAGAATGAATTGATGCAAAAATGCTGAATGACAATGCGGGAGAAGGGCATGTCAAGGAGTTGTGAACCCTTTTCAAAAGGTCAACTGTGATGTATCATTTTGTCCACAAGATGGCAGACTCGCATCACAATTTACTGGGTGAGTTTGAATCGGACTTTGTCGACTTCTTAAAATGTACAGATAAAGACCACAAGTAACCACATTTCTTAAAGTATTTATATAAAATGTGTGACAACATGTGATATGAATAGCTGATGGAAATGTCGGCAGGGGAAACGTAACAGAAATTTTGTTTTTTAGAATAGTAAGCAGAGAAGTTGTTAATTCAGACAAGGTCGGAAAACACAAAAATACTCAAATTATCACCAATCCTCTGAAAGCATGCATATGCTCAAACAAACCAAAAGATACATATAGCACCACTCACGGTATAACGATTTCCTCTTTCTTCCCACACTTGCAGCAAATCTCTAGCTGAAGGGAGCAGGGCTTACAAATGATGTAATATGCATCCTTCACTGTCTTTTGAGAACACTTGACACTGAAACAAAAAGAATACATGCATGCACAAATGTAAGCATTTTTCACATTTGAACCCACTACAGCGGTCTAAGACATGAATGACGAATACAAACAAATAACCCTTAACTGCACATATACAAAAGTGTCACATGCATGCAAAAGATTATGCGAGTCTGACTTTGGTTGTCAATCATGAAAATGTAATAATCAAGTGTTTGGTTGATGAATGTACCAATCATCTCTTGGGTATTATCCATTTTGTGTTTCTTTCTTTGTCTATTTCTGAGCAAAAGCTTAAGCAAGTTGCTTAACCTTTTGCTCAGAAACCGTAATTGCGTAAAGCAACAATTACGGTCTAATGTACTGGAACATTATCAGTGAGGAGATATTTCTGATTTATAAAACGATTGTTAAACTAAACTCACCATTTTTTAGCCTGCGTCAGAGTCTTATACTTTTTGTACTTCACTTTCCACTCAAGAACCCCCTTACAATGTTGACAGAGCCCATCGTGGATCTTTGAATTTGCCTTCTAGATTTGTGACCACATAAAAGCAGAAACACGTTAGGAAAGTTAGAATGATGCTACAACATGGCTTAACGTTAACTAACTAACCAAATATCAGCTTTTAAAGGATGCATTGCGAGGAAAAGAAAATAACCATTACTTGATACATTGTTTCTTTTATGTCGGGACAGACGAAAGTTAATTACGGCCTTTACACAAGAGTACACTTGTAAACTCTTTCACAAGACACGATGTAACGTCCGTTCGTGGGTTTATGTGAGCTCAGTATCTACGCCGGCTAGCTGCACACGTAATGGACTACGAGCTTCACGTACCTTCACTTGTACAGTCGCTCCGTACTTGTCGTTTCTGAAGGCAGAGATGTTTTGATGTTTCTGGCCTCGCGACCGCGTTACGTTACCTTTCTGAGAACTCATTATATTTTCAAATTTTAGTTACACATGTTAGCTGGGTAAAAAAAAGAACATGAGCATGCTGGCCTGGTACGTACTGACCCGGAAGAACTATGAGCGCGTCATATGGCGTCATTGATATCGAAACGCGGAGCCTCCACTTCCCCCCCCCCCCCCCCAAAAAATATAATAATAATCGTATTATTATTATATTTTAAGAGATTTACGTTGGAATAAAAAACCTAGGGAAAAAACAAACAAACAAAGTTTCAGATTTACGAATACGTAACGAAATAGTTACCAGATCGAAAATGAGAACATCCTCCACCGGTCGCTGATTGGACTGAGCATGGCAATGCTGATCCCTGGTTGGTTCTAGTCAACGTCAATCAAAACATTAGGTCACCGCTATGCGGCGTATTTAGCAACCGCCCATAAATATCCTCGTTGTACCATTCGTGAACTCGTTTCAACAGTCTCTTTGCTATTGGTCAATGAGACTGTCAGTCACGACTCCCTACTTCCTTACGTGCCAGGATAACAAGTAGAGTGGTTTTCTCAAGGTAAGAGTGATGTTTTGGAGGCAAGCGAGACCGCCGAGGACCGATTGGCTTTTGGCAGGAATTTAACCTATTAAATGTCATCACTTCATTTAATTGACCCCATGTTGCCGTTGAACATGTTATACACGGGCGTTTTACATGAATAGACCTCGTTATCATTCAGGACCATATGTTAAGAAGACCGAGAGGAGGAAAAACAAAAAGAAAGGACCGTTCCGGAGGCCGTCTGGACCCGGACCCGGAGGACTAAGCGTCTGGCTGTTGGTGACGTTGCCTCGCAGCTGTGGTGCCAAGAGGGATCTACGCTCCCAACGTGACAAACCCAAGGAACAGGGGATTAATCTGGCCGAGCCGAACCGTGACACTCTCTAGGCGTCGAAAAGGAGATGGTTTAGTTCGCCTGTTGCGAAAAAAAACCACGGCGACGTTGAACGACACTTAAAGAAAACTGAAAGAACAACTAAACCAGCGTCCACCGCCCGCCTTCCAGGTAAATGCTGTGCGAGTCATTCCGATCTGTGCCGACGGAGAACGCGCGCATATTTGCGTGACATCGTAATCTCTTCAGACACGTTTCTGCCTCCACCACCATTTTACAGAAAACCTGCGAGGGTCTCCGTCCCGTCACCGCGGTGCGAGGTGTTTGGGTTCATTAGGGTGACTTAAAATAAAGAAGAAAAAGGCCTTCGCCATATACATTTCACCTCTGCGTCTCGCAGGAGCGTCATCCATAGATCACGAGTACACCGGCACAAATAATAGAAGTACACAAAGGTCATTGAGCGGTATCGCAGTCAGCTGTCTGTGTTTTGGATTAGAGGGTCCAGCGGTTCTTTCAAAACTATACAATTAATACCGTTTCAAAATAGATTAATCAGGAAAATAACGCGTTATTCCAAGGCCATGAATATCCCGTAAAGGTAAGTATTATAGGTCAATGTAAAATAGCAAAATAAAAGCTGTTTGAATTGGCTACATGGGGAATTGGGTTTGTGAGTAGTGGGGAGGATGTGCTGCACACTTCATACTCATTTACAAGAACAAGTCCATATTAAGGGAAAAACTGCATTAAACCTAATTATATTCTCCAGCAGATTTGCACATTTGACTCGTTTTCAGTAGTTTTGCAAAGATTTGACAGCAGGGTGTAATTTCTTACTTTGAGCACCTTCCTTGGAAATCTACAACACCTCGTCACAACCCGACTGCTTGTTTTCCCCCCTGTTTTTAGAAGCACACGAGTAGCTTTACAGAGGTCCAATTACTTACTTGTCACATCTTTGAGGACCTTTTGTCAGGTTTACAAGCTTCAATGTCACCAAAACGAGCTGTGCTGCTGTGTGTTGTGCCGCCTGGCCACTACGGTTCCAGAGCAGCTGGGTTATCCAAAAGGTAGCCTGCGGTGGGGGGGTCCAGGTGCACGGTGAAATAAGAGAGAACCAAGGTAGACGGAGACATGGAATTGGGGTAAGATAATATATTTTTTTTACTACTGCTTGAGAGAATTTATATCAGCCTGTCTTTAGCCCCCAGTGCTGGAAGTGCCCTACTTTTTCTTTCTTTTTTTTAAAAAACTCAATGAAACAAGTGTTTGTGTTCTTGGCGTGAACTTTATTCATGGACTCTGTTGCCCTTGTGAGGTTTACCTTGTGATCAGTCTTCAGGCGCTGCAGAGGCCAATTGGTGGCTGACCTTAAACTGATGTTTGGTGTGATTATATCTGAATCTCTTTCTCACTTGTCAAAATGAAATTGTCTACTAAGGAAATGTATACTTCAAGTTTAACCATTCTCATTCTCCCCTCTGCAGCGCTTTCAGGATGAACCACTTATCCCTCAGCGAGCTGTGTTGCCTGTTCTGCTGCCCGCCGTGCCCCAGCAAGATCGCCTCCAAGTTGGCCTTCCTGCCCCCGGAGCCCACCTACAGCCTCATGTCCGACGACAGTGGCAGCCGGTGGACGCTGCACCTCTCTGAGCGCGCCGACTGGCAGTACTCGTCCCGCGAGAAGGACGCCATCGAGTGCTTCATGACCCGCACGACGAAAGGGAACCGCATTGCCTGCATGTTCGTCCGCTGCTCGCCCAGCGCTCGATACACTCTGTTGTTCTCTCATGGGAACGCGGTGGACCTGGGCCAGATGAGCAGCTTCTACATCGGCCTGGGCTCACGGATCAACTGCAACGTCTTCTCCTACGACTACTCTGGTTACGGGGCGAGTTCGGGGAAACCCTCTGAGAAGAACCTGTACGCCGACGTTGACGCCGCCTGGCAGGCACTCCGGTCCCGGTAAGGAGAGATGGTGGGAAGTGGGCACACCCGTATGCAGATGTTGGGAAAGGCAGTACTTAAGTCGCGTGCAGGCCCTAAAGAATTTCTTGGAAAGCCGCAAACTACAAATTAAATGGCAATGTAGACAAAACGCACAGACAGGGGAGTGAAGCGAAACCAACAAATGGAGAAATATCAGAAATGCATTGCAAGAATTTAACCTGCCTGCAGAAACTGGTGTAGCAACCCCAAACCTGAGGGAGAAGGGAAGTAACCCAAACCACATGCAAATAGTGTTCAATGCATGACAACAATAAGAAAGTCTTATTTGTCACCACTCTGGTCGTCATTATTTGACTGCTTTCGAAGGATAGTGTGAAAAACCACAATGCCAACCTTTCCTGCCTTCTTTTTTTTAGACGTTAAGTAAATAAGGAACTATTGAACTAATGAGAGCTCTTAAGAAACCCAGCAATGTCAATAGGAGAAATCCCAGACATAAAGCGTTGTAACGGGAAGAGTTAAAGGCACGAGTGCTTGGCAGAAGGAGCTCGAGGGACGGATGATTAGCTTGGACCTGATAACATCTTGGGTGCAGATGACTGGAACAGTTTAGAAGGAATGACGTGATGTTTTTTCCGGGCGGTGTTGAGGACTGTTTTCTATGATTATGCGGCCCGGCCGTATGTAGGTGTGAGTGGGTGCTCTGATACATCGTTTTGCTCTACAGGATATGAAGAGACTGATATTTATTGGGAAATCTTAACACTTCAAGAAACTCAAAATGTCATTTTTACATATTGCGCTTCTTGTAGATTTTTCGTGAGCTTGTTGAAACTGCACATCTTTCATTTTCTTCCGCCAGTGTTTAACCGTGTGTCTTTTTTATAACCACGTAGGCTTTGTTCTCAGGTGTTTGGTTCCATGTTAAGAACCTCTGGTCTCAAACAAACAATACACTTATATATTAAAAACAAGTGGTTGAGTAGCAATAATTCGGTGGGAGTGTTTGTCAAATGTTATGATCTTCTTTTTTACTGTTAATAGGAGAAAAGTTATGTGAAATAATCCATTCATTATTTAGGGCATTCTTTTGTTTTTTTTACATGGATGGGGTGGAAATATTCTGTACATTTCCTGCTAATGGCGGAGATGAGGAGTTCTGTAAATGAGCTATGAAGAGTGTGGAGTGACTTTCCTGTGTGGCAATGCAGACGTTTAGTGCTGATGCACAACACTGACCATTGGCCTACATTTTAGAGAATATACAGTCCATCTGAAAAGGATTCACAGCGCTTCACTTTTTCCACATTTTGTTATGTTACAGCCTTATTCCAAAATTGATTAAATTCATTATTTTCCTCAACATTCTACACACAACAACCCATAATGACAAAGTGAAAACTGTTTTTTGCAAATCTGTTAAAAATAAAGAACGAAAACATAACATGTACATAAGTATTCACAGCCTTTGCCATGAAACTCAAAATTTAGCTATGGTGCATCCTGTTTCCACTGATCATCCTTGAGATGTTTCTAAAACGTGATTGGAGTCCATCTGTGCTAAATTCAGTTGATGGGACATGATTGAGAAAGGCACACGCCTGTCTATATAAGGTATCACAGTTGACGGTGCATATCAGAGCATAAACCAAGCCATGAAGTCCAAGGATTTATCTGTAGACACCTGAGACAGAATTTTATCGAGGCACAGATCTGGCGAAGGGTACAGAAAGATCCATCTTCCAACAGGACAACGACCCAAAGCACACAGCCAAGATAACAAAGGAGTGGCTTCGGGACAACTCTGACTGTCCTTGTGTGGCCCAGCCAGAGCCCTGACTTGAACCCGATTGAACATCTCTGGAGAGATCTGAAAATGTCTGTGCACCGACGCTCCCCGTCCAACCTGATGGAACTTGAGAGTTTCTGCAAAGAAGAATGGGAGAAACTGCCCAGAAATAAGTGTGCCACGCTTGTGGAATCACACCCAAGAAGACTTGAGGCTGTAATTGCTGCCAAAGGTGCTTCAACAAAGTATTGAGCAAAGGCTGTGAATACTTATGTACATGTTATGTTTTCGTTCTTTATTTGTAACAGATTTGCAAAAAACAGTTTTCACTTTGTCATTATGGGTTGTTGTGTGTAGAATGTTGAGGAAAATAATGAATTTAATCTGAAGAACAACCTGCTTTTCTGGACACCAGCCAGTGTACGCGTGCAAAACCGTTGTAAATGAAGCACACTTCACTGCCATGAGCGGCTCCTAAACTGTTTAACCAAAGCTTTAATTACAATGTTAAATGTGACGGAAAGGAGGCATAATGAAGGGTGTTTAGGATTTCCGCTTATCCAGAAAGCCTGTCTCTCTTTCTATTCTCAGCGCTACTTACAGAAGAAAAAAAGTACTTGTTTTTTTTCTGCTTTTGATTTTTGTTACAAAGGAAACTACTACCCAGAATTGTGACCAGTGACATTGGCTATGAAATTTGATTTAATCTGAGCAAAGCGAAACGGACATAATACATTACAAGTAAATTAAATTTAAGCGCTGTGATCTTAAATCAATCCACTTGCACAACCTAGTTTGCATGGGCCACATACACTTGGTACCATTTGCTGATTATAACTGGTTGGAATAGTTGGACACAATGTCAATTTAGTATTTTTTTTTTAAAGTCCGCTCATAATACTGTAATACTCTCAAAAGCAAAGTAGCAATTCTGAATGCCCGCTTATCATGACATTTCTTTAAGGGACGTCGCCTTAAGAACATGAAACAAACCTGAATTACGTCATATGGCCATCTGCTTTATTTGCTTAAAGTGGCATATTTATACAAAAAATAAGGCTAGATGTTAAAATATATAATTTTTAAAGAAATCTACGCATTTGTTATTGTTTAAAAATGAATGGCCTATAATATATAATGCAATATAGCTACTTTCATGGTGTACTTGTCATGAAGGGGTACAAGAAGGATTCTCTGAAGAGGAAAAATGTGTATGGTTTACAATTTTATAGTTTTAGCCCATGTACAGTTTGATAAGAACCTTCAACACTTGGTGTCACAGACCCCCAGTATGACTCATGGTGTGCACGCCCTGCTGTCCGTGGTTGGAGGGCTGTGCCAGAATCAGGTCTGTCTGAAGGAAGGCGCACAACTACATCGACTGTGTTCATCACATCAAAAGGGATTCTCTGCATGGCCTCACTTCAGCCTGCTTCCTACATCCCTCCTGTTAGGTCTCTCACAGACAGCCTGAAGAGTCTCTGTGCGGTCTTGCTTGTCGTGGCCGTCTGCTTTCCTTCACCTTTTTTTGTCATCTCGAGGTTTGGCTTTCTTTGTAATCTTGTTTGCTCCGTATGATTTGGCAGACTGCAAGTAACTCTACTCTGGAGTGTTCACACACCTGTCGGGCGTTCTTTGCTTTACTCTACGACCCTATGATGGCCTGCAGCCACCTGTCACGTTGTCAACAAGCGAACCCCCGACTGCTCAGCCAAGGGTGTCAGCCCTCCTCCTCCTCCTCCCACTGAGCATTTTGTTTTTTCTCAGCCCCGGTGGTTGAGGCACTCCCTTCACCTTTTAGCAGGGAGTGGATCGGATGATTCAGCAGTGGATCGGATGGTTTGCACACTAGCAAAGCATCATTGTAATTATCGTACAAATGATGACACCTGCGAAGAGAATACGAGCCAGATGTGGTATTTGCTGCAGTACAAGAAATCAATCTGGAGCGAAAAAGTAGTGAAGCGAATGACTGAATAGCATCCGCTCCCTCTCGCGGTTTCTGTGCATGCGTTCCACTACAGAATGTGGCTGTTTCATTTTTCTTTTCACTCTTGAGAGCCGGCAGTCTCTTCTGCTAGTCTGGTATTGAGTGGTAGCCTAGCAACCCTGGTCTAATGAGCTTTAAGACTGAGGGCTTCCCACAGTGACCCCCACACATAAAAACTCCCTTTCTAGTCGATACTCGTGCTGATCAAAACTGCATCCATCTTCTTAGACCTTCAGTCGTGGGAGAGTTCGTCCTAAATATGGACATGGCAAGATCACCCCTCATGACTGTACAGCAGTGTGTGTGTGTGTGTGTGTGTGTGTGTGTGTGTGTGTGTGTGTTCACTTGAATAGACTCTCTGCCGAGCTACAGGAACAGAGATTAATACTGATCAAATGTATTCTTCATCACATCTTGATATGATGCTTATTTAAAATAATAACACTGCGTAACAGCAGGGTTATCGCAGTATTCAATTTTTATTTTTTAGATTAGTATTTTACACAACACTGGTGTAAAAAATAATTAACAGGACATGTATTATATACTTGCAAATAAGACCAGTCGCATACATGTCGTGCATGACGGTCAAGGGGCTCCATCAGCTCCCAACAAAGCAGATTTGTTTACACCTAGACAATAAAACGTCAGTTCCCTGAATCCTATCCGGATACTGCCTCACAAATCCAACATCTGTTGCCCCAGTAGACCATGTGTCTCTCTGAGATCAGTCAGTCAGAGAACATCATTCAGATGTTCTCCATGATGCAGCGGACGTTTGCAAGCTAAAGTTTACTATAAACTAGTACTAGTATATTTGCATGCAGATGGACTAATCTGTTGTAGATGTAAATGGCTCCATGTGCAGTATCGACTGCCATGGAATGAGAATACTTTTGGTCCTCGGCGACCAGGAGGGGGGGGCAGCAGAGGGAATCCAGGAGAATGTGCTGCATAATGGATTGGATTTCTGTCAGACTAAAGTGGTGACGGTTTGGGGGAGGGGCGTAACCATGGAGCACGGCTAGCGATGGTCTGGGGAGGTTTATTCAAGCTGAAATGCAATTGAATAAATTGCACGCTTGTGTTTGGTGTCCCGAGGGAGGGGGGCATTGCATCTTGTGTGAAACTGGGTCGTCCTTTCTACCGAACGTGGGAGCCACAGCAGTCCATCGAAAAGTACAGAGATCCGGAGGGACCTTGTTTGTAAGCGGGAGGCTCACAGGTTCAAGCCCCGCAGTATTCTTTGTCCACTAACAAAACACTGCTGCTTGCAAAATACTGGTTCAATGTAAATATGAGCCGCAGCTGCAGTGTAGCATGTCCCTTCACCCGATGACTAAGTGGTCAAAATGGTTTCAGTCCGCCATCTTTACAACGCCCTGTTGGCGTTGTGTAAACTTTATGTTGGAGGGGCATCTATGTGGTGACTGTTACTGTGGAAGGGTTGTCCAGCCTGATGTGGTCTGATGTGGCGAAGGACGTTGATCAGGCAAATGGAGATAAGCACCAGTACCGTGTGATAAAGGTGTAATACTGATAAGCTGTTGAGCGGTAAACAAATAAAGTCTGACACCAACTTTTAATGAACAGGCAACATTTTCCTTTTAAGATGCAATGATGTCACTGACAGGAAAGCTTGTTTTTGATGCTACTGAAAGTATTTCGCCCTCGCGCTCTGGTATTACCTTCCTTACATACTGCAGCTGAGCTAAACCTTGCTTTGCTACATAACTCACTTTACTAAATCCTACTATGTGGATTATAAATTGGAGTGACGTTACGTTTTTTGTTTTCATGTCAAATGAGTAACGCGGCAGTGAACGTGCTGGATTAGACGCTCAATCGCATTTACCGGTTTTTGGCATATTTATGAAGAAGCTGTTGGTCTCCATTTTATTTTGAAAAAGTTAAGATTTGCTTTCAGTCAATGAATTATGTTCATCTTCAACGAAACTTGAGTTATTTGTGCCGTTTACCCCACAACCGTCTCACCTGTGCCGTGCCGCTGCTTTCATCCCTTCTCTTCTGACACCGCGGTCTTGCTCATGTGCTCTGGCTAATGGCCGCGTATGTCAGTGTTCTGTCGGATCCCGTTCCTGCACTTAGTCCGCTGCCCCGTCGTAGCCGTACAGCGGCATTGCTGCCGACTGCTCCTGTTGGGAAGGATGTGTGAGACGTGTGTTCAGGTTGATTCTAATGATGCAATCACAGACTCTGGCGTGCGTTGTAGGACCGCCGTAGCAGAGGCGGTCCCGTCAAAACCTGTGATGTTGGGGTTCCTGATTTTAATCACGGTGTGGAGTGACTAGTCAGGCTGTTTGTGCTCGTGTACTGTACTATACTAATCAGTACACACACTGATGTAGTGTTCCAGGACGAGGCTTCAGGTGGTCAGCTGACTGGTTGCTTGCCAGAGGAAGTCACATTCTCTATAATCAGCTGAGAAATGGCTTCTTTTTTTTTTTTTTTCCTCAACCTCAATTCAGTATGAGTTTTTTTGCTGCCTTTCTGCCTCTCTGAATCACAAGACTTGCGCGTCTTTAAAAAGCCACGGTTGTGAGCACATTTTAAGAGGCGGTACAATCACTGAGTCACTGCTGGGTGACGTTCCAACCGATGATGAGTAAGTCTCAGTTCGCACACAGGGGTGTGTGTGTGTATGTTTTGCAGGGAGCAGCATGTTGTGAAATGTACGATCTAAAAGAATTAAATGGCAGAGCGAGTATTTTCTATGACTACCTTTATGACTCATGCAAGGAAAAACAAACCAGCACACAAGATTAACCGGCACGTCCAGCTACCAGTGGAGTAAATAACCTGTCCTCAGGGTGTAGTACAGATGTTCTGCGTCTTCCTTGCAGGTATGGCATTCGTCCGGAGAACGTGATCGTGTACGGCCAGAGCATCGGCACCGTGCCCTCTGTGGACCTGGCGTCTCGCTACGAGAGTGCCGCGGTCATCCTCCACTCCCCGCTCACCTCCGGCATGAGAGTGGCCTTCCCTGACACCAAGAAGACCTACTGCTTCGACGCCTTCCCCAAGTGAGACACACGGCTCCTGAGAGCCTGGCCATGTGGAGCGCAGATATTGAATTGACAAACGCATAAACGTATTTAAAACGCATGCAAGACTGAACTTGCATCAAGAAACGCTGACTTTGCATTTAGATTAATACAGGATGTGTTTTTCTCAATGACCCATATAACTTTAAATACTTAAACCAGATATTATTTTCTATTTTCCACCTATTTTACCATTTGTATTTATGACTAGAATAACTCCACTCAGGTGTCACTTTTTGGTCTGTGTCATGCCTGGTTTTTTTTTATTTATTTTTTTTATTCTAATTGCCTCTTTTTCTTGTCCCACGCCGAAGCATCGACAAGATCTCGAAGGTAACGTCTCCAGTGCTGGTGATCCACGGCACGGAGGACGAGGTCATCGACTTCTCGCACGGCCTGGCGCTGTACGAGCGCTGCCAGCGGCCCGTGGAGCCGCTGTGGGTGGAGGGCGCCGGGCACAACGACGTGGAGCTCTATGGACAATACTTGGAGAGACTCAAACAGTTTGTGGCACATGAGCTGGTCAACTTGTAGAGCAGCTGGGAAAGGGGGGGAGGGAAAGGAACAGTTGAGGGGTTGATAATGGAGAAGTGGTCAAACTTTTTTTTTTTTTTTTTTTTTGTAAAGTGATGCAGGTAAAAGTGGTGTTTTTGTCTGTGTAGTACTGAAGTTTTGGTGGCACTCTCTTCTGATTATCCGGTGCCTTCTCCCCAGGCGGAGCTACACTTACAGCTCCACCTGCTGCAGCTGTGAACCTACAAGTACCCACCTTTTGTGTTCCCTTCAGATATTAGTTTTATTTTTTGCAGATTGAGAGTGCGTGAATGAAAGAAGTATACTTGTGCACGGACAACTGTGTGTGTGTGTGTGTGTGTGTGTATGCGGTATAGGAGTGTGTATGTGTGTGTCACATTGTCACTGCCTTTTGACGAGGACGTGGTCCACTTTTTTTTTTTTTTTTTTTCTTTTTAAAGTGTGTTTTTTTATTTTTTATTTATTTTAAGTTTTGAGTAACCGCCTTCTACAAACTTTACCTTTGCATCCAAAGGGGACCAGACTCTCCAATCCATCGCAACTCCATTTGACTTTGCGGCCCGGTTCAGTCCTGCACTCTGCAGTCACTATGAATTTCGTCTTTTTGGATAAGTTTGTCATATTCTTTTTATATTTTACATGGTATTTTGCACATATCAGCTGTCGGTGACGAACCGTAATAGACAAACTGGCATTACCAAGCTGGGCCAGTGTTGCCAAATACTTAGTAGACTTTATAGCAGAGAGTCAGCCATACAGTACTTACTCCTGCAGTAAACTCAAATGTTGTTGCTAAAAGACGAGTCTCACTATACTGGTCGTTGGGCTGTATGTTGTCAAAACTCTAAAATGTAATCGATAATATCTGACCCGTCTTGATAAAGGAACTATCATAGTCTGTGCTCTCATCTAGACTTAAACCAGTAATGCCAATCAGGACTGAATGGTGAACGTTCTAAACATAGCTGGTGTTGATTATGTTACAGTGCTTTAAAAATGAGAATTTGTTGCACGTTAACGGGATCTTTTTTAATCACTCAACCTTAAAAATGGACAATGGCTTCTAGCAGCTTAAGTGGCCCGCCAATTAATCCCTCAGTCATGGATCGACTGTTTTTTGTTTTTGTCTTAACTTGATCTTGTGGTCTGCATGGTGTTTCTGTATCCATGGCTGTCGATCTTTTAACGCAGAGTGAAGCAGCTGCTGACTCCATAAAGGCAGATGTCAAAGTGCTACTGCATGCCTTGAAGTTTTTGTTTTTATTTTTTACAACAAACTCTGAATTGCATAATACATTTCTAAGTCATTTTCTCATGGGTATTTTTGATACCTGTGTTCACACAGGGGTCAAATACTGGTAAACCATGAACCACTATTTGAATGGGTGCTACTGTAAACCTTCATGTCTGATCACTTCGATGCAGGTCAGAGTGATTCGGAGCAGATTGGTGACTGTTTGTCAGGTGATTTGTTTTTCTTATGTAATATTATTTTAATGTTGTTTTAAAAACACACGTCCTATAGACAAGGTAATGCTTTTTCATTTTCACTGTTTAATATTTACACTGGACATGTCTTTTTTTCTTCTTTCCCAAGCCTTTTTCATCTCTGCTATCCTAATTCTTACTTCTCTTAATGTTGCTATGGACCGCCTTCAGACAAAGCTAGGTCATCATTTTGGCTCAAGGCCTCTGTACCGGATTGGATTAATTTTGTATATCATTTTCTATACAGAAGGAACTTGTATGTAATTCTATTAATAAAAAAAGTAATTCTAACATGGATAGTGCAAATAAAATGGTATTTGAGAAACAACCAGATCTTTGAATGAATTGTTTATTTGTGGGGGTTTGTTAGTTTCTTGAGCTTAGGTCTTCATTGTAACGCTGGATCTCGTACAAGGACAACACACTATTTCTACCTCTTGCATGTGATGTAGATATGGCGTTACAGAATGATTGTCGTCAAACATTTCTACTGAGCCGTCACATGGATTACTATGGGTTTGGAGTATTCCGCTGGTTTTCAGTCTTGTGCGTTTCAACACAGCCAGTGAAAAATTCCTTACTTCAAAATATGGGACTCTGAAGGGGTGGAAACATTATCGAGCATAAAATGTAATTAAATAAACCACAAGTCCTGGATAAAATATTAGTTTTGTTTGTCAGAGGCACTAAATTGTGGGTGTACACGGTTATTACTGTTTGTCGGTCGTAATACTAAACCATCTTTGTTTAGGTACAATAGTTGAGTCGAGTTGGGCTTGATGGGATTCTGCGGCACAAAATTTTGTACTTTTCCCTGGGTCCAATTTGTGGCGACAATATTTTCATAGCAGACTGCTAATTGGAAAAGGGTAGAACTTAATGCTGTTTTTCGTCGAGTGTCAACTTTGCTGCTCAGACCGGGACAGTAACAGTAAATGGATGAGACCATTGGAAGATCAGAGAGGTTATGGGGGAAGGATGAAGCGGTAATGATGTATTATTTCCCGGAAAATGAGATCTGTAAAAGTCTGGAAGGTTGAGTGTTTTGTCTTTGACACCAGCAGGGGGCAGCGTGGCCCGGGTTTAAGCTCCGCCCCTCAATTCATGCTGCTCAAGTGCCCCTTATGACACATTCAAATACTCCGGAAAGCCCCACTTTATTGAGTCTGAAGATTGAGATCTTACCCAATTTTTTATGCGTAATTAGGTGGAGAATATAAACGCCCAAGCCACATTGAAAAGGGGCAGTATTTGTTTGTATTAATGAACAAAAAAAGCATCTAGTTAATGCAAATACAGATGTGGTAACGCAACCATTATGCAATATACTAATTTACAGCGGAAGGCCGTAATATGGGGATGACATCTAATGTATGATGAAATCGTGGTAGTCTTCTCATCCATACATGTAAAATAACACATTAAAACTACTAATAAAACAAACACTATTACGTATTCTGACTATTGTGGTACGGTACCACTTCTAAAGCAGTAACGTTACAAAACGTTATCAAGCGTTGGTCGTACGATGAGTACCATCCGTCTCTCCTTTTCCCGCGGAACGTGAACGCACCACGACTTCCTCCCCTCGCAAGCCGCGCCTGGTCTGCTCTCGGTGGGGACGGAGGGGGCCGCCCGACGGACCAGCGACAGCCCATCTTCCGTAAAAAACAAAACACACACACACACACACACACCATGTGAAGAAAAAGAAAAAATCATTTAAGAAGTGGCTGCAGAAAGCCGAGCTACCGAAACGCAGTCCTTCGACAGAGAGCGGATGGACAGAGCGGGAGAGGAGCCTCACCGACGGTACGAGCCCCCCCCTTCCGCCCGGTAACGCCGTCCCGTGTCCGTCTGTCAACCCCCCCGGGGGGGTGGAGAGCAGCGCCCTGCTGGAACTTTTAGTGTTGGATGCGGGTTTGTTCTCCTCGCAAAGAGGCGTGTTGTCGCGTGTGGGTCAATTAGCTGGTGATACACGTGGTGATGGGTGTTGTGTGCGCGCGAGAGAGTCCGTGCGTAAAGGTTGTGTGCGGCTAACTTAAGGGTAGTTTCGCCAGCGTTCAGAGAACAGCCGCCGCAACGAACACGTGGATCCGTTTGGATGTTTCTAAGCGGACACACGCTGCATATGTTGTGCGTGTGGCACGCTGCCTCCTCTCAGGGTGGCACCTCGGTGAATGAGCACCCGGCGTGGGTTTACCATTTAAACCCACGCCAACGCTCCTGTTTCCTTACGTCCTTTCCTTGAGACACTTCGGCCGAACAACGCCACGAATCAACTCGAGCAATAAACTCATTATTTTTTCTTATTTGTTTTAAGTCAACACTCGCTGTTGGTGAGGTGGTGTCCGGAGCGGTGACAGGGTTGAGTTAGAACGAGGGAACACGTGGCCCTCTGTTGGAGGGCGATTCCCAAAGTGAGGCTGACTGTTAACAGCCGGGACTCTCCGACTGCTGCTGCTGCTGCTGGGGGGGTGCACGGGGCTTCGTGACAAAAGCTGTGTGCGGCCCCTTCGGTGGGGGTAACAGCAGCTCGTTGCCACGGAGTCGCGCGCCCCCGATGGGCTCCGTCAATAGCAGCGCAGCAGATGGTGACCTTCAGGGATCTCACACACACACACACACACACACACACACACACACACACACACACACACATCCATATCCATCAGACGGTCAGTCCGGTGCATCTAAACCAACTGTAATCAGCACACTTGTTTTATTGCTGACGTTCGTGCTAATCTGGAGAATTATCAGCCCGGGTCTGGTTCAGAGACACGAGTGGGACCATTCAGGCCCAAGTGGGTGAGATAGTTCTCACTGCCCTGCGTCACTGACTGAGACATTGTTGAGCCCCTCATTGTCGCATGGCATCGTTTATGAATTGAAGAGGTTTGTTGTGCTCCGGGCTAAAATAGTCACTAATCGACTGGGCAGGACAATGGTGTGTGTGTGTGTGTGTGTGTGTGTGTGTGTGTGTGTGTGTGTGTGTGTGTGTGTGTGTGGTAGCATTGTACATTTTAATGACGTTTATGGTCAGTGTCACAATCCCAGACCCTAGGATGATTTAAAAAGTAAAGACTTAGAAAGTCGTGTCTTCGTTTTTTTAAGGTGCAGTTTTGCGCTTTTAACAACCTCTTGCGGGACGGGGTCATTCATCAGGTCATGTGGTCAGAAGGAATAAAAGCTTGAACTTGCTGACTTTGTGTTTTTGGAGATGGTTGGATTGCAAAGTTAAGTTGTACAGGCTGTTTGTGTTCAGGAAAAGTGCCATTTAAGCCCTTTTTTCCCTCCCCTGCAGTGTCATTTCCTTTACCCTTGCATGTTAGTGTGTCTGTGTGTGTGTGTGTGTGTGTGTGTGTGTGTGTGTGTGTCCTCTGTCCATCACTCCGTGGTACCTCCTCCGGGTTTTGTGCAACACAGCGAGCGCAGACACGGGCTCCTGTGCTCTCCTCCTTCTCCTCACTGTAATTGATGCCATCTGTTTCTGCCGTGTTCACGTAGTCCGTGGAATGTCCAGATCCGTTATTCATTACCTGCTCCGCTGCCGTGGACGGGAGCCGTTAATGTCACTCTGGCCGAGCGAAACCAGTCTGGATACGTTGACTTTTTTTAAGTACGCCCTTTTAAGCACGCCCTAATAGAGTCCTCTTATATTTAAGACTCTTTTTACCTGGGGCTCCCTGAGTCGGGTGCTTTGTCTTCCTTCACCTCCTACTGTCTCATTTCATGAGTTATTTTTAAATATTCCTTTTATATTTCATACCTTGACGCTGCCATCGACGGGTTAATCAATGTCGGCCTTGTTCACGTGTGCTTTTTAGCTTTGTTATTCAACTTTACCGACGACCTCAAACAACAGGAAAAGTGAATCTACTTTTTTTCCCCCTCAGGTAGAAGAAACTTCTACCATGCCGACGAGCGACGGCCCCGGCCGCTTCCCGGTGTTTGCGGCTCCGGCCCACGGCAACCACCAGAGGTCTGCGGGTTATGTCCCCGGGCGGGTGGCTCCGGTCCGCTCGCCACCACCCGCCAAGGCTCCGCCGCCGCCGCCGCCGATAAAGCCCCACCAGCCCCCGCCGGACCGCCGGGCCACCTTCACCCTGTCGGAGGAGAACCAGCGCAGGGAGCGGGCTCAGAACCTCCAGCAGAGGAAGAACACATTCATCTGTTTTGGTGTGTCCGTCGGGATTTTAGTCTTCACCCTCATCCTCGTTCTCAGTATCTCAAGCGGAGACGTGTTAGATGGTGAGTGTTGCAAATTACAAATGTACATGTTTCTCTAATGTGTAACTCCTCATTTAACCGCTAACTCTTGTGTTTACCTTCTGCCTATTATATATTTAATTATATAGATATATATTTATACATCCCTTGCTAATGAGCACTACAAAGCTCTGTAATTGGTCACTGATGTTTTGGTTTTGCAGCCAATTGTCCGGACCACAATCCATCGCTTACTAGCTGGGACCCGGGCCACCAAGCAGGGACCGCCGTTACTGTCCGGAGGGGACATTTATTGAGATTGGAGTCTTCTGCTACCTTCCACTCACTAACCATCCAGTCAGGAGGTAAGCACATCAAGGTACATGATTTGTTAATGGGCATTTTGAGTTGTAACAATGAGGGACTCAGCTCAGCAGCTCCACGTCCGCATATACCCGCACAAACTAACTCTATTTTTTTAATATTCTTTCCTTCGCGCTGCTTCTTCACAGGTCGCGTAGTTTTCGCGGACAACGCCGACGGCTCCAAACGCATAACCTTGAGAACTCGTCACATCCTCATAGAAGACGGCGGAGCCCTTCACGTCGGCGCGCCAAAGTGCCGCTACCGCTCGCGCGCCACCATCGCCCTGGTGGGCCGCTCCGACGACGCGGCGGTGCCCGAAGTGCCCGAATTCGGCCGCAAGTTCATAGGAGTCATGAGGGGCGGCGCTCTGGAGCTCCACGGCACTCAGAGAGTCTCCTGGTCTCTGCTCACCCGAAGCGTCCCGGCCTCCGGTCTGAGCACGGAGGGCTACGCCTTCCACCGCACCTTCAGCAGAGGCATCAACCTGCGCGTGGTCGACCAGGACACGGCCGCCGTGCTCCTCTCTGAGCGCTACGACACGTACGACTCCCGCAACGACAGTCGGCGGCTGACCCAGCTGCTGCGCGCCCTGCCGGCCGGCCGCATCGTCACGCTGGCCGTCGGAGACTCCGCAACCAAAAGTCTTCTGGATGAAACCAAGAAGGCCATCGAGGAAAAGCTGGGCAGCCGATTCGTCTACGATCTCAAATACAGGTAAATGAACGTTTAATTTACACATGGATTTGTTTTTTTTGCTGATAGCCTGGAGTGTCTTTAGTAGAAAAGAGTTTGTTGCTCCTCCGTTGTGTTTTGTCCTTGGCAGTGTTTTGTATATTGGTCTCTTGGAGATGATGAAGAAGGTTCCTGTGCTTTGTTTTAAGACCCCTCACTTACTTGGACTGGCAACACTAGAGTACGTTAGTCGTCCCTGTCCCTCTTTCATGTATCTTACTCATTTCCTCTGGGATCTTCCCTCAAATTGTTCCTTATTATTCCTTGTCCCTTTTTCCCGTCACTATTTTTCTTGTATCACGCTCTACCAGAAAAGGGAAACGCGTACAGGATAACGGGATTGCGGTTTGTCAGTTTCCAGGTTTTGTGCAAAAAGTTAACTAAAGATTTAATGTTCATCGTGCAAAAGGACGGATACGGCAGGCTCGGGCCTTGTCCCGTCCTCATCAGGTGAAAATATTATTATTTGAACCTTACGTGACATTAGTTCTTCTGTTCAGATACCTAAACGTTATTTCATTTCCGTGGAAAATCTATGTGCAAGCATTTCCCTCGGTTTGGTCCCCGGTGGACTAAAAAGTGCCAAACCACATTGGACAGACTCACGTTTCACCCGTGGCGGCGCAACTAATCCCCTCTAAACGAGCAGGCGATTCAGATCTCTGTATGTTCACAGTCGCTTCTGCGGTCAGCAAGGAGTTGATATAAGTCGAATGTGCACTCTCTTACTCTGCGTTTATTGGGGTGTAGATTTTGATCTTTGCTTCCTGCGGCTCTTTGTTGTAGGTGGAAGCGGATAGAGCGCCCTTATGACGGAACGTGCTGTTCTGTCTCGTTAAAGTCCCATAATGTCAGGCTCAGTGGTTTTAACCTGAGTGAGTCCTGCGGTCAAAGCATGCGACCTACATGGTTGAGCGTCATGAGGAAGTGTAGATGGGTTTATGACCCGTTGTGGCAGAGATCGGAGCTGGAAACCCGCTGCGGTGCTGACGTCGTTGTTTTACGTCCCCGCGTATACCTGCGTCCGCACGGCCATGTTTCACCAACCTTTGTGTCCAACATTCTTGACCTGTAAGTTGATCTCAGGGTGTTAACCCGTCCTTCCCGCTGCATGTTAAACGGTTGCGCTCTCGTGCCTCTTGACCCCTCTGTCTTTCATCTTTGTCTCTCAAGAGAGCACTTAAAAGCACACGTCCATGCCGGTGTGCAGGCGCCACACACCTCTTGCTTCCCCCCCGTTGGCTGTTTCCAGTAAAACAATGACGTTGTTAAAATACTGTTGAGGATCATAACGAAGAAGTGGCCAAAAAGGAATCAAGCACTTCTCCCGAAAGCCACACACCGCAATGACAGTGCTTCGTTGGAAAGGTCCCGTTTCTGTATTTGTGGGGTACAGTGAAGAAAAGAGACCCTTTCAGGTTGTGATTGCGCCCGTGGAAGCCGTTATTACAAACAGAGACAGGTTTTAGCATGTTGGAGTGGAGAGGACAACAAGCTGCTCCTAATATTCCAGCATACTTGGTCCTCCAGCGATTAGATGGAGCGCTCCTGTATTCTACTCCAGCGTACGGTTGCTAGTTTACTGTGATCCGTCATGGGGACGGACAGGGACGGGTGTGAAGCTGGATTTGGGATTGTTTCCTGTATGCGGAAAGGGCCAAACAATGCATCTATGGGAACGAGACTTTCACCAGAGATAACTTTCTCTGGCTTATCACACTGCTCAGGGTTAAAATATGGCGTCTGAATGGTTAAAGGACGTGAGACGTGTGTTGATGGCGTAGTTTAGAGCCACGGTCATAGATCATGATGTGCATAAATAGCAACAAGGCCTTTTCTTTATTGGACTCATTCATCAACAGAAAAACGATATAACTCATTCTAAAGAAGCTAAGGACGTTTCAAACATTGACGGTTGCACGCCTTGTTTTAGCTCATACGCCCAATCCCTGGCGCCATCCACACCCTTCAACTCCGCTCAAACAATTTCAAGCCTCTTTTCCACGAGAGGATTTGGAGGGAAAGTAAAGTATTTTTGTTTAATGAAGTTTGGACACCCATTATCCCTCTGAGCCATATGAGCACCCAAACCCTGAAATTCTCTGCCCTTCATTTTAATAACCCTGCCAGATGTCTGACATCATTCTTTTTCATCATTATTAGACAAATGACGTTCACTCTGATATTCAGTTGCCTCCCCGTGTCCTGCTTAATGCTCGGCTCGAGCGTTCGCACGGCCTTCCCGTCACTGGTCCCAGTCATCATGTGTGTTGTATCCATTGCCTCAGCGGGAGGGTTGTTCGTCTGTGATCCACACGTCTTCATTCAGACAGTTAAACAAGTCGTCTCATCTGTTTAAGATGTTTCTATATTCAGGTCGTATTCGCCCGAGACCAATGAGTCCACTAATTCTGGTTCTGCCTCTCTCCATCAGACCCGCGTGAAACGAGCCCGTTTACCGCCATGCCTGAAACTGACTCCTTCTCCTTTCTGTCCCTCGCCCGCTCTTTACCCCTCAGAGAGGCGTGGGCTTTGGTCTCGGTGGTGGGCGGTGGGAACGCTTCGTGCTCCGAGGACGTGAGGGAATACGAAAACCACGACACGGGAGGGAGAGCTGTGGCAAGACGGAACTTCACCACTGTGAACGGGGACGGCTTCTCGGTCACTGCCTACAGCGAGTGGAAGGATGGTGAGGAACGGCCTGTGAAATGATACTGGACTGTCTTTAAATAACTATATCACCCTCGACAGCACGATGTTAACAGATGCTGTATGCAAACGTCACATTTCTTTTATGTGCCTTACAATATCTCCGCGGTTAGTAAGCTTTTTAGAAGCCGCGATCTAAACCGCATTTATTAACGCAATAAGGTACAAGAGGCTGTACTTTATCATCCAATAATGTAACGCACAGCGGAGGTCCGGCAAACCTTGTACAGTTACATTATTGAAGTACTGCCTCAAGTACCTGATTGCTTTTTGTACCTTTTTTCAGTTTGTTCTTTTTTTCTTACTTGAAGCCATCCTTCTTTAGATCCTCTCATGGCTAGGTACAATACATGTGAATTAACGATGATAAAAATGTCTGTTGCATAAGTTTAGAGTTTCATTTAAATGAAACGCTATACTGTAACTCCCTTTTCCTTTTTAGGTTTTCCCATCTCTGGCTTCCAGGTGGACGCTGTGGACCAGGTGCTGCTGAACCTGCAGGACAAAGTGCAGCAGACCTGGCAACCCGGGGATAGGATCGTGGTTGCCAGCACGGACTACTCCATGCACCAGGCAGAAGAGTTTACCTTGTTGCCCTGCCCTCAGTGTCACGCCAAGCAAGTCAGGATACAAGGTGAGGGAGCGACCAAGCCCTACAACAAACAGGTGCAACAAAATTCGTGGATTTCTTGATTAAGCAGGTTATGATTTCTGGAAAGAGATGATTTCATATTTTAGGCACAACGAGGGTCTATTATCTGCAAAACTCGGCAAGTCACATTAAAAGTCTGGTTTCTAAACCCTACTTCACTGACTCCTCCTTCTGCTCATCTAATGTTCTGCTCTTACAATCTCTTAGTTACTCGTTGTACATCTCACTATCAGAGATGCGGCCTAATCGCATTCCTCCGTTGTCGTAAAATGCCAACTCCCTTCCTGGAGAGAATCATGCGTGCGTAGAGGAAGCGCTGAGCAGCTGGACTGCTGCTGTGCGTTACATTTGGCAGCTGCACCCTGTGGCTATTAGTACTCTCTGCATTATCAAACATGATTGCTTTGCATTTCATATACATTCAATTCAATTAGCTTTTACCTGTCTGTTATGGTATGTGTGTAGTTTATGTTTGAGTGTGTGCCGCTAGGCATACTTCCTGTGGTTAATGGTTGGAGACCCACCATTTTACAGAAATTGGAAACTGTATTTAAGTTAAATGCCACCTCCTGTTTATTTCAACATGTCATATTTAGCTGGTGTTTTAGTGAAACGGTCTGACCTGAGAAAAAGGACGTAAAAACATAGTTTGTTATGGTCTCCAGGTAGAAATTACCTCCAGTCTTCATGTTCTTTCCTACTTCATGGAATGCAGTGAGTCACCTACCTTTGTAATTATTCCAAAGAATGTTTTCCACCATCCGTCCATGTTTTGCCCACCAGATTATTCTCCACTAAAGTCACTTTGTTGCAGCATATGACCCAGCAGTTTGGTCTTCCCAGGGAGGCCTCAGTATCACCATGTTGGAGAGATCATTGACGGGGTCGACATGCGGGCCGAAGTCGCTCTGCTCTCCAGGAACATTCTCGTCCACGGAGAAATGGAAAACTCGTGCTACGGGAACAACTTGTGCCAGTTCTACAACCACGACACCTATGGGGGCCACATTAAGGTGTGTATGTTCACAGCGCCGGCTCTCGTTTCAACTCTGCTGTCTCATCATGTCGCTACGAGTTCTCACTCATTTGATTAATGATGGTCAGATTTAATTCACTTTAGTTGCAAATACTCTATTACATTCCTTAGGTTCTATGTAACTGAACCCCTCCCACCCCTTCGTGCTTGACAAAATAAACCCTTTTTGTATTTATTTTTTCTACCTTAACTGTCTCCCCAAAAACCCATCGGCTTTTGTTACACAATCTGCCTCTAAAATGTTTCCTCCCGAGCCGTCGCACACATATCACTCACCATTGCATATTTTCTCAATCCCTCTTTGCGCACTCCCATCTCCACATGCTGCCCGTTGTATCAATATGTACGCATGTCTTTGCATTGGCGTGTAGTGTAGGCAGCAAGTATTGTGGGCCATCAAACCCGGCGTGTCTACTTGAAAAAGTCTTGCTCGACACTGGCGTGAAATCATTGAACAGGACATACTAGCCTGCAGGAGACAGAATTGACACATACTTCTTCGGAGGGGTGGAATGTAGTTGGAAGATAAACATACCCACCCGGAGGTTGGGGGGGGGGGGGGGGGGGCAAAACCCGAGTGCCGGTAATTGACCTTGGATGTAGACAATCATCTTGGGCCCCGCAAGATTGACTGGACATTGACGCACAAAACAACATTACAATCATTTGACCTGAAACACAATGTGCTCTCCGTGTGAAAGAACAGACTCTCTGTCGTCTGAGTAACTGACTAAGGTGAAACATTGTCGCATTGCTGCAGGAACAATTAGTTTGTCATCATACAGTTAGTTGGAAGGATTGGCTAGTTGGCTAGTAACAGAAGGATTGGCTAGTAACAGGAACCAGACTGAATCATTCCCACAACAATACCTCTTACGGAGCATTGCAAAGCTTTACCGTATTATATTATTTATTGATTTGTGTTTGGCTTCATTTGCTCCCCATTCCATTTGTTGATTTGCATGTGCGTTTACCTTTTTTTTAGTCGCGTACTTCTATGACTCCCGGTGGTTTTGGCGCAGTGGGACTTACTAGAGCGCGATGCCAACAGAGCTGGAGTTCTGTAGACCTAAACCTTTAAATGGACCAGGCTGGGTAGACAACTGGTTTATTTTTGTGGCATAACAAGAACCTGATGTTTTTAATTTAGCTGTGTATAATGGCTCTTTATTCTCGCTTGATCGATATCTTTTTCTTGCCACTTATGCTCGACTCTGGCTTATCTGTATTTGCGCTCTCTCTCTCTCTCTCTCTCTCTCATATACACTGGAAGATTGTAGGTAACTTCTCATCGGTGCATCTGTCCCACGTGGAGCTGAAGAACATGGGCCAGCAGGCGGAGAATGGCCGCTACCCGCTCCACTTCCACTTGTGCGGGGATGTGGACCGGCAGGGAGGCTACCGGGAGCCCACCTACGTGGACGGTCTCTCCATACACCACTCCTTCTCCCGCTGCCTCACCATCCACGCCACCAACGGTTTGCTGGTCAGTAAAATGTGTGTGAAGAGTGACTTTCTAATCTCTGCGAGAGCAAAAGGTGAACCGCACCTGCAAATAAGAGCGGTTCGATGTCGCCTATCGATGTCACAGCCCCGGCTGCTGGATTACTGTTATGGCTTGTTTCCTCCCTTTTTTCTCAATCACCTTCTTTTCCTTCATCCCTTTCTCATACTAGTCCGTTGTAAAATGGTCAGTCTAAAAGTGAATGATAGGTTACAATTTGTCCCTTTCTTTGTCAGGATTTTATTCATCCGGAAAATTTGTATAAATATCGTTTAGATGTTCACTCAAGTATTTCTGTCAACTGCAAAATCTGTGTGTATGTGTGCAAAGTGTAAAAGTTATGCTGCCTCTTCATGCTGTTTTCCTTGAGGACTGAAGCATTCTTCCTGTCAGCAAAGAGGAAACGGAAACGACAGTTTGACTTTCTTTTTTTTTTGTTTCCTTTCTTGCACAATGGCAATGTGGATATTCTTCGGTCTGTGTTGGTACCTGTCCTCTCCACATGGTATCGGTTTAATAAAAAAGTCTTATGGAGGACGGCACCTCATTGGAACATGCAAACCATTTCTTCCTTTGGTTCGTTGCTGATTCCTTGATAAACTAACGTATGTTGTCTCACGCTTATTTATATTGAGTGCAATCTACCTCTTCCTTGGAAAGGGAAAACTTGACTTGTGAACTGTATTTCTTTTCCCTTTCTGTCAGAACCTTCCCTAATTAAAAATCCATATGTCACTTTCTTTTTTTTAATAATGTGTGGTCTTCCTCCTTTGACCCAGGTGAAGAACACCGTGGGCTATGACACTTTGGGTCACTGTTTCTTCCTTGAGGATGGGATTGAGCAGCGGAACACTTTCTACCACAACCTCGGCTTGCTCACTCGACCCGGCACCATTCTGCCCACTGACCGTAACGAGACCCTCTGCACCAGCATCAAGGACAAAGTCTACAAGGGCTACACTCCCTCGCCCAGCACAGAGTGCAAGTAAGACGCCTCACTGAAGTCTCTGAACCATCACCATGCGCACATGGAGGTTCCTTTTATTGCAAAGATAATAATTACTTTGTTAGTACCTTTTTAATATACAATGTGAGACCCTGAGATAACTGCCAAGCCCTGAAAGCTGTGAATATGCCAACATGTTGACTGTAATGTAGCCTTGTGTGTGTCTATATATACAATTGTGGGACACCAACTGTTAAATCTTTGAGAGCACAGCCCAGTTGGACGAAGTGATTCGTGCCACTTTACAATCTCCCACACTGACAATGAAGTATTTCCCTCTGTCTTCTCTCAGTGTGTCTCCACTATTCCCAGGTTTCCCATACAGATACTTAACAGAAGGTCAATGTCAAAGATACACTGTAGTTAGTTTAAGTGTGTGTGAGAGAGATATCGGCAGGGAGGTTTTGTCCGTGCAACAACAACCTCCACTCTCCACTGGATGTTTTTATGTTGTTACAAAAACTGTGTGTGTGTGCCAGCTGCCATGGTATTTCCCTTTTTTAAATATATTGTTCTGCATTCAGGTCTGTGTGTGTAATGTCTCCGGTCTTTTTGTGTTGTTGGTGTTCTCCAGGGCAGTTTCAACATTCTGGATTGCCAACCCCAACAACAACCTCATCAGCAATGCAGCTGCTGGTTCTCAGGTAATAACATCAGCGTCGTGTGAGAAAACAGCTGCAGCTTTTCATAAGTGATTTAATAAAATGAATGATCAACATGGGCCACCTCTTATTATTTATAATAAGAAACTGGCATGGCTTCAGTATTTGAACTGTGCATAGTGAAAATTGGAGATATTCTTTCTCATTAAAAACTGATCCATGAATAAAATGAGATTTAACCGGCTTTAAAGAGAGGCGCATTGTACTTTGGTACCGTCTTTAATTAATTTCGTTATAAACCGCTTTGAGTACCGCTGGCGAGGTCTCCCTACTAATCATTGGAAGGAGGTATGCTCATATGTATGAGCTCATATGTATATATAATGACCGTAAGCTCATATGAAGCATCTTCTGTGGAACCCACATGCAGTATGACATCCGGCCCGGTTCCACACGTTTGTTATTTCTCTTTCTATAACGCTTTGTCTGCAGATGACGCGTCACGTCTGACCACAGATAATGAAATTCCTGAATTTGCCCCGCTGTACCAAGATTAGGATTCATCCCCTCATCTTTCTTCCTTCCTGTTCCAGGATGCTGGCATATGGTTTGTGTTCCACAGCTCGTCCACCGGACATTCTCATGGGCTGGTACCAGAGACCAAGGCAGAGCTCACTCCCCTCGGGATATTTTACAACAACCGCGTCCACTCCAACTTTAAGGTATCATCAAAGAAGTTTGTGTTTTTTTTTTAATGTTTCATGTCTGTTTTGTGCTGTTTTCCATAAACAGGTCAGTATACCGGTTGCAAAACTCAGGGTTTGCTTCTGTGTTTTATAGAAACACAGACAAAGACAAAAACAGTAATCATTACTTGTTCAAAAAGATTGACATAAGTTACTGCCTATTTAATTGGTTCCTGCAAAAAGAGACACACACACACACACACACACTCTGTGCGGAGGCTCTACAATAGCGCTCTGTTATGTGTAGTGACAGAAGTCGGGCAGGTGAACTGTAAGTTCTTTGTTCAGCCCGACCACAGAAGCCTCTCTTGTAGAGGACGGGGCCCAGAGGTTTAAGACTCTACTGCGCTCACACCGCAGGCCGGCTTTCCACATACACAAGACACACAGACGAGTAACGTGTACGATTCTTACAAAACTAATCCATATGTTATAGGCCGTGTAAATGCGTTTGCATTTTCATACAGAGAGCGTTCGCTCTAACTCTCTTGGCCCAGAGTTTATATTCAGTAGTATTTATTATTGCCGCCGGTCCCACGATGTAAAATAAACCAGTGGTCTTGTTTATGTCACTACGACAGAAATCTATGTTCCATCCTGAAGCTGCTAAAATAAAATGTCTGTTGTCATAGTTTTCTGTAAGTCTAAAAAGTTTTTCGTCTCCCCAGGCAGGTTTGTTCATTGATAAAGGAGTGAAGACCACAAATGCTACTGCTGCAGACCCCCGGGAATACCTGTGTCTAGAGAACGGTCCCAGGTGTGTGTGTGTGTGTGTGTGTGTGTGTGTGTGTGTGTGTGTGTGTGTGTGTGTGTGTGTGTGTGTGTGTGTGCGTGTGCGTGCGTGTTAGCATTGTACATTTTAATGACGTTTACGGTCAGTGCTTTACACAAAGGGCACAGCTGTGTCTACAGTGCATCATAGTGTACAGTTACACCAAGTAAATGTCACGGCCTTTGTGGTTTACTAATATCCAAATGTGAGTGTGAGTGAAGTTATCTCCTAGTACAGGGCCGTTGAGTGGGAAAGATGGATGGCTTTGCGCTCTGTTACTTCATTTTGGTGGAAAGTCTGTCAGGTCTGTGTTTACAGAGAAAACACGTCTTCACAGATACGATTTCCACTGCCTGCCAAAATACAGCCACCAGCAGACGGAAAGAAAAATCTTTCGTGTGCGTGTGCGTGTGCGTGTGCGTGTGCGTGTGTGTGTGTGTGTGTGTGTGTGTGTGTTCATAGTAGGCTTGTCTTTTGCCAGGTGTGTATTTCTAAATCATTCTGCTGTTGTGACAATGATCATTTCTTTCAGTTACATTTTTTAAACTTTCCAAAAACAATGTCTGGTTTATAATCTAGTGACATGCATGGGAGGATTTGAAATGTGTACTAAGTATTGATATGTCATGAAAAGGACTGGACATTATTGTTGCCTCTAAACTATGTAATTTACTGCCCTCTTTGTCTCCTGCCACATGCAGGTTAATATTTCATATATCAACCAACTCTTTGGTCCACAAGGTGTTGAATAAGAAATGTGTTTTTTCACAGGCAGTCATAATTTCATATCAGTGGATATTGAATTTTTTTTTTTTTTTTTGAGCATAAATACTAATGTTGAAGGAATGATGTGATCAGAATTGAGCGCCACCAATAGGCTGACAAAACGAGATCAGCAGAACTCGTTCCTTTTCAGTTCCTACACACATTCACTCCTGATGTAGTAATGAGAAGATGCTTTAACCTTTCAATCAGGACTACATGTGCAGAAAACGTTGAATGTAGTCATGTTTGTCCTAAGTTTACAACTTCCGGGACAGTAGTAGTCGGTCTGGAGCGTTTCCCCCCCTCCCTGGAAAACACTGGAAAGCCTTGAGGATTATGATGGAAATGGAAAGCACGTGTTAACACGCGTGTGTTTGTCAGATTCCGACCACACCAAAATGCCGACCCCAGCCGACAGCGGGTGGCGGCAGTCATCGACACGCTGATCTCCTTCAAGAACAACGACTTGGGCGCGTGGATTCGGGGAGGGGACATCGTCATCCAGAACTCTGGGTGAGACGAGTCATAAATGATGTGATTAATGACGTGATTGACGTCATGTGTTGTTAGCTGGGGAAAGAAACAAATAATGTCTTCATAAAACCCTAAACTGACGCATTTGATTTGATGCTAATAATGCAATGTTATCCCAACGCAAATATTTGTGAGACCATCAGTTTGTGAATTGCTTCTTTTCTACACACTTACCATTAGAACTGACTTTATGCTCAAAGCTGGCATGACTGCTGTGGCTTATAATGTGGTAATCATAGTTTGACTGTTTTTATTTCCTGCTAAAATGTTGAGTGGCCCTCATCTGACGTAGGGATTGTCAAATGGGGCCCATGTTCAACGGACCTAGTTATTGTTATTTCACAGGGAATTATGTCCATAGCTTGTGAATGCCACTCATGTCCTTTCAATAACTTAGAACAATACGAACGGTGTCTTTCTCTGAGCAGATTTGCAGACAACGGAGTAGGCTTGTCTTTTGCCAGGTGTGTATTTCTAAATCATTCTGCTGTTGTGACAATGATCATTTCTTTCAGTTACATTTTTTAAACTTTCCAAAAACAATGTCTGGTTTATAATCTAGTGACATGCACATCTTCTCCCATTTACAAACATTTTAGCTGTTAATTGTTTGCCCACGTGAATGATGATCTTGTTTTTACTTCTATACGTTTTATTAAATCTGCTTCTTGCTCTCCAGTGATGGCAGCTACCCAAAGGATGAGGGATCCAGTCAGGAGGTGACACAGTCTCTGTTTGTGGGGGAAAGCCGAAACAGAGGCACCAACGGAGGACAGAATAAATACTGGGGTTTAGGAGGTGCTGATGCTAAAGGGAGAACACTACCTCGAAACAGGTAAGGGGGTGCAACGCACGCAGGAACTCTGGGGAGAAAAATCCAAATCCAACCCAGTTTTCTCTACTATTGCAAAGGAAAATGTTGGGGAAATTGGCAAAGAAATATATGGTGGGAAAAACAAACAGGGAAAAGGGAGCCAGCAAGGTAATCGGGTCGTTGGACAGCTGAGGCTGCTACAGCTGCTGTACCTCGTGAAAGGAAGTTCTGTGTTGACTGACTTCCCTCCAGTGATATTTTAGGCAGTTTAAAAACTGTGGTGCAAGGTTTCATAGAAAGGGATTACTCATTGTAGCACTTGATTACTTAACAGTTAGAGGAGTTTTTCTATACCCATTCATTTGAGCCACATGTCACCAATCCCCTCCTTTTTCTCTTTTTATTATTTTGAGATTTTTGTCATCTTTGGAAGGGAACTGTTTAAATGTCAAAAATCCATGTGAAATGTGTGAAATCCATGTTTTCCCTTTTCGATGGGAGCACGAAGGGTGTTTTTAGATGGGACATCTGATAGGAGGACATTTATAGTCTGCACGCTGTAACGACATGCCTGGCTTAGAGGCCGATCCTAATCAGCGCAGAGTTTTGAACTTTATGTCCCCTTTGGGACTCGATCTCCTTACAGATATTGCTACACAAGAGTAGAGCAACATAAGCAAGCGACCGGCCAGTAGCTGCCTTTTCTTTGTCCCAAGAACTAGAGTTCATGCCAGCATGTGACCACTGGCGCCGCTGTGTACAGCTTTGCAGCCATTTTTACTGCTTTCTGACCTCACTGTGACATTTGGCTCACTCGCTTTGTCTGTTGTCGTGGTGATTACTGGGGAGGGGGAAATAAATAGTTTGATCATTTCATTAAAATTCCGTAATGTTTTATTAATAGCAAAGTAAACACAGAGACGGTCTCCTTCTTTTACTTATTGCTGCCTCATTCCCTCTCCTCTGCAGGACTTTCCCTATCCGAGGTTTCCAGATCTACGATGGACCGGTGCGGCTCACACACAGTACGTTTCGTGGATTCATCCCCACACCTGAGCGTTATACCAGCGCAGTTGGATTCTACTTGAAGAACACCTGGCAGCTCACCCCACAAAATAACCTGTCCCTGCTCAACTTCCACTCCAGTGTAAGCTAACATCAACCTTTGACATCTAGGCACACTATACAGTTACCATTTTGATATTCAAATTTCATAGATACATGTAATGTAGATAAATGTAGTGCAATACTACAGCCTGCAACCACTGAGACTGAGACCAGCCCCTCATGTTCATTATATCACAACTCCGCTCAGAGTTGGTAGCTATGTGAAGCATTAGGAGACAGGAAACCACTATAAATGGGGACTCGTTTCAAAGTGGGGCGTGGGCAAAACCCTGATAAATCACTGATTCCATCTTGTGGTGGTTTAGTGGTAAGGCACTACAGTGCAATACCTTTACTTTAATGTGACCAATTACAAAAGATTGTAAGTTAATATAAACATTTTAGTTTATCTTACGCATATCAAATCAGATAAGGTCATTGTAAAACTCATCCCCATCCAAACTTGAGGTAAACGTTTCCATTAGATAGCAGCAGCGTTTGGGTGAACAATCTAACAAACATTTGACAGAGGTGGGACTTCATAGTGAATCGTTATGCTAAATGAAGACGGTTACATCTACGTCACTCTTTGCAAATAACATCCTCAGGTGGGTCTGCGGGCATTCTTCGGGCGCCCGGGGGAGTGGTTTGAACAGAACGACCTGGACGGTGACAAAAACTCCATCTTCCATGATGTGGACGGGTCAGTAACGGGTTACATGGATACCTACGTTGGCAGAGCAGACAATTACCTGATCCAACATCCCGGCTGTGTGAATATCTCCCAGTGGAATGGAGTGATCTGCAGTGGCCGCTACGCTCAGGTACGGCATGCCGGGGGTCTGCTCGCTGTTCTTGTTGGTCTCACCCTCCAGTGACACCTGCACTCCATCGCATCCTCTTCTCTTTCAGGTGTACATCCAGACGCAGGGAGCCCCGAGCCTTAGTTTATCCATCTGCAGAGATGAATATCCTGACTCTCCTCTGGTGCTGAGGGGGATCAACAGCCAGAGTGCCCTTTCTCAGCAGTACCAGCCCATCCTGATGATGAGCAAGAGCTACAGTCTGCACTGGAGTGGTCCTGCACCAAGAGAGGTGGTCCTCTCTCTCATCAACTTTGACAAGTGAGTACCATGAGTCGGCCACTCTTGCTCTTATATCTCTTGATTTTGAAAGCGCAATTATATTTTTCTCTCTCAAAGCCATTGAATAACGGGACCATCAGTGTGCTACATTTGAAACCGTTTGGTTTATTGTGTTCATCGTATTAGAAGTAAAAATGAAGATTTAGGAAGCCCTGTTTAATGTCTCTCTCTCTCTCTCTCTCTCTCCCACTCAGAGATGATTGGGTGCTTGTGGGTCTCTGTTACCCATCAGACACCATGTTTCAGATTATGGCCGACATCAACGATAGACAAAACAACACCTTTGATGAGCTCACAGACTATGGCACTGTGTCATCCCTCAAAGAGCTGGAGAAGAGGCCGATGGAGAGGAAGTACTTCTTTGACCAAAGTGTTGGGTGAGAACAAACCATAAATGCATTCCTCTCTAATCAAGTATGCTTTTAGAGTCTGACCTTGTTGTTTTTTTAATCTTGAATTGATCTACAAAGTTCTTCCTTCACACTGATGGCTGAGACTTGCTGATTTCCTCAAGTTAATTAAACTCCTTTCTTTCTCCTTCCTTCACACGCAGCTTGTTGTGGCTCTACCTCCGCGCCCGGCACGGCCGTGATGGTTACGGCTACTGTTCAGCAAAAGGCTGCGAACGAGTGAAAGTCATGGCTACCACGACGTCCAAAAAGACCTGCAACTGTACATCCCAGGCCTACCCCAAGTACTACAAGACCCCCTCGGCAGTGGTACCTATGCCAACGCTCAATGCCCAGGCCTGCAAAGGCTGTGGTGCTAAAGAGGTACGAGTAACTACATTTAATATGATGTCTATGTATCCACATAAAACACAAGCCACCACTGCTGATCAATGTGCATCGGTCTCAGCTGGTGTTTTCCAGTGAGCCATGGACCTCCTACGTCCAGACACAAGCCAAGTCCCTGAGTAGTGAAGAGCTGAACAAAGGAGACAACATCTCCTTCATCAGTGTGAGTATGCCGGGCCCAACATGTCACCTTATCTTGTGTGATAAAGCCTGTGAATCATGGTTTATTTAACCTATATCTTTTCTTACACCTGCCAGGTGAATACGGTGGCCATGCCCTTCACACAGCCTGGGTACTTCCTGGTCTCTGTGGACGCCTGCTCTGGGAAAGTCACCAAGAAAACCTTATTTGCCAAGATGGACGCCACGATGGAAAAGTACCTGAAAACTGGAATACCAAATAGGTGAGCCTGGGAAAATAAGTTCACACCAGATTTGCATTCCTGACGTGGACGTAGTGTGGTATCAACATCTGAGACCGGCTTTCCTAATTAGTATAAATATTTAGCTGCCTGTGAGAGATGTTTTACATTGTCTTGCTTTATTTGCTGAAGTGTTTGTTTCTTGAACAGGTCCATAGTGCTCATGGCAACGCGAGGTCAACCAGAGGGCCTGGTTGGTGTCGCACCATATTTGGTCTCCTTCGGTTTGACCAAAGCTGCTGATCTGCACAGTAAAGGTTAGTAAAAAGCACCCAGATTTGTTTCCCTTTTTTTCTCCGTCCCGCTACTGTTTTTTGGTGCACAGTCTCACGCCGACTTATTGCCTTCTCTCAATGCAGAGAGTCTGGCACTTTGGGGGTTCCGGGGTAGTTCTCCACCCCCTCCTTGGGTCTCCCTACAAGCTGGGCAGGGCAATGAGACCCTGGGGCTGCAGGAGCGGTATTTGCCTCTGGGTCTGGATGAATATGGCTGCACGTCACCTGAAGTTCAAGTGCGCAAAGACCTGGAGCTGCTCAAAATAGCCACAGGACTACAATGACAGTTGTGACCTTTACACCTTTGCACACAGATACACACGCAACCAGCTGTTGAATGTGAACTGCTGAACCTTTTTAATTTATTAATAATGGCATTGATGTTTACCCATTTCAAGTGAAGAGAAGGTATTTTATTTTGAATGGGATGAGGTTTTTTTGTGTGTGTGTGTGTGTAAGTATGCTATGGGGCCTTTTGAGTCAATGCACTTTCCTTTGTTAAATACACAACTTGCCTTATCAGCTAAAGTGATCAAATGGACCTTTTTATAATAACTCCGTTGTTGTCCGCCCCAAAGCAGCAATCTTATTATTCATGTAGTAACAAAAAACGAATGAATTGGTTCTGAAAAATGCATTAGACGTACAGAGGACAAAATTATGAAAATAAATTGTGTTGTCCCTGATAGCAGACCATGTTTAATTAAAAAAATTAAACAAGATGGATAAAAAAGCTCCGGTCCAAAGGAAATTATGAAAATAAATGCAGTTGCATCCAAGAATCAAAACGCAATATCAAGCCCAAATCGATTATGTAGTGTAAAACGGTGCCAGTTGTGTGTCGGATTCAAAGGTTATGTGATGCAGAACACTTATATTGTAAAGACAAAGTCATAAGCCATATTCAACATATTGAAATCATTATGAAGACGTAGGATCATTTTACAGTCAAATGAATCAAGCCACCCTGCCTTTGTTACACACAGAAATGCCTTTATGAACAATGAATGCATTGTAGGCCATTCCTGCCTCTCTCTACCAATCCTAACACATCCTTCCGCCTTTTCTTTCAACTGAATCTTTACCTGGAAAACCTTGTCTTTGTGCTGCTGTAAAACAGACTTTAAGCACCTTTTTTATTTTATTTTTTAAATGGATTCCTAGATGGACTTACTGGATCTTTATTTTTTATTTTTTAATCTCATAATTTTATTTATCCCTACAGTTATAGTGTCTCAAGTGCTATTAACACGTGCTGCACAAATATGAATACATTACACTTCTTTATTATCTCAATTGAATGTTTCTTCTTCTTTCTTCTGCCTCACTTTTCATATGCATTATTTCAAACCCGTGTTTAGGTGCCTTTTTAGAGCAAGAGCCCTGCCGGCACAGCAGTGCGCAGCGTAATGTATACAGATCATATACCACCTGTAAGGTATGCAGATTTATAAAGTGTGTGTACTTTTTTTTTTTTTTTTTAAAGATTGTTTGGATGTGAGCAGGGCTCCCCCACTGAGCAATGATAAGTACCTGTGTGTGTGTGTGTGTGTGTGTGTGTGTGTGTGTGTGTGTGTGTGTGTGTGTGTGTGTGTGTGTGTGTGCCCATGTGAGACAGAGATCCTCTGGAGGACAATGACCCTGTTGTCTTTTAACCACTCTACTGTTAAAAAATAGCAAAAGATTCCCAGCCCATGCTTTTTGTTAAACAGATGCTTTTGAAGATGTACGATTTTGAAAGTTCTTAATGATTTAAGTGAAAGTGCGCTTTGTAAATGCGTTAAATGGTCTGTGTGGCTGATGGGAATGTCCAGCAGGTTGTGAATAGTCTGTGTCTATGCAGTGTTTTTGTTTTTTGTCATTTGCCAAGTCACTTGAAAAAAATGTAGGCCAATTCTTTCAATGTGGAAACTCAGCGTTTGTTATGAAATTTCTCATTAAACATTTATCCTTAGTGATAAAAGGATTTACTTTTTTTTTGCTTGCAGCAATGGGAGGAAGAGCCCCTCTGAGTTCTGACAAATGCGAAAGTATTCAGTGTCCTCTCCTTTTTACATCAGGTATACCACTCTACCTGTAGGTGGCGGTCTAGTGTTGTTGAGGAATGCGTCTACTGGGAAAATCATCGTCGCACAAATCCACATATTTTCATATATGGGATGTAAGGATAAGATGTGACTTCTGTAGTGATACTGTACAAAACAAAGTATTTTCCTAGCGAGAGTAGCTTTCAGTACACAATCATCATCCAACTCTAGCCTGAAAATATGTGTTACTGTTTATTCCACCACTCAAGCCACCGACACAGAGGGAAGTGGCCACTGGCAGAGACACTTAAACATCTTCTGTAAAACCTTTTAGATACACTGTGAAAATGTGCCATGGTAAGATAATCCTTTAAGATGAAGTGCAGCACTTACTGCTATGAATTATGGATGAGCGCTACAATAAGATGTATGAATTCCTCCTCACAAGAGCCTCCAAAGTCAGCCGTAGGTTTGCACGTGCCGGATGAACACGTTTCTATGTGTGCTATGTCGATGTCTCAAGGAATTTGGTGCAGTCTTCAACCACCAGATCCAGAGCTCGGATAGTGAATTTACTTTTCCATAAAATTTGGTTCTTGGCCTCGAAGACCATTTCCACGCATTACACCATTGTGGAATTGAGAGAGGACAGATTGGTGTGACACAGTTAGCAGGCGGAACGATGCACATGAGGACAGCAGCTCCTTCTGACACCCGGGCATCTGCCACAAGGAGAAAAGACAACGGCAGATACATGCCTTCCAGCCGCGTTCTAATGGTGTAATACTCAGGCTTTAGATCTGTGCAAATACAATTAGAGAAGTGCCAAAGGCTAAAAATATGACACTGCAAAGAGTTGTGTGGGCGGTAACCTTTACGCGCTGAATATTCTAATACAACGTAGTGCCCTCGTTTTCTGTCTTTTACGCTTCTATATTATTTTATAGCAGAAAATCACCCACGCTAACGGTGACAGCATTCTGTCTTGAGAGAAACAAAATATGAGGGGAAATCAATATGCAAAATGTGTCCTTTAGCTTATCACCTATTAACATTGAAGCATAATGAATTAATTCACAGCTGTGATTTAAAAGTTGCTTAATCACCCAAAATCGTGAACAAAAGTAAAAAAATCTCAGGTGTCAGTAACTGCTTCTCGTCTAAGCTTTGCTAGTTTTAGCTTTACTTATCTTAGTTTTGCGATTTATTCATCATAACTGTGTGTTATAAATTACATTTTGTGGTTCTCACCAGCAAGCCTTACTTTGGCCGTACATTTATTCAACATTTCTAGAAAAGAAGATATATTATGGAAATTTTGAACAAGTCAGGTTTTAAATCTCAACTGAATACGTAAATATTCAAAGCTATGTACCCCTGTAGCAAAAACTAACATGACCAGAAGGCACAATAGCACCCTGTCTGCCTTCGATTAGTGGATTACTGGTGTGAGAATGAACATATTTGCATGTAAATGAATTGTGTGTGCACGGCACCAAATACTCATTAGCTGAGTCCACCCAGGAGACGTGTAACCTAAACAGTTTAGTATATCCGAGGTAAATCTGGATTCCCCAAAGGTTGCCACATTGTATCATTTTTTTTTTTAATCTTACCATTCAATCGGTTCAGCGGTTCCAGTTGATTCCCCGCTGCGCTCGGTGATGGTGGTCCTGAATAATTAAACAATTTTGACAGCCGTGCAGGGGTCCGTTTCCATGGCATCCCTTCTCCCGGTGTCCTCTCTGCCCTGAGGAGTAATGTAAATCTCCTGTCTGCTTAATGTCACAGTAACCGCAGCGAAGTGCCACACAAAGGCTTGTCGGTTTGGGGTCAGTGGGAGCTTTTTTGATCGCGTGGAAAAAGCTTCCTGTGTTTATTGTGAATGTGGCTATCTGTGGGCCGGGTGGGACAATATGCAATACAATCACGAAGCCTGTTGGCTGTGATTTCTAAAACAGTTGGAGGATGCCAAAAATATTTAGTGGTTGCCGTCCTTCAACATGACCGCCTGTAGAAGCGAGCCCAGCAAACTGACCACAAATGGCTTCTTTATGCGCTGATGAGTCCGTGCAGAGGTGGGTGGTATCGCTTTAAGGTCTCACTGGGAAGATTTTAATGATGGCTGCCATATCTTTTTTTTCTGGCATTATGTTGACACACACACACACACACCTCTAAATTCTCCCGATCTCCCCTCACTCTCAACACTTCTCACACACTTAATTACCCTTTAACATCAAATGGTTGATCAGCTCCCCAGCCTTTTAGACAGTGAGTTAACCTTATCTACCTGTAGATGAAGGTATGGGTGTGACGCTAAGAGGCTTGTGCCAGTCACAGCTATTCCTAGAATATATGTTTCTGACGCAGCGTGATACTGGCTAATCAGGCCCACAGAAATGCAATAAAGAAAGGATTATGATGCAGGTAAAAGTGCTTATTTTGTATTTTAATCATTCTTTTCAATTAAAATGTGGCTACATGTTGTGTTTGGGGACTCAAAGGGGCATTGAGGCGTTCAAACGCTGAAACCCAGCATGGGATCTTAAAGCCCAACCTGGTTTGTGCATTGTGCACAGAACAACCCAGCAGAAACTCAACTCACTGCAAGTTAAATTGCCCCTAAATTGTGTAAAAAACACAAAAAGAAAAATCTGTTGTAGAATGACAAGGTCAGTGTTGAGGATAAATGTGCTGCTTTGTGAAGTTTTTGCTGGGATTTACTGAAGGCTTTTGCTGCAAATGCTCATTGCTTTGAAAAAAATCTGCTCTCTCTCAAGGTCATCAAAATGTCCCTGGAAGAACGCAGTTATTAGAGTCTGGCATTCATAATGTGGCCGACTACGAAAATGATGATAACGATGGTGGCAGTCATGCCTCAATCTCAACTACTCTAATTCTTGCTGCGAAACCATTGGGCTGTCACATATCAAGTTGAGCCATGAAGTGCGGTTACTAAAGCGAGAGAATCATTATTTGCAGAGTATGGTTGAGAATGGTAAATGGTTGCAGGTTTCTGTCTGCTGCGACTGACCAAACATCTGAGCCTGCTGAGGACTGCTGCTCCAGGCCGTCACTGGTACACGTGATCCTCCACCCAATCTTCAAACATTTCTCTGCCCTCAGTTCTCACAGGGTGAATCCTGGGAGACACTCGCTCGGTAATTAGCCAGAAGACGTAGACGTAGTTAGTTTACAGAAACCTTCTTACCCTAAAGACCTCATCGTTTGGCCGCCTCAGTAAGCAATGCGGTCAATCTTTGTGTGTCCCTTCCTCTTTACTGAGGAAGCCAAACTGAACCGACTGAAAGTCGTCTCCACATTTTCTGGTTAGATAAAGATATTTTATTCCCTCAGTTGAGACTAAGATAAAGGCCTCAACATTTTCTGCTTTTTCACTGTGCTGATCGATGGTCCATAATGTCCCTAACCCTGCAGATAAAGCCATGGAGGGCACACGTCCCTATGCTGCTAATGAAGGTCCTCTACTGTCAAGCGCTGTGCTTGATTAACACCAAGAAGGGTGCGGAAAGGTGCAGTTATTATCTGCACAGCCGAAATGAGCGGAAATGCCTTTTTGTCCTCGCTGAGGGTTTTAGTGACAT